TGTTTAGTTATTCTTTGCTAGCTTTGATACAAAGAAAGAAAGAAAATTAATAAGGCAGTTTCAAACAAGTAATCAATCAGTAAATCAAAGGTGAAAGAAACCAAGAAATTTGAAACAAGCATAAAGAATCCAAGACAAATCACCGGCCATTACAATACTGTAATGGCCAAGAAGTGAAACTAAGAAAAGATCAGAAAATGAGTGACTTGCCGGTGTTATCTAGTAATGGCCAGAGTTAGTATTAATTGGTAATAGATTTTTCTCTTCTTCGGCTATGTCAACGGTGAGGCAGAGAGGCATCGACGATAACTCAATAAGAAATCCTAAAGTGATAAAGAGAGATAAAAAGAGAGGGGGCAATCAATTGAATGGGTATTTGGGTTATTTCGCAACAGGGCAGTTTAGGAATTAAAAGAAAATTTATAGTAAATTTTCATGTCTATGTCAGCATTTTACAAAACTTCAGTAATTTGGAAAACTTGAGTTTAACTCCCCTTTTTGGCATTTGACCACCAAAATACCATTTTTTTTTTAGAATCATCATCATCAACATTTATACTAAAAGGATCCCATTCATTCTATTCATCCATGATGTAGCAACTTATAAATATTGTTAATGATTTGTATTTATCATTTGATGGATTTAAAGTATTATAGTATATAAATGATGTTAATGACTTGTATTTATCATTTGATAGAGTTAAAGTATTATAGTTTTTAAAAAATGAAGTTGACCAAAATAATAACGTGTATATGAAAAAACATTGTTTCCTCATTGAAGTACGAAGTATCAATTTTAGACATATAGGTATCACTTTTCTTTTTCTTTTCTTTTCTTACACACGTACTTCCACTAAGGTTTGAACCCCTGACCTCCTTTTGGAAAGTAAGTGACTGATATCACTAGGTCATTGTCCATTGGTTATGGGTATCACTTTTTTGTCATTAGGTACTACTTTTTTTGTACTTTTTATGTATGTACATATTACTTTTTGTCATTAGGCACCACTTTTTGTGATGCACAAAAAAGTAGTACCTCTGTACCCAAAACAAAAGTGGTACCTCTATGCAAGAAAGTGGTACCTATGTGTATAAAAGTATCTCAATGGGGTAAATAGTATTTTTTCATATCCACGTCAGCATTTTAGTTAATTTTATTTTTTTGAAACTATGAGACTTTGACTCCATTAATGATAAATTTAAGTTATTAGCACCATTTATATGTAATAATTCCTAATTTTATTCATATTTGAGTAACTTAAATTAGTATTCCAAAATATCATTTACTTGCTATTCTTTATTTCTAAATTTTCTCATTTTTAGAATTATAGCAAGTGGGGGATTTGGATGGATAAGTTACTCCTCCGAATCTGTCCGAATTTTTTCTTTTATCTCTTTAACGACATTCCAAATGCAAAAATTACTACTCTTTCCTCTCATTTCTCTCAAAATCCTTCCAAATTCATATCAAAATGAAACATTGTTTTCTTCTTTTCTCTCTTGTCTTTTCAAATGAAACATTTGAATTTGGAATTGGAATCAATTTTAAATTCAAAGCACCCAATGAGTACTTAATTTCAAACATAATATTTCATGGAATTGAATGAACAAAATAATTTAAACTATGAATTAACAGAGGAAGAAGGAGAAATCGTTTTCAATGGTCATCATAGATTGATGATTAGCAATTTAAATCAAAGGGACAAGTAAGTACATTGCATGTCCACCACACAAGTTTCACAAAAATTGTGTGTGTACCACACGAAAAACCAATTAGCAGGTGCACATTATTGCAGCCTTAGAAATATGAGACACAACTCACTTTTTTCCTTTTCGTAATATGCATGGAGCCTTCTTGTGGATGACCTCAACTACCACCCGCCGCTTGTGGAAACTGGGGAGGTCAAAGTCGTCGTGCTTTCGAAGAGAGACGTAAACGTTTGGTTCTACTTGATGAATTATTGGGATAAGGTAAATTGGTTGGGAAAGTATTACTTAATTGCATGGATTATTATTATCAAAGTCTACGCGGAGGAGGTCTATATTAGGTAGTGCGGTATATCTGTTCATTAAATTTTTTTTAATTTTTTATTCACATATATATTTTTTTATGTGGGACACTCGCACTTGTGACATTCATTTTTACCCAAATTAATGACGCTCTTATTGCTGGCGGGCTATCTTACCCAAGTTGCTCACTTAGATACTTGATTGAATTTGACTTTAATATCAACCGTAACGGGTGGGCATTTGCCAATTTATTCAAAAGCTTAAGTTATTAAGTAATGCTGCATACCCACTTATTTATACTTCTTTCACTTTTTATGCAAATTTGATTCAGGACAAGTATACTTTGTAACAAGGTCAATGTTAAATTTTGTATTCTTAAAATATCACATAAACCATACTAAAATAATTCCATTACCAAAATTAATAATAAAAAGCACAATCAAACAAGTGTCTTAAATTCTAGTTTCTTTCAAGAATTCAAGCTAAATTTGGTAACCATTAAAAACATTTTAAATGATTTTTATTTATTTTTTTATTTTTTTATTTTTTTTTCAGGGCAAGAATAACATAATGCGAACGGCATCATAGCCCAAGTGGTTTGGTTGCTCCCTATTGTCCCAGGGAACCCAACTTTGAGCCTTGGCACCTACTAACTTTTAATGGTTATCAAACACATCTAAACTAATTTTTCAAAATAAAAGTGTTTTTAAACAATAAAAAAGAAATTACAATCGCGTTTTAATTAATGAGCGATGCTACACATCTTGAATATCTTGAAGTTTACGTGGCGATAACTAAAAAGACATAAATGTCCTTTATTTTAATACATATTACACTTTGGTTATGTTTGTTTACATGAAATTAGAGTTTTGGAATTAAAATTTATAGAATTGAAGAAAAGTAATTAACAAAATTGAATCAAAATTTTCTTCAGCTCCCCAAATTCAAATTCTAATGCTCCAATTCTACGCAACCCAACACGGTCATTCTTTTATACCCGAGTTTCCTATTTGACCAAACTAAACAAATTGACATTTTCCTAACGAAGATTTCTTTCTCTATCAATAATATGATTTTCTCAACTAATATTTTTCGTACTCTATGTGTGTGTGTGTGTGTGTGTGTGTGTGTATATGTATATATATATATATATATTTTTTTTAGTTCACTGTATCTTTGTTGGGTACACTTGTCTGTATCTTTGTTGAGTATCTACCAAATCAAAATCCAATTTTAAATTTTTTAAAGTAAATTAAGGTTCTTATTTACCAAAGATAGATCACTCATTCATCATAAAAAAAAAAAAAAAAAAAATTGTAGCATTTTCCTTTAATTATGTCACTTCACCACCACCGATAAAACAGGGATAGTGTCTTTACCGTAATAAAAATTTGAGTTACAAATATACTGGGTAAGTAAGTTTTGTGTTCCATCGACTTTGTTAGGAAAGTGTTAAATCACCAAATGGAAAGACTGACGTTTAATCCTTGCAAATCATAAAGCCATAATTTGGAAACCCACGGAGGATGGGAAACATGGCCGCCAATGATACAAATCGAGTTTGTAAGCAAAATAATACCCGGGTCTTATGTAGAGCGGATTGGGCCGGATTTGCTCTAATTCCAAATTTCAATCTGAATCCGACAAAAATTTAAATAATTTTATGCTCTCGAAGGACTAAGGACTAGTTTGGTGTAGTGGAATGAATTAGAATGAAATGAGAATGGAGGTAGGAATAGAATGAGAATGAAATAGTCATCTCTTTTGTTGGAAGATGGAATGATTTTGATGAAATGGTCATTCTCCAAATAATGTAGGGGATGATGATTCCAACTTTAAAATTGGCACCAAACACGAGAATAGAAAAAAATTCATTCCCATTCCACTTTCTTTTATTTTATTCCACCACACCAAACTAACCCTATAATAAAAACAAAAAACTGCTTTGGAACTTGTTTGATCTGTATTCTTAAATTTATCCTCTAAAAATAGGGTTAAACAAAACTTAAGATGTTAGAATTGTAATGCACCTTGTCCCTTCTAAGAAGGCATTAAAATCATCACTTGTCTAGTATTTCTATTCGATCAGATATTTGGTGGATTATGTGTTAATGAATTCATATTCGATTTTATAATTTATCTGAACCCTTAAGAGGAAATTTTTTATTAAACATTTCAAAATAAATTTTTAAAAAGTAACAAGAGAAAGAGAGGGAAGGGCCAAAATATATGAAAATTAATATATTTTATTGCTTATTAATAAATAAATAAAAAACAATAGGAGGAAGAAAAGATTTTTTTTAAAAAAAAAAAGAAAAAGAAATTGAAGAAAAACTTATACACTTGGGTTCTAATTAATACACAATATTTTTAATTTAATTTTGGACAATGCTTAAGTCATCAACGTGACCAAATAAAATTTAGACACATGTCCAAAATTTTAAATTTTTTAAAAAGGTCATTATCTGACGTCTTAGGGTTTAAACCGAAACTCAAAATTTTCTTTCCCAATTTAAACATTTTTGGAATCTCTCTCTCTCTTCCCCTCTCTCTCTTTGCAAATCTCACCAAATTATATAATTAAAAATCAGAGTTTCATGGAACACGAAGCTAATGATACTCACCATCACCATAAAAAAGGCCATTGTTTCTCATATATTAATCACCTCATATTTATAAAGAAAACTAAACGTTAAAGAAATTTCTCAAGAATATAAAAAAGAATTAACATCTATAACAAAAACAATCCCATTCCATTTTGTTACCCATTTATTATTCATTAAAAAAATAAATAAATAAATAAAAACTTTACATACTGCATATGCCTGTATTATCATGCACATACAGTTCCTATTGTTTCGACAACTATCCAGAGTCCCTATTTCTGCCTTTCTGTGGCATTGTTTTAACCAACACTATTCTATGCTCTATTGAAAAAAGATATGAACAAGATGGGGACTTGGAAAACAAAATGTTGATAGAACAATACATAACAAATAAGTATACAAGTTCATTCAACATTGACAAAACAATGCGTGACTCTTTACAAGAGTATTTCATACAAATGGCACAAACGTAGATGCAAATACCACACAACTCCTCATTTAAAACTGTAAGTCGGATAAAAATAGTTTTGTCAAAACAATCAACAAGAGGAAACCAAATATAAATGCCCATATTTGAACAGACTATTGTTCCTTTTTTTTTTCTTTTTGGGAATCGAAAGAAAAATTGAGAAGCCACCCCTAAACCCTCCAAGGAATTAATGGAAACAAAAAAAAAAAAAAAAAAAGAAAAAAGTTAATAAACTCACAACAACAATTGCATGTGGAAAATTTCTCCAATTACCCTCCAGAGTGGGAGACCGGAGTTGTAACAAAGTGGCCATCCTTGTATGCATGAACAAACTGCTGAGGCAAAGCATGCTCCCCCTGCAACAAAAACACACAATCTTCCTGAGAAACTCAAGGAACCTAAAATCACATTTCCATTTCTGGTTTTAGTAAAGTTAATAATATAATTTAAATAGCTTAATTAAATTTTATCTGGAAGTAGGAAAAAACTACTGAATAATTCATAAACTATTCCATTAGTTAATTTTTATTCATTTATGAAAAAGAAAATCATAATAAAAAGGCCACGGACCTCATGCATATAATTTTTGTACTCTGTTATCTTTCTTTTTTGGTAGAAGGCTGCATTTATTTGATTTCAAAGGGAATATATTTTTACTTAATAAAAAAAAATGTATATATTTGGTCATGATCACTACATACATCTTTCTTTACTACATATCAAATCAGATTTTCCTCATTTTTTATATATGTATTATTCATGAACTTTGCCCCAACTCAGACTAGTATTTTCTATTTCATGAAATAACAATCAAGCTAACAGATGGAAGTATACCACAAGTCATAATGTCATATCTTAAAAATGTCTCCCAAACATCTGCCACCTTTGACCAAAGCCAATCATGTCAAAAATGCTCAGGGTTACTAACATTTTTAAGTTACCTAATCATAAGAAACATAGATAAATCCCAATTCGACTAACAGAAGACATCCAGTTTCAGCACAAACAGACTTATCAAAAAAAAAAAAAAAAAGTTTCAGCACAAACAGAAAAGATTATATAACCAACTGGAGGCAGAAAAAATCTAATCCTACTATTAACCGCTAAACAATTTTGTTTGTCAGATCATACATGTTATGATTTAGAACAAAGTGCTTTAAGAGCAAATATGACGAGCATCCTTAATAAATTTAATTGCTTTCTCGTGACAAGTGTGGTATAAACTCTGGAAGTAAGCACTCTGTCCATCAGATTACAAGACCATGAGTTATGAAATGCATTGTTGGTTTAAAAAAACTGCCCCTCTGGAAGGAAAATTATAGCAACAGACTAGTTGCTGCAATAGTGATAGCAACTCATTAATCAAAGCTTGAGAAATATTACAAGACCGCCATCCAAACAATAGACACTTATTTACTTGAGAATCTTTTGCTAGATATTATGTACATGATATTTTCTGAAAGAAATGTAAAATCAGCTTGTTAGGATGCAATATCTAGCAAAGAGCTTTCACCTAAGAATACCAAATGTAACCATGTAGCATCTGACAGAGACACAAATGGGTATGACAATTTATAAACATATTTATATATGTACCTTATAACGGACAAATATATTGATTTATTCAAAGTTCTGCATTCATTGCTGCATGACTCAAATATGAAGCATAACAGATATCATATAAATAATTTCGAATGCATACTAATGCAGTTATCATATTCAGGTTTAATCAATTATCATACTAATGCAGTGAACTACAGTGCATATACCCCGCCACCATCAAGGGTTCCCCCCAAGGGGGGTGCAGGGGCTAAAGGGAAAAAACAACACGCTTAAAAGCATATAAGCGTAGGACTTAACCACAAAAACTTAATGTGATCTTTCACTTCCACAAAATTCCTAATTGTTTCACATTGCTTATCACTTCGTTGAGTGTAGTTCTTTCCTAATTAACATCTCAATTAAAGCAAAGATAAGCATCTTTGTCTGTCGCATGATAAAGAGGAGGCCTTTTAGCACCACTAGCCATGAGTCAGTCGGGATAGTCACTCCCAAGAGTCCTATTGAAGGTAAAGATGGGGTCATTTGTATGCGCACTTATCAAATGCTATCAAATGTCACAATAACGAAGAGCTTGCAAACAAAGTCAAAAACAAAAAAAAACAAAATTACAAAAGGTAAGTTAGACCACAAAGCACTTTATTATCAACATAAGACATAAGCGAAGGGCGTAGAGTAATTTTCTATTTTTTGGTTGAATTTATTGAAAGAGAGGAATTTTCATGGTTGATTTTATTTTGTGCTTAACACTGTTAAAAGGTGTCATTAGCCTTAAAATATTAGTGGTCAAGTGTCATCTCACGAGAGTTAAATTGTTAATTAATCACGCTTCCAAAATTCTTTGAAATCCTTCAGTATAGGGTACAGGGTTTGGTTTACTTTTAGTAGGAGAGAACCAATTGTAACTAGAAATAGGAACATGAAACATACCCAATCAGAATCAGGCCCAGCATTAGGTACCAATACATTGATTTCACTGGACTTCGCTGTTGTTATAGAAGCCTCCAAAGAATCTTTGCTTAAATATAGTTGGCAACCTGCTGTGTTGTCTATTGAAATTGTTGGAGCTGAACCCTGGAATGGCCATGGAAAAGGTGAATATAACTTTTCTAATCTTGCAAAAACTAGGCAACCACACTACTGTCAATAAAATTCTGATTTTCCAAAGCCCAGTAGCAAATATTTAGAGTGAAGCAATTAGTAACTAATTTTTAAACTTCGGATTGGTAACATAATCAAAAATCAAGAAAACCATAATAGGAACACTAAATACCTGGCATTGCACCTCAACGCCATTGCAATTTACAATCTCACAAGCAGCCACAACATCCTGTTTTCAAAGTTAAATCATAAAATGAGCTTATATCCCTCTCAATATATTGCTTCCAGATTCAACAAATCTGTCTATCTTTTTCGCAAAAATCCTTACTGACCGTGAACACAACCCCCATCTTGGTGCATTTATCAACTGTTATGTTGTTTACTTTCCCTGCACGTTGTTAGAGTAATGATAAGCACCTCATGACTTTCTAAAGAGGAATACTGCCCATTGATTGGTAGCAAACTTTTATATGTAAGAAAAAATTAACAAAATTGCTTGTAAGGTAACAAAAATTACCTTGGATCTGTAAAACCGAATCTTTGCATCCAAAAATATATACCGACTGCTTTGCATCACAGTCATCAATCACTAAATTTTTTCTCCCAATTTGATTCTCAACGACCCATCTGACAAATGGCACGATATAGTGACAAAAAATAACTAAGAATCTTGGCATCATTATATTACACAAATCATGAAGCATACAAAAAGCATAAACATGTACTGATGGTAAAATAGTGACAACAAACAATTACAATCCTGGCATCAACATCTCACACAAATCTCAAAGCAGACAATAAGAATAAACGCATACTCACTTGCGACCCACTTGAAGCTCTAACTTTGGAGGTCCTGCTTTAGAGAAAGAGGGTGAACTGACACGACCTTTTTCGTTAGTACCGACAACGCCAGTTCTATCTGCACGGTTCTTTGTTTTCATATCGTCTGTGACCTTTCTCAAACCTAGAAGGAAAGAAAATCAAATTAATGTACATGTACATGAAAAAGAAGAGAGAGAGATAGAGAGAGAGAACCACCTGCAGTCACTGGCTTCCCTGAACCAATTTCTTGAAAAACAGCAGCCATCCCTTCCTTCGGGCGTGATGATGAAGGCTGGGGAGATTCAGAGCTGAAGAGTGAAGTTGGTGGAGGAGCTGGAGGAGCTGGAACACTTGGTTTAGGAGCCTTTGATTGAGCCGGCACAATGGTTTTCCCTGTGGAACTCCATACAGGGCCCAATGGATAGTGACTCTTCACATAGTCCCTCAAACCAGGAATATAGAGCTCCTTCAGAGATTTTGCCCACTCCACATGATTAGGGTCTTTATTTTTGTACCCTACAAGAATCTGCAAATACAGAACATTATCAATGACCAATCAAAAATGATTTTGCTCATGGGGTACTGTATCAGATGTACTATCACAATGCAAGGAGGGAATTAGGTCAGTAATTTGGACACGTAAGATTTATTATGGTACACTACCATGGTCTGATGCAAGCACCAAAGGTAGGAGAAGTGAAGAATATAATGACAACACCTGCTTTTGTACCATGGTCTGATGCATCATTATGTTTACATCCCCCTCCCTCCTCTTTTCTTTCTCCCCAACAAAAGATGGGTAAAAATAAACTACTTTTGTTCTCGCAACACAACTTTACCATACTCCTACACTGGGCCATTAGCCCAGGACCCCAGGTGGTATAAACTTTTCTCCCAAAAGGGGATGTGACGGTTCGAGCCCCACAGTGGGCATTTGTGTGGGGGTGTGAGAGTGAGTATTTACCTAACAATATTAAACAAATACCATAGTCCTATATAAATTCTTTTACTCCTACAAACTGATTGAAAATAGATTCTATATTTTATTTTGGGATGCTATTTCCAGGAAACAGGCCGGACATCCCAGCTTCTTTTAGCTGTGGTTATGTCAATGATGTATCTTAGCAATATTCCATCTCAATGGTGGACCATCTCATCCATCACCACAAAAACATTTAGTTTTTTATATGGATTTTTCACGGAAAAAAATTGGAGTGAAGAAAAACATAATGCAAGATTGACAACTAAATTCTAATTGCACTGCAATTACTTCTTTCCTCTTCTGATTTGGCGTAAAGCAAACATATCTTACTCATCATACATGGCATGATCCAAATAAAAGTTGTTAGCATCACACAACTAATTGAAGTACCTTATTGTTGTAAAATTCAGCCATTTGCCAACTTTCTTCCACATGCGCAATGGGCATGCTCATACCTGGAAAGGGGGAACGCAGAATAATGAACCAAACTGGCATGAAACGAAATCATCTGGTTCCAGCAGGAATACAATAGAACATTTCTCTCACCACAATCTTTGCCTGTATATGCAATCCATGCTAGAGCCGTGAGACTGTCAGCAGTAGCCTTGAAGTGATTGAAGAAATCAGATCGCCTCCCTTCCGTCATTGCAATGGCTTTGGTAATCACTTCATTCAATGGCTTGAGAAATTCAGCCAACCCCGCCATGTCAGGTTTCTGTACAATAAATATAAACGCTTCAACATCTCAGCACTAGCACAAAGACAAAACTGTGGCATCCACCTAATTGTGTATGAAACTCAAAGTATTATTACTAATGAAACTTGGACCCTCATGAGCACAAAAAATGAATTCCAGGTCTAGTCTCCATCTTATTTATTATCCCACCCCAGCTGCATCAGTTTCAATTACTTAAACCACAAAAAAAAAACCGAACACTTGAAATTGAAGTAATGATAGATTTCTTGTTTAAAAGAAAGGTATGATTACTGAAATTCAGATGAAACTTGCATTAATAATGTAACTAATCGGCATAATTATCAATATCTCCACAGAAATAATCCAACCCTCGACAGATATGTTGCGAATAAGATCTATGTAATTACACTATCCATTTATTATTTCCATTTGGCATAAAAAGATAAATGTGAATCCATATCATAAAATAATAGTCTTGTGTAACATCGGATCAGAGTCGAATTCACTTAATTTCCAATAATTTCATGCAGAAATAAGCCCAATTATGAACCAAAAAGGATCACACAATCTTACACTTCAACAACGGTTCGTATAATCTAAAGATACATCGGTGAAATTCAAATAAGTAGATAAACAGGTACAAATATGCGTATGTGCACATGTATAACATGCATATAAATCCAATGACACAATATTAACCGTGGCGAGAACTTCATCCAAAATCCAAATTAACGAATTTCAAATTAGAAGAGAACTAACCTGAGTTTGCTTGACCTTGATGAGAAGCTTTTTCTGAACAGAAAACGCCTCTTGGAGAACCTTAGTCACGTCCAGAACTTGTCCTCCGATCTTCTCCGCAGCACTCGAAACCCTACCGAGGAATTGCGCCATCATATCCTCAAATGCCACGATTGACGGATCCAACGCCGCCGCCGCATCTCCGCCACTCTCCGGCGAACCTCCAGGTCCAGGAGCGAAGCCGACTGACAGCGCCTCCAGCCGCGCCACCGCCGACTCCAACCTCTGTACCAGCTTCTCCTCCATGGTACACTCCAAAACTTCCTGTTTTCAAATATCTCCCTAGCTAGATTATCAAACAGAACAGATCTGGTGACCGATTGTTGATGTTACTTATATAAATATATATCCGTGTGTGTGTGTGTGTGTGTGTATATATATATATTATTGAGGTCTTTGAAACGCCGAAAGGTTCTGGAAGCTTTTTGGTTTCTTTGTGGAATATGACGGTGTCAAGCGTGTGGTAAATATCGTTTGTGAAACAACTGTGCGATGTTATTTTGTCGGGTCAATAAAGAAAGAAAGAATCGGTAGGGTAGAGTAAAACTTACGGAATTATAAATTACATGGTATAGTGGAAGTACTCGAATGGCAATCGAGACATTTGGGAGACTGTTGGAGACATGGAGGGTATATGTATATACACACACACAAATAAAAGAAGCTAGTGGTTTTCTTGGAGCTTAAATTTATACATTAGCACTCGGGTTGTTTAATTCAGTAAAGTTGTTTAATAGTGATCCTTAACCTTAAAATTAAAATTAAAATTTGCACAAATGTAAAATTATATCCTCCTAATTTTCTTTAAACTTTGCAAGTTAGAGAGCTAGCAGATTTGTTGATTTTTACTTTTTTATTTTATTTTATTTTATGACAAGATTGTTAGATTAAAAATTAATGAGCGCCAAAGTTCAAAGAGGGGCTTCATAAAACAAGTCTGGCTATGAAGACATTCGTCATAATTTGTTGAATTTGATAATATTATTTTAAACTTAAACTTGAAATAAAGATTGATAAAGAAATATATATATATATATATATATATATATATATATAGATTAAAAATTAATGAGCGCGAAAGTTCAAAGAGGGGCTCCCTAAAACAAGTTTGGCTATGAAGACATTCATCATAATTTGTTGAATTTGATAATATTATTTTAAACTTAAACAAAGACTGATAAAGATATATATATATATATATATATATATATATATATATATATATATTCAAGTTGTTGCTAAAAATGATCAACTTATATTCAATTAGGATTAACGAATTTGTTTGTGAATCTAATACATATGATCATGACTTTGAATAAACATAAACAGAACTATTATCAAACCCAACACAATTTGTATAATTTTGTCAATCTGTTTAAAACTATGCTCAACTATTTTGCAATCATATATGATACATAGTTCGATACACACTAATTTGGAGTTACCAACACAAGTAGGGACTAATGATGTAAATTTTAATTAGTTGATTCAATTTTCAAAATAAAAATATGGTATCTGAAGTTGAAGGATCTCTTCCTTCTCTCATTTTTCTATTTTCCTCTATAAATTTGCAAATCAAATTGAACTCAAATGGATAAATGGCTTTTATAAGAAAAAGATGAGAAAATAAATATAAAAAAAATTCACAAACGATTCTATTTTGATTTTAGACTAAAAATTATATATGACATTGCAATTGGACTTCTTAAAAGAAAATGAAGTGATGAAAAGAAATAAATATTATTTTCAAACCTCTAACTTAATGCATCTGTTGTAATTTATGAGATGCTAAAAGTCTTGATACCATCGTTTTTTTAAAAAAAAAAACTTTTAACTTTTTGTTCTTCTTACTTTTATACTTGGTATCAAATCGAAAATTGATAATTTGTTCAAAAAAAATAAAAAATTATCAAGAAAAAAATGAGTCCTGTAAACTATTCAAACATCTATTTTGAAATTGAGGGAATAATAATCATACTCGGTAGACATGTATTACTCCATATAAATTATCATGTATTACTCCATATAAATTAGCAAATTAAATACAGTATTATTCTTAAATCTTAATATAGAAAACTGTGTAGGTGTGTGCGCGTAAATAGCTTGGATTAATGTGTAAACTGAATATAAATTCTGCCATATTATCTTAATTGGGCCTGGACACGTCAGATCATCCGCCTCTATCTCGAGTGACAATGCACTCCATTCCAGGAAAGCACCGACCAAATCACAGATATACTGTAAATAATTAAATACTAGTACTACACTGTAACCCCTTAACCCATTAGGAAATGTTTTTTCTTTGCCTTTCTCAATTTTGCGATTTCTCATTTATTTTTTCTTTTACAGTGAAGGGTGAGATTCAAGTTTCCGCAAGGATAAATATTTATTGTCAATGAATATAATAAAAAAAAGAAAATAATTATTTTGAAATAAAAATATTTTTGATAAATAATTTGTTACGCAATAAATATGTTTGATTTATAACTCTAAAAATAGTTCATAGAAATTAAAAAAACAAAAAAATTGTTTTCAAAGAATTATAAAAGATTGTTGGACATTTTTATAATTGATTTTCATAAAATAGTTTTCACAAAACTGAACGAGACATAATTTTTTGTATAATTTTCTGTTTTCAGTTTTTCGATAACAAAAAAAAATTATTTTCATAGTTACAAACCAAACAAGCTGTTAGTATTTCCATTATATAGTTAACTTTACTACAGGTTTTAATAATTGCAATAAAAACACAAAACAAAAAACCATCATCAAACATGTCCCTGGTCTCTACCTTTGTGCTTCCTTTTTCCTTTTGGGTTTGTTGCAAAGAACTATACATTTAAGTTTTGAGAATTGGTTAATTCTTTGAACTAAAATTATGAATCTCATGTACTATTACTAAAATTTCTCTTACCATGTTTGTTACAGTGAAAATAAATAATTGATAAAACTACGGAAAAAAAAAATTAAAGACAACGAGGAGAAAAAAAAAATGAAATTATTTTAATGAATTATTACCATACCTTTTTAATAGATTTTGTCTTCATTTTAAATGCTAACTTTTTCTTTCATTTTCTACCATTTTGTGGAGGATAATAAAACAAATTTATCAAGCTTTATACTTTGTTTGATCGGTCAGAAGACGGGCGGAGAGAATATGGAAAAAAAATGAACAAATTTTCTTTATTTGACAAAGAGAAAACAAAGAGAGAAAGAATAATAGAATTGATGGGTCATGCTTCTTTCTTTACAAATTTTCAACCTTCAAAATTGAACTGAAAAGAATAAGAAAATAAGCCAAACTATTAAAAGTTTTAAATTATAATATTATCCTTCATAAATTATGACTGGGTATAATGGTTAAAACAATTTAAAACTGTTATCTTCTATTATTTCCTAACCAACACAATAAGTTTTTAACTTATTCTCTTCTTTTTCATCAAACAGATCAAAGAAAAAGGGAATGATACAATATCTTATTTAGGGATATCTCATCTATCTCTTTTTTTCTCCCTTTTTATCATTTTTTTTGTTTCATCCTATGTCTTCAAATAAAGGTAGTAATTTGCCCCAGGCCACCCCGTTTAAAATGGTTTTCGGGGAACTATTTGTTTAAATGGGGCGGGAATAAGGTTAGGAAATAAAAAATGAATCAATTTTAGGGTGGGGGAAGAGCGTCTCCCTGCTTCGCTCGTTTATGCTATGATTTTAACATTTTACCCTTATGTGTTATATCATATTACCTTTAATATACCATGTATGTACATGCTTCTAAAAACAAAGACTTTAATTTTAACTCTCGTTCATCGTTTTTTTGGGTCCCGACTCTCGCCTTCTCTATACCTGTATCCAACCAGTGATTCGAATTGAAGTGAAGGAGATCGACATTAGTGCTTCAGACTTCGCGATCTTTCAGATATTTCAATTTTGATCCATGATTCTCTCTCTCTCTCTCTCATCTCCATATATAATTATGTATATGTATTGCTCAAAATCTTCATATCTGTTATTAACCCACAACACCATTATGATATAGAGTTTTTATATGGCATCTTCCTCTAACTTTCCCTTTATTCATTTTTATCTCATGTCTTTGGTGCAATTTAGGATTTATGTTGAGGTGTTTGTGATTGAATAAGGGATTACTTAGACAATGCTACACTCGAAAAATGAGAGTTAGGATTTAAACAATATAAACACATATGGGCGGGGGGGAATCTCATCCTCCATTCTCATTTTCGGTAATTTTTTTTAGGGTAAGGGGCAATAAACTCCCTTGAACTTTATTCTCTCTTCCAAACCCCCCCCCCCCCCCCCAAACTTCTATTTTTACAATAAACCCCTAATCTATTTCCTTTTCTACAAAAAAACACCAGGTGACATTATTCCGGCACCTATTCATCACCTGACCCAATATATAATTTCAAAATGATTGAGTTACCCTTATTCCTATTAAGAAAATAAATAGATAAAAATTCCAAATTAAAACGTCTTGGTTTAACCCTAATTTTCTTCATAAGTCGCCATTGCCATCAACAACAACTGGTTAAATGCGTGCTCAAGCTCGCCGGCGTTAGCGTCGTCTTCCTCAACATCGACGAAGTTCCCTACTATCTCCTCTGCCACACCCATGTTCACACCCATTTGACACCAAAGCCGACCTCTGCCATCACCATCGAAATCTCACCTGCCACTTTTGCCATCACCGATCTCACTAATCAAGTCCCCGCCGAGATCGCCGCCGCCATCCATCTCAGATGGAAGTCTTATTCAACAACAGAACCTGAGTTCACCGAACTCAGCCTCAATCTTAGGCTCACCGTTGCTGCACCACCGACTGACCGCGAGCCCCATCAACCTCGCTGTAAGTCCAACGGCCGAACTCAATCTCGCCGCCTCCGGACATCACAGCTGTCTTCTTGTCTTCTTAACCATCGTCAACCACCACAGCTCTCCGCTGTCATCTCAGCCATCGTCAATCCCTGCCACTGATTATCACACCGCTGCTCTCTCCTGTCATCAAGCTCGCCGCCACCCACTGCCGAATCGTCCCAAGTCTGTCTCACCGGCTCTCCAATAGTCGCCATCTCTATCTCACCGACTCTCCAATAGTCGCCAAATCTGTCTCACTGCCGCCCATTGCCGAAACATCCAGCTGTTCCTCGCCGGTGCCGCGAGCCGCCGCAAATCGTCCCAAGTCTGTCTCACCAAAGCTCATCACTGTCCATCGCCGCATCTGCCGCTACTCCACAACCGACCAATCCTTGCCGTTTCCCCACCGACCAGTCGAAGCCACCCTTTCCACTTTTAGCTTTAACCCTCCCATTCTCTCTCTGTATATACAAAAGTTGTGGGTTATACTTTGAACACGCCTTCTCAATGATTGAAGACAATTGTGACCCACATGTCATCAAATAATAATAATAATAATAATAATAATAATAATACTTTGCATCAGATAAAAAGATAAAGTGAGCGTGATAAAGGGTTGTGGGATCCCTCCTCTTCATGGCGGCGTAGGATTCTGAAGATTCATACAACAACAATTGCTATGGCTGCTAGGAAAGGACACGCAGACGTTGATTTCGTGATTATTATGGTTTGATTTGCCAAGTCGAGTCCGAGACAAAATATCAGGAGTTGGCCGTGATTCTCGTTGGCGTTATGGGGGTGGAGATGGTAGTGGTTATGGGGATAGTTGGAATGATACCTCCGCATCTGTGCTGGTGGTGGTGCTGCCACGACTAGTTCAAAGGAAAGACGATGGTTTGTAGAGAGAAGATTAGGGGATTGGGATTATGAGATTACTTAAATGTCCCTATTATTAATGATGTGGCAGTACATGATGTGGATATTTTTGTCCAAAAATAATGGCGATAAGGTATTTGTGCTGTCACAATATCATTTGTTGAGGGCAATTTTGTAATTCAACATTTTCGGTTAGCTCAAGTGTCGGCAAATTTAGATTTTGTCCTAAAATTATACTTTTTAAGTAGTTGAGGGGGCATTATTTAGTTCCGGCGGGCGGGGGGGGGGGGGGTTTATTGCCCTTTACCCTTTTTTTTTATTCTCATCTCTGCCCCCATTTTCGTTTAAAATTTTACTTCAATTCCCATACCCCCGGCCCCACAATCCCCATCCTGTTTAATATACACCATAATTTTCTAAACACGTAATTTTTCTTGTTTTTAGAAGTATGCTTATATATACTTAATATAATTACCCTAAATTGGACATGACGGGAATGAGAAATTTGTCATCCCTAGATATGGGATGGAAGAGTAATATTATAAACACAGGGTATGCACCGTATAGAAGAAAATGTTATAAGTGAGATTATTTTTTTTTTTAAATTAACCTCGAGGTATTTGGGATGGCACGAACCCTTAGGCCATTCAACAACCTGACTAATTCTCGAGAACTGAGTCGAGTAAGTCACTGCCAAGACAGTGAAGACTAGCCACAAAGAATTACCTATCCAATAACCTTTTTTCTTTCCTCTTTTTTTTTTCAAGATTTTATACTACTACCAAATACCAAATACCAAAAAAAAAAAAAAAAAAATCATATTCATTTTTTTTTCCTTCTGTTTCATATTATTTATCCAACTCAAACGTCTTAAAAGACGAACACCTGTCCCTCTCAAGACGTTTTTGGATAAACTTCTGGATGTCCGAATGATATAGAACTTGCTGCTCTCCAAATCTTCATCTCTGCAATCGTCACACAAAAACAGCCTTTCTCTCTCTTATCTTCTCGTGGAAATGATATCTGGTGGTGGGCCAAAGAAGAGACAGCGGGTCGGAAGCAACAGCCGCCTCTCCTCTACCGTCGGCGTCATCGACTCCGCCCGTCCCGACGGAACCCTAACGGAGGCATCCAACCACCACAAACCGTCAGGGGTCCGCCGCACCGCCTCCCACTCTGTCCTCCCTTCCGGCAGATTCAACGACTCCGCCACCGCCGACGTCATCCTCCGCCTCTACATCGACCAACCTTCCTCATTCGAATTGGACGAGGCCGAGTCCAGATCCGCCTTCGATTCCGTCGACCAGTCCGACGTCCAGATCTACCTCCACTCGGATGTCCTCCAACGATCAAAGTACTTCGCCGCACTGTTGTCGGATCGATGGCAGAGAGACTCCGGCGACGTCGACTCTGAGAGCTCTCGCAAGATTCATCGGTTCAATTTGGGCGTGGCGGCCGCAAATGGATCGATCAACAATCACCTAACGGTTCTTCAGCTTCTCTACACGAGCGATTTCTCGAACGCGATCAATAGCGCATCTAAGGCTCTCTCGATACTTCCCGTGGCTCTCGAACTTCTGTTCGAGGACTGTGTTAGGGTTTGTGTTCGATTTCTTGAGGCCGTGCCGTGGAGTGAAGAGGAAGAGAAGAGAGTCTTGAGTTTGATTCCTCTTCTCACAGAAGAAGAGTCTCAAGAGCTTATCGCTAGGGTTTCACCGGCGAAGAACGATTCATCAGAAGAAATGCTGCATGGCTTGATTTTTGCGGCGATTCATAACCATCCGAACATGGCGTTTGCGAAGGCTTTCGTTGCAAAGCTATTGAGGGACTTCTCTTCTAGACAATCGGCATGCAGAGTGTTGGATCGAGCATTTGATACTAGTTTGAAGATCGTTAAGGATTCGTTGGAGGAGTATTCGAGCCCTGACTTTAGAGGTGATCATAACGAAACGGAGGCGATTCAGAGGTTGAATTTGCATACAGCGATGACGAATGGCAGGCATTTGTTGTGGTTAATTGAGAGGATGATTGAGTTGAGAGTGGCTGATACTGCCGTGAAAGAGTGGAGTGATCAGATTTCATTCACAACAAATTTGCAAAGAGCATTTCGTGATGATATGTGGAAGAATATCGTGCCGGGCCTTCCTGTTGTTATTCTTCGCTGCACCTGCAAGCTTGCCAATGCTGTTGCTGCTGGGATCATTTTGGCCGACAGACAGGTTTCTCTTTCAACTTTGTTGTTATTTTAAATACATTTTGCTGGTCATTTGATTAACAGAGTATTCATGAGAAATTATGCTTGTTTTGTGGACTAAATGTTTATTTTCGTCTATTGTGCTTGTTTCATTTTAGTTGTAAAATAAAAAATATAAAAAAATTGTGCTTGTTTCATTTCGAGTCTAGGCTGCTGAAGGTTTTGTTCATGTGTTTAGAAACTGACTAGTGGATTCCTTCCGGTTCTAGCGTACTTCTCTTGCTTTATGTTCATCTTTGTATTTCTGGTGACTCACCTTGTTTGCCTATATTTTATGGGAAAGTTACTTTAGTGAATTCCTACCTGAATGATACGGATTTAAGTGAACTTTAAACACCTGTTATTTCTAATCATATTTAGTGCTATGGTCTCTTCAAGGTTATATTTTCCATTTTTTATATTTATATTTTATAGGTTTTGATTTGGATATACCTGATCAATAATCCAAGTGTCCAAATTAAGGACCAGGTTTAATGAGTTTTGATATATATATTTTTTGATAAGTCGGGTTTAATGAGTTTTAATGACGGATGATGCTGAAACTTCAGTGAATTTTTTGTAGGAAATCAGATAGAGAAGGGTTAGTATAAGGCTAAGCAGATGGAATTCTTCGACATTGCTTTCATTGATTTAAGGTCTCTATGAAATGGAAGTCCGGTGACCCAGTTTGGGGATTGAAAATGCTAAAACTTATTTAGTCAATAGATGTAGAATGAGAAGAAATAATGTGTTCAGTTATTTCGGTTGCCATTGCTCCACCTCAAAATTAGATCTTCTTATTTAGGAAAAAAAAAATAGATCTTCTTACTGGCCAGAGGAATTTTAACTCTCAATCTCATGGAGAATGTTCTAACTCATGCAAATTGGATTTCAATAGATTTGGAAATTATTTAGGAGTTTCTTAATTTGGTGAGAGGGAGAGGCCTCTATCCAAGCACAATGTTCTCGAAAGAACATGTATAAGATTAAGGGCAAGTGCTGTAGTTTTTCTTTCAAGTGCTCTCCAGTAATGCTGTCCTAATTAAGTAGAGTGGACATACATTTTGTTTTTTTTCTTCTTATATCGTTGGAATATAATATGTAGTGTACTTCACAGTATGAACACTCTTGGAATTTCGTTGAGAACTATTTCGTGAGCGCAAGAAACTTTTATGTTCATAGTATTCAAGTTACCTGAAAAAAGTTACATCCATAATGATCTATTTCTAGAATACATGCTCCAAGACGTGGAACCATTTTATTTGGAATACTAAATCCAATGTTTTAAAAGTTCTTTTTTTTTTTGAGAATTATAAACAGATTATTAACAAATTAAAATTTCTTTAGTAAAAAAATAAGTAAAGATCATTGCACAATCTGAGATTGATATATGTGGCATATACGTAATTAATTGCTTTTACATTAATGACTAGTGCTATCAAGTGGTGATTAGTACTTTTGAGTGTGGAACAGGCACCGTGACAGTGGTATTAGAGTCGGCTAGAGGGTACGACAATGTAGCTTGGGGGAAGTGTTGCGTGGGTCCCACGCGGAGGCGTGGGTCCCTCCTGCCGCACAGCCCAGTCAAATCAATATATTTGTTTCAAACCCATTTCCCCCTGAATGCCATCATAATTCCAATCTAATAACTCCAAAATTTACTTTTTGAAGGTCAATAAGGAACAAATAATCACTGAGTTGGTTCCACATCCAAAATTATTAAGTTCTCCGCACTCACCTAGAAGTCCAAGACCAATAAATAAATACCCAATGTGGGACTCAACATGTTTACACGACTGCCACATGCTCCCTTAAACAGAACCTTACTCCTTCATTGGAAATATTCCTAAACAAGAAGAAACCAACTTAAGTTAAAACTAGTAGCACTTCATAGTTCATATTATGCATATTCACTTGGCAGAACATAAGGATTACTTTATTAAAGCATTGCTCAATGTCATGCATATGGGAAGCCCCATTTAAGAGATCAACTTTACATACAAAAATGCTTAATGGAGCATGTCTTATGGATCCACAATAGTGGTATTCAGATTGCATTTTAAATCCTGTCCAATGATGCAAAATTTAAATTATGTACAATTTATCTCTTATAGGTGGGACCTATTAAATTATGGGCCCCAATGCTTTAAGTACACTTGTACTACAAATAAGAGGGTCAAAAGTAGAGTAAAATAGTTTCCTGGTAACTGAAAATTTTCCTTGGTTGGAACTAATGCACAAATATTCAGGAAAAAAAAAAAATTCCTTGGTTGGCACCTCAATTACATTTTCTTAAATGTAACAAGACATGCTGTCACTATTTAGCTTAATGAGCATGACATGTAAATGGTTAAACTCTGGTATCACACTCACAAATTCATCACCATGCAAAAAAATTTCAAACTTGAACCTGCAAACTACTCTTTTTATCCATTTTAAACAATTATAGTGATTGAATATTTACCCTATTTCTCACTTTCCTAAAATAAAACTCACTCCCCTCCAAAATTATATGCAACTATGCAAGTGAATTGCAGGAATTTCCAACTGTTGAACTTGGTGTTCGATGAAGAATTCTTGCACAAGTGAAATTTATGGATCATGTGCCTTTCCATTATCTTTTAAATTCTAATAACATTTTCCTATATACTCAATGGAACGACAATGAGGAAGTTTTGGGATCTGCCAGCCCTTTCTCATCCATGTACTTGGAGAAAAACCTTCTGATAAACATGAGACAATAAAAGAGAATTGTAGCTCGACAATCTCCATTAAGTCCAAAAGTTATAATAATTCTTGTGATTATAAAAAAAAAAAATTTAAAATTCAGTTGCAAAAAAGGTTATAATCCATTGCTGGTTCCGTTTGTGCAAGATGTCGGGAAAGGAAAATTGGAGGCAGACTAATTTTTGGCATGTTTTTTGCACAAAGTGGTTGCTCTCAGACTTAAACGCACTTCCTTATGCTTGTTAGTACAAGGGTCTATTATTGCACCAATTACCCTTTAGATTTAGTTCTAGTAGTTCTATGAACTCTGAATGTGAAGTACAAGAAATTAACAATCATGATCATATGAGCTTTAATTGGACCAAATTTTGTAAAGATGGTAGCTATTTTATTTAAGTTAAATTAAAAGCTAAAATTGTAAATAGACTTTACATTTTGACCCTTATTATGGATTTAACTTTTAAGGATCTAGGGAGAGAGAGAGTGAGTGATGTTGATCAGCTATGGTAGAAGTGTAGGTGACTTTTGGGCGATGGTGCAAAGGGATGAAGATGGCTCACCATGACGGGAGTCTTTATTCTCATGCTTTCCCCCCTTTCTGTTGGCAGCTCCCTTTCAAGTACAAAAGGTTATAAAAGTCGTTTTATGTAAGGTATAGGACATTGAAAGGATAAGTTTATAAGGGTGGCATCAGGTGGTGATTTTTAAACTTTACCTGGCCTAAAGCTGATACTTGCCCTTGTTGTGATTAAAGAGAATACCAAATCCACCCCATCAGGGGCACAACGAAGTAGGGGCAGAGGGAGAGGGGGGCTAGGGAGGGCCATGAATTTCAATAATTTTTATTATACTGTAAAACAAAAACAAAAAAGTAATCTACCCCCACCACCCCCCACAAAAAAAATTTCCAAGAGACTTTTTTTGTGGCCAATAAAATGGCAAGCTTGGAAATAAATATAACTTTAATATTTAAAATTAAATTTTAACTTGTACCCTCTTTGCCTTTACTTTTGAAGTCCAATATTATGAATTAAAAATTTAAGTTCATTATTATGGTAGACTTAAACGTATCATTACTACATTTACAATAATATACACACATGTATGATATCGATTATTTGAATTCAAGATAGGAAAAAGAAAACTTATACAAACGTGCTTGCAAGTTTAATAAAGATACATGAATCTTTTTTCTAAGACATTTTTGTTAGACGGTGTTTACAGGGAAAAATATCTTAAATTATATACTAATATTTTTAGTTGTCAGATATTAAATGAAAGATTCTATAGTAGCTACTCGTATAAGTTATTAATGTACTTCTCTATTTTGTTCTTGATAATTGTGTTTTATTAAAACATGCTGGATTCTGTTTAGTTAAAATGGTACCTTTTTTATTTATTATTTTTAGTCTCTCATCATATGTCGTTCTGAATCAAAGTACTCAAAATTTTTCTTTTCGAAAATTGCAATGTTAAAAAAATTGCAAAAATTGTTGGAGAAAAAATTAATTTAATTTTAATAATAAGTGTATTGGTTTGAAGCGCACAAGGTTGATCCAGTTGTTATAGCGGGCCTTCTGGCATACCTTCGTGGTGGAAATTACAAATTGGGGTTTTTGGCTCCTTTACTATACGCATTACGTGTTTCCTATGGGGGATATTCTACCTTCATGGTGGAAGTACAAGTGTGGGGGATTTGTCTCCTTAACTACACACATTACTTGTTTCCTATGGGGGATATTCTGCAAGAATACGACGATGCCACCTTTGGGCTTTGATCTTTTCATTTGGAAAATATTTAAAATGGCCTTCATGAAATTTGACTTTGTAAGAACTTCAATACTATGGAGTTGGTGTCACAAGCTCTTGTAATGTGTCTTCTTCATTCTCACACTTAAACTACCAAAGAAGCATAATTGAGGTATGGATTAGGTAAAATGGCAGTTTGTCGTGCCTAAAATAATCCAGGGATGAGTGTCCTTATAGCGCCCACTAAGCCTTTGTAAATAGTAATGGATTAGATTATTCAGATTGTTGTTGGTTGTATATTATGGGTCGGATAAAAAGCTCAGTCTGAACCTGTCCTATCTTGTGATTTATCTGGCCCTGAGAAGCCATTAGTCAAGTTTGCTTTTGACGTTGATTTATTTTTTATTTTATAGAATTGCTGAATCAAATATTTTGTTGTTTTCTGCCACAGGTTAGGATGAAGCTGGTTAAAGATTGGCTTCCAGTGCTGATCGTATGTAAAGACAAACCCATGCTTCCTAGCTATAAATCACTCTATCCGGAGCTCGAGGAAACGTTCCTAAGAATTATCTCTACGCTGCCCCTTTCAGATGCGCAGGAATTGTTGCAGCAGTGTCTCAGTTTTTCAACTCGAAACGTTGACGACTGCCCTCACTTGGTCAATGCATTCAACACGTGGTTTCGCCGTGCAACTCGGTCCCCACAAGCAGACAACCTTTGTTAGTTGCAGCTTGCAACTTGTGTTTATAGTGGAACCGTCTCACTGTTGATCTGCGTAGGTTTGTGCTTTCCTGCAGATATTATGCATTTTGAACTTTGGTTAAGCAGCAAAACTGTTAAGTATGTACATAAACGGGGGTGGCTGGGTCTTGCGTTGAACCGTTGACAAAAGTTGTAAGATCGAAGGTAAACAGCTGTTTAGAAAAGTAGAGAAGGTGGTGTTATGGCAATGTTCATTGCCGCGTAAAAATGCTGCAGAATAAATGGCATCGCCGAGGATTATTGAAATCTGTATTATGTGCTGGAAAGGTTTTCACATTTTTCTTTTTACTTGAATTGCAGTTCAAATCCTCCGTACAGAAGCACAACTCAGACAGAATTGTAACTTGGCAATCTCAGTTAACTAAAAAAAAAATTAAAATCAAATTTTATCTGTTAAGCTATGGGAGAAGTTCAGAAAATACTCCTAAAGTATATTTTTTGTAGCATTTTTACCCCCTAATTGAAAATGTGTGCAATAAACATCTCTAATTTTTTGATATTGTGCAAAATTACCCTTATGTCAGAAATATGAAATAAATTAATACTCTAATACCCATTTTGCCCTTTTATTCTTTCCAAAATGCCCCTGCAATCACCCTCTTCACTACAATCATTCTCCGCCGTCCGTGCTCGCCGTCTCCATCGGCTTCAAGCATCAATGACATAGGGTAGGGGAAGCCCAAATATCTTGACTTTTTTATTTGCTCGGTGGTAAGCCAAACCAAAGGCTGCCTTCCACTCCTAATATCTTCTTCTGTTTTCTTGGTTCACCAGTACTCCATGTGAAGATCTCGGTTCTCAGACGCTTCAAGCCAAAGGTGAATTTAATCTAGAATCGGGGTGAAAAGAGCTGGATTTACACTATAGAATCAAAATCTCCTGTCATACTCACAAAGGCAATGAACTTATCACGATTGGAACGAGAATCTCCCGTCGAAGTTCATCAGAGAAATTAAACATTCTTGGTCACTTCTAGGCTATGGATCAGTCTACTGCGTTATCCTATCAGTGACAGAATGGACCGGCAAGCATGAATCGGCCGGCCGGCTTTACTAGTTTTGACCCAAACGGGTCTGTACAGCCGACGCAAGGAGGTGCTCGGCGCTGATGGATCTGGCGAGGACGGATATGGCGGGCGGTGGTGACGAGGACGGTTCGCGGTAAAGAGCGTGGAACGGCGGCCGGCGAGAGGGAGGGCTCGGCGGTGAGAGAAACGGCAGGCACGGAATAACTGAATCGGCCGTGAGCTTGATGGGTCCAGTGAGAGATGCGATTTCCGATGGCAATGGTCGAACCGACGGACGGAGACTTGTAAAAAAATCGCGAGTTTGGTGGTGGTTGATTTGCAGATCTTCGGACTGGGCATTTGGGTTGACGGCAGTGATGGGTGGTGATTTTTTTTATTTTTTATTTTTTTATTTTTTATTCCCAGGAAGTCTGTAATATGTATAAGAATTGGCTCATATCAAGAAATTCAACCAATTTTTTCCTTTTATGCTCATAAATTGCTTTCAGTATTTTATTTTATTTTATTTCTTTTCGGAAAGTCTGTAATATGTATAAGAATTGGCTCATATAAAGAAATTCAACTAATTTTTTTCCTTTCATTCTCATAAATTGGTTTCAGTATATATATATATATATAGTTTTTCGGAAAGTCCGTAATATGTATAAGAATTGGCTCATGTCAAGAAATTCAACCAATTTTTTCCTTTTATGCTCATAAATTGCTTTTAGAAAGCGCGGATAAAATATAATCATAGCCAAAAATAAATTGAGAAAGATTTTAATTTTATGAGATCGAATACCTTTTTAATTAGAAAAAGGTGAAATAATATTTGGCCGTCAATCTGACACAGGAGCCGTGGAAAGAGGTACAAGGCTAAACTGCAACACTAGACGGCGGCGATCTAGCACGAGCAATGGGGTTTTCTTCTTTAAGAAAGATTCCGAGAAGTCCGTGGTGCACCGTGTAAGTAACAGATATTGAAAACTACAAAGCAAATATAATACTATGTGTATATGATTCTGCAGAGAAGAGAAAATGGGTTAACAGTGGTTCTTTGTGGTGGTTGGGTTAGGAAGAATAGTGCCCTTTTTTGTCTTTTTACAAAAAAAATTATTTTTATATATTTTATAAAATTATTAAATAAGGGTAATTTGGTCCATTTAAATTTTAAATTTGTTAAGAGACTTAATTACACCAAATTGAAACTTGAGGGGTGTTTGTTGCACGCGAGGGGTGTGATATGCACCGTAAGCATACTTCATGAGTGTTTTCTGCACTTGACCCGTTAAGCTATACCAAGCAAAGCCTATTTCGCTGAAATTAACATAGAGGAGGTGCTCTACACTGTACGATCACTTTCCGAGCACGTGCCACAAGTGATGGTGCAAAAGTGAACTGACTTGACGTAGTCTAATTTAATGACGAACAGTAAAAGTAATAAACTATGAACGGTTAACTCGTGTGTAATTTGCTCGAACTTTAAAAAAGGTTAGTGTAATTTACTTCTTTTTTTATTTATTTCCAAATTGCAATTATATTCAGAACTTCCACATAGCAAACACATGAAAATGAATTAGTTTATTTGACCAAAAGTGAATGGTCCAGAATTTCTTAATTGAAGGGAAACACAATGCTTCTTTATTTATTGTAGCCTAAAAACCAAGCAGAGAGCCCATGGAATTCATTTTAGGCAATGCAAAGGATGTTGTCAACTATTACCTCTTCTGATATACTGAGTTTTAAGAAACATTAGCAGAATATGGAAGTCTTGAATGAGGGTAGAAGTAGAGTGAGTCTGTGAAGTTCCATTCAGTGAAGATTTATCATTATTTTAAGCATTAGTTTTAGTGATAGAAATCCGTGTCTTTCTTTCAGGGATTATAAGTTTTGCTCAAAACTTGGATTAATATTTTTCTCTGATTAATATTGTTTTGCTATTTGTTGTCGTTTTTCCATTTGAATTTGTATTGGGTATTTTTATTTATTACTGTATTATTTTGATGAATTCTCTTATACAAATACAATTTTGTTGCAAGTGTTCAATTCATGCATTAAAAAGTTGGTGGTATTGATCTCCAAGAGAAACCACAGCTAGCTCATATCTTAGTGTTCATTATTGGCTTTCACTGCTCAAGCATATATTGTATGAAAGATTTGCTATTGAGACTAAACTATTAGCACCAATTCTGTTTTCTGGCAGAAGAATGAAAAATGACCTATTGTAACAATGTAATGTGAGTAGCTTTTTTAGCTTGATAGAATGCATGACCTTAGTGGATTTTAAGCTTTATTGTTGAAAAGGTATTTAAAAAGAAGCTATGCTTTTGTAAGGACAAAACAAAACAAAACAAAACAAAACTTGAATGAGTAAAAAAAAATGTTTCTCACCAAAAAAAAACAAAAAGTGAAACTTTTAATGTTGTATAGAAATAATTTAAGGTGTGTTTTCAACCTCTTGAAGTGAAGCTCAGTTTGGAATTTGGCTCAAGGACACAGGCGTTGCAGGGAGAAATCAAAGGGATTCTCAAAAATTTGCCTTTGAAATTCCGGTGAGCTTTCCTAATTCATTTTGTGGGAAGCAATCCGAAAGTTCAGTCTAGCCATTCATAATTGCACACCAAAGGAATGGGCTTGGGCTTACTCAAATGAAATGGTAAAGAGGGGTTGGGCCTTTCTATAAACCAAATATTGTCCATTATTTGCCATAAACTCTATTCACCCGACATTTTAGAGTCAATGCTGGGTAACAGTTTTTGTTTTTATTTTTATTTTTCAATATTTGGCAAAGGTTTACATCAAGGTTCAAGTTGAGTCCATCAGGTAAGACGTATAAAATAACTTATAAAAAATTGATTTTTCGTAAATATTTTAAGACCAGAAAATATATATATATATATATATATATATATATATATATATATATATATATATTTTTTTTTGGTTAGAACTTGGAACCCATACTTGAGGTGTCTCGCATGCCATACCACTATTTCAACAACCATAAATGAGATATCAAAATTTTAATTTATCCCTGACATCAAAATTCATTGAACGTCCCGTGCAAGACATAAATTGCCAGATGCAATGTAACTACTACAATAACAATGTAATGTCTTTAAGAATTTAATATGAATGATCAAATATAATCTCCACAAGTAGGGACAATTTAAACGTCTTAGATTGTAGTGCAAATTGAATACAGAAGAAAGAAAAAAAAACACACACACACACACAAACACAAACACACATTCATTTGTCCCTCCCTGAGAATTGAGAAAATTCTGCATGCCCTTGCCTGAAAGCTCCAAGATTTACCCTCCATTACCAACCAACCAATATGTTTGTTACACCCATTTTTTTTTTTTTTTAATGGTAAAAAGAATTAGAAATTTGACTTGTTACACCCATTTTTGAAACCTGAATATATTTATATGGTAGCAAGTATTTGAATTTAGTTTAAACCCCAAAGCCCAACAATCCAAACCAACCCATTTGTTATATTATTTTCTCTTTTGAAAGTAAAACTAGCCCAACGATCCAGCCTAACCCAGTTTGATATCATGTATGTAACAAAATATCATGTAATTTTACATATTATTGTTGGTATATATTTATGTATATTTATAATGGTAATAAAAAATTTAATAGTAAAGGAAGTATATTAAAATATTGTTTCATAATTTGTGGTTTAAGTTGCCAAAATAATTATAAATAAAAATTCTGGTACTTAAACCAATGTGTCCTGCAAATTTAATCCAATTCCTTTTCCAATTTTAAATCCAAATTGGTTCCAAACAGAACAAGGACTCCTACGTTCTCTTCTATAAATTATGCCTCAAACCAAATCCACGCCTCAAGCGACCGAGGATTACAGCAGCCTCAGGATATTCTATGAAGATAGAATTAGGTCTCACCAGGAGAATCGGTGTTTTACTACCAATCACAAGTTTCATGTTGGACGCAGTATTCATACTGGAAATTATAATCAAGGATTACTTTATCAACCGCCATCTACTTCAGAGATCCTTCCTGAAACATTTTTCAAATACAAAAGTTCAGTATCTTCCCACGAATTAGTGAATTAGACAAGATTCATTTGTACAGAATAACAAGTAACGGGTCACTCTTCATAAATTTCTCTCTCTTTGCGATTCTGGGTATATATATACAGGTTCGTAGATGCAATTATGGGTATAAATATAAACGATCAGCTAAGCTCGTGCCTGGAATAAATTCCATTCCCAGAGTTGGAAAGGAAAACAATTCCAATGTTTATAGATCTCTTTTTTTTTTGTAATTGAAAAGAAATTTGTTGGTTTTGTTTACAATATATTATTCCCTCCCTAGTTTGGCTTGCCGAGCTCAATCATACGGAGTTCGGGCATCCCCGAGCACCGCACCCCAAAACTCGAATTGTTTTGCTTTAGTTTCTCTTTTCTTTGTAACCTAGTTTTTTTTTTTTCTCTTGTAATTTGTAATTGTTTTGCAGGGAGCAATAAATTATTATTATTTATTTGTAATTTTTCTCCTCTCTCCATTCTCCCTTCCGGTAACAACTCTCCTCTCTCTTTCACTTCATCAAGAAGCAAAAATGGCAGGATCTTCTGCCAGTACTCGTGAAGCTCAACTTATTATTATTGCGGAAAGGATAGGCGACGACGTACACATTATACAAATTTTCTTTCGTTGGTTCTCTTTCCCATTTCCTTTCGTTATCTGCTCGTGAATTCCCCGCAATATGGGGTTTTTTTGTGTGAATGACGTGATTTACATGTTTGGGGGTGAGGTATACAAAAACGGCTTCCTCGAGGCATGCGAAGAAGTATGGGAGTTACATGTGCCTAGTTGTAAAATCAAAAGGGCGACTTCCATGGGTTCCGGAAAGATCAACCCCACATGTATAGGACCGTTGGAAGATGGTCTTGTATATGTGTTTAGCAATTATTTAAGCCCCCTTGCATGTGAGAGTTTCAATCCTAAAACCTGCGAGTGGAATCCTCTCCCTCCTCCTCCTCCCGTGCCGTTTGGTGTGTATCTCGAAAGCCACCATTCAGAAATTGTTGACCACCAGCTCCTTTTGTCGAGAAAAACAATTGTTGACCACCAGCTCTTTTCGTCAAAAAAAAAAACAATTGTCCTAACGACGGAATTCGGGAATAAGTTCAACTTGCATGTTTGGGATTGTTTTGATGAAGAAGAACCTCCGGTTGATTCTTGTAATGAAGAACCTCCGGTTCAATTTCAAGAAGAACCTCAGGTTGATTCTTGTAATGAAGAACCTCCGGTTCAATTTCCCCCTCAAATGGAGAAGGTGTCATTTCAGTCGATCCAAACTGAGCATCAAATGTACTATAGAATTGATGGCAACGGAATCAACCTGGTGGTTGGATACCCTCCATCTGGTGCACTATTGCTGAATGATGGTACCACATACCTGTTGTCCTTGGGCAATGGGAGATTTTGCACCTTCATTTCAGGGTATGTGGTCAGTCCTTTTCAATACCGCTCCCGCAATTTAAACGTTGGCGTCAACGTGTTCTCACTGAAGGATGGAATGAGGGAGGTTAAGGTTGAAGAGGAAGTTTCGGTGTCCTTGGAATTAGAGGTATCTCCTCCAGTGAGGCTTCACATCCGTGGCTGTTTCACATGGTATGTGACTTGAGTTGGTAGATTTAATTCTCATGTATGTATACAGAGCTTGCCTTATGTGTCTTTTTTAATTATCATTTGCAGCAGCTATAAGATCGGGAATGCCCAAATAGAGTCTTCTGCAAGGTGACTTTCTTTTAATTGATGTTATTTTACTATATATATATATATATATATATATATATATATTACAATTACATCATTCCCATAGCAAAATCAAATATTCATGTTTTATGTTTTCTTGTAATCTTATTCTTAATATATACTCCGTATGTATATATTTTTAGAAGTAGTCAACAAAGCTTTGAAGTAGAGTAAATGGAGACAACTGTGAATACGGTAGATGTAAAAAATAAAAATTTTAGCCGTTGCACTCTGTTTTCAAGGGTTATGGTGGAATTTCACATGATCACGAATATCTCCGAGAGTAAATGAATGTCTTGCGTATGTTATCAGAAAAATCAGACTATCTAAACACCAATTTTACATCATCATTTCTCGTCCTATCTCTCTTTTTTAGGGTTTTTGTGTACAATAAATGAAAAATACTGATTTTTTTTTTTTACCACTCCATTTTCAAATGAAAAGATCTCAAACACAATAGCAAGCGGGGTTGGGCCTTAGGTTGCTGGGTGTGAATTTGGTGGATGGCGGCCCACTTCTTCAGCACGGTTCAAAATCATTGTTAAACACGGAGAGGCCCACTTTCTTTAAGGACCTTATGGCTAATATCAAATTTCATCTCCTTCATAATATTTTTATATGGTAATAAGTATTTGAATTTAGTTTAAACCCCAAAGCCCAACAATCCAAACCAACCCATTTCTTATATTATTCTCTTTTGAAAGTAAAACTAGCCCAACAATCCAGCCTAACCCAGTTTGATATCATGTATCTAATAAGTGCACCAAATTTTTGTGATTCCAGGTTGTAACTCAGTGTTGCAATTGGTGGAGTGGTTCAGTTTGCAAACTACCATGAATTCTACTAAATCTAAAGTGTTGAGTGCAATTTTTTCAACTGCTATTTGGAAAATATGGGCTATTAGAAATGAAGCCTTGCACAAGGGACGTCAAGATCAAGCTACACATGTTGCACAAGTTATTGTATGGGAGGTTTTGTCATACCTCAAGCTGCGACTGGAAGACTTAATTCTAATTTTTAATTGCTGATGTATGCTCTGGTCCAAATAATTAGTTGCTGGAGTGTTATCATGTGGTGCTGCAGTCAACAATGGCTTTGCTGTGGTCTGGTTTTTCAAGAATTCATTCTTGAGGATGGCTTTCTTTTGTTTGTTTGCTTTTATCATTTTAAGAAGGCTTTGGTTTTCTTTATGGTTTTTCTAGTTAGGATTTGGTTTTTATTTTTGCTGTGGATGGACTTGTTGTCCATTCTTCTGTTTCTTTTGGAGGTTTACCCTCTCCTTTTGTAATTGTACTATTGTTCTTCTATTTATAAAATTCAAAAAATATCCTATTCAGGAAAAATATATATATAAAAAATATATATATATATATATATGTGTGTTTGTGTGTGATAACTTGTTATTTTATATTCAATAATAAATAAATAATTAATATTTTTTATTAGTTAAAGGTTCTTATCTCTACTTTTCATGTTTTATAGGAGCTAATTTCGGAGAAAAGAGCCAAAAATGGCAATACCATCAAGTCAAAAATATCAAGCCAAATTGGAAAGTAGCAAGATTTTAGGAATATTTTTTGTATTTTTATTTTATTTTATTTTCAATTATGTAATAAGAATTTTTCCCTTCCAATTGTTTCATTTTAAACTCTATAAATAGGGACATATGTAGACGAGGAGAGAAAATAATACAGAGTTAGAGATTTTTTTAGCTTGGTATTTTTTGTCTTGTAATTCTTATTATTATTATTATTTTTAGGTTGTTGCATTTTTTATTTTATAAAAAAGTCTTCTAATCAGATGATCCCCACCCATGACATAGGTTATATTTAAAGTACAAACTAATGCCGTATTTTTTATTTTATAAAAAATTCTTCTAATTAGAGGATCCCCACCCATAACATAGGCTAAATTTAAGACACAAACTTGAGCGGAAGGAATTTGAACCCAACGTGGCAATGTGCATCCTACCATCCAACTACGCTACACCCGCACAACAGTGCATGTTACCATTTAATGTCACCAAGTTGCCAAATCTGCAGGGAAGCAAGGCATGCAAGGATGCAGAAGAAGTAAAAAAGAGAAGACTTACATGAATATATACTAATATGCATATAGAGTTTCTCAGTGTCAACATAGTACCTACTAGAGATTTTTTGAGCTTGCACTTTCCTGAGTTTTTACGCTTTCACCAGACAAACAGAATATTCAATTATCTCCAGAGGGTATGGAGAAATTTGTTCCAACTCAGATGTCAAGAAAGTGACAACATCAACAAGAAAATCTCAGAATTTATTTGTTGTCCATGTTAAAAACATCTCAATTTGATATGATTCAGAACTGCATGCCATACCACTATTTCAACCTCCATAATGAGACATCAAAATTGGTTTATCCCTGACCAACAAATCTGAAATTGTTAAACTACCAACAAAATTCATGAAGACAGAATTTGACATTCCAATTATCAGATACAATACCTTTCGGGAAAAAATATAACCAGAACAATCCCCACAAGTAGGGGCAATTTTAACATCTTAGATTGTAATGCAAATTGAATACACAAAAAATACAATCATTTCTTTCTGTTTCTCCCTGATAATCCTGAATTCTGAGAAAATTCTGTAAGCCCTTGCCTGAAAGCTCCAGGATTTACCCCATTACCATCCAATATGCTTGTTACACCCATTTTTGAAACCTGAAAAAAAATAAAATATTAAAACTTGAAAATTTATAGGTGACAAAAAAGCCTAAAGTAGAGATTTTAAGCAATTTGCAGTGCATCTCAACAATAAAAGAATATGGGATTCAACTTCTCAAACATACAAGGATATAACTGATAGGAAAACAATAAGGTTAATCTTACCGATTCAATGTTCCGGTCCTCGTCATAAAAAAAGAGCATTGAATTGAAGGGCACCCCAGTCCTCCGATTAATTCTTTGGAAATGTTGTGTCTTGTGTGTCCAACTTGAAAAAATCTCCTGAAATTTCATCACAATTCTTCAACTAACCTGTGTGAATGACAAAAACACACAGGTTAGTTCTCTCTCTTTGCGATTTTGGGTATATATATACTGGTTCATTGATGCAATTACAATATTATATTATTAATGAAAACACAGGATGAATATGAAAAGATATCAGCATGATCAGAAGCATGACATGACAAATTATTGCTATTTGTTACTTATAAAACCTTAAACTCAGTGGGTAAAAAAATCTGTCTACAGACTATTCATAGTACAACATAGCTTCTAATTCGCCATACTAAGTAGCCATTCAGATGAGGAAAGGCAGTTCAAAACATCAAAAAAGTTATTTCAAGCTTTTAAATAGAAGATAAGGTTTCGGTAAATTATGGACCAAACAATGAAATTTATTTCTTTCGAACAATGAGGCAAGTATAGTTGCATGTTTGTGGGCAGTAAACAAGTAGGTGAACTTCTGTGTTAAAATTTTACAAAATTGCGTATGAATAATGCTAGTGCAAACAAATAATATGAACTTTTAGAGTTGGTTATTTTCTCTAGCTGTTTTTATCACAATCTGGGAAACCTTAACACATCGAACATACAATGGAAGTGGTCATGCAAATGGGCCGATAGTACTAGTGGTGGTGGCTGTGAATGGTACCAAAATGTGAAAGATAGTGTTGGTGGTTGTCCTAAAGAAGACAGATCTTGAGATTGATTATAGGGTGGTAGTTGTTATGGAGATCAACTGGCAAATTTCAGCTTGCATCCCACTAAATGAATTTGTAATTTAAGGCAGCAAATCGGACTCCCAAACCCAGAAACCAACCACTTTAATGAACAAAAAAAAGTCCTCCTAATGCCTTAAAAGGAAACAATATAGTGAATTATCCTAGGTGGTGTAAAAGATTCATTGATGATTATTTTCATGAAGTTTAAAAAAAAAAAAAAAAAACTATTTTATTTGTTATTAGGATTGATTAATAACTCAAATAATGTTTTATGGCGTTTTAAAAATTTTGACCAACTTGATTTATTTCACTCTTTCTTTAAATGTATATATATATGGTAACAAAACATCATGTAATTTTACATATTATTGTTGGTAATTTAAGTATATTTATAATGGTAATAAAAAATTTAACAGTAAAAGAAGTATATATTAAAATATTGTTTCATAATTTGTGGTTTACGTTGCCAAAATAATTATAAAAAAAAATTCTGGTACTTAAACCAATATGTCCTGCAAATTCAATCCAATTTTTTTTCCAATTTTAAATCCAAATTGGTTCCAAACAGAACAAGGACTCCTCTTTTCTCTTCTATAAATTCTGCCTCAAACCAAATCCCAACGCCTGAAGCGACCGAGGATTACAGCAGCCACATATCTGCAAATAGATCAGGTTAGTTCTCTCTCTTTGCGATTCTGGGTATATATATACAGGTTTTTATTTTTTTTTCGAGAAAGTTAAGGTGTATTGATTATGTAACTGTACAAGATCCAAATAGGGCAAAAGCCCAATACATCAGACAAGCCCAAGGCTGCCAAAACAATGGCCCAAGTCCATCAAAGTTGAACAAAGACAATGATAGTCTACAGAACCCTAGACTAATCTTGTCTACGCCAACAATCCAAAACAGTCCGGTACCAAACAATAACAGAGAAGAAATTTGTAATTGAAAAGAATTTTTTTTTTTGTAATTGAAAAGAAATTTGTTGATTTAGTTTACAATATATTATTCACTCCCTAGTTTGGCTTGCCGAGCACAATCATAGGGAGTTCGGGCATCCCCTAGCACCGCACCCCAAAACTCTAATTGTTTTGGGCACGAGTTTTGCTTTAGTTTCTCTTTTCTTTATAACCATAGTTTTTTTTTTTTTTTTCCCTCTAAAATTAGGGACTGATAAATTATTTATTAGTAATTGTTTTGCACGGAGTAATAAATTATTTATTTGTAATTTTTCTCCTCTCTCCATTCTCCCCTCCGGTACCAATCCGGGTCTTCTACCACTCCTGAAGCTCAACTTATTGTTCTTATCTTTCCCCTGTACTTTCGTTATCTGCTCTTCAATGAAGAACCTCCGGTTCTCACCCCTCAAATTCCGGAGCATTTGTCATTTGAAGCGCTCCACATGGACCTAACTCTGTTCTATATAGTAGTGATAGCAACGGAAGCAAACCGGTGGTTGGATACCCTCCATCTGGTGCACGTTTGCCGTATGATCCTGCCGCATACCTGTTGTCCTTGGGCAATGGGAGATTTTGCACCTTCCGTTCAGGGTATGAGGTCAGTCCTTTTCAAGACCCCTACAGCAATTTTAAGGTTTGCGTCAACGTGTTTTCACTTAAGGAGGAAATGAGGGAGGTTAAGGTTGATGAAGAGGAAGTTTCGGTGTCCTTGGAAATAGAGGAATCTCCTCAACTGAGGCTTCACATCCGTTACTGTTTCGCATTCTATGTGACTTGAGTTGGTAGATTTTATTCTCATGTATGTATATAGCGCTTGCCTTATGTGTCTTTTTTAATTATCATTTACAGCCTAGCACAACATACAATGTATGTGTCTTTTTAGTAGGTTTTTAAAAAAAATTAAAATCAAATTTTATCTATTAAGCTATACCAAGCAAAGCCTATTTCGCTGAAATTAACATGGAGGAAGTGCTCTACACTCTATACGATCACTTTCCGAGCACAACATGCAACAAGTGATGGTGCAAAAGTGAACCGCATCTTGTGAGTTTTTAGTAATAACTTGACGCAGTTTAACAAAAATAAACTCTGAACGGTTTACTATGTAATTTGTTCAGACTTTAAAAAAGGTTATTGTAATTTATCTGCTTCTTTTTTTTTAATTGTCCAAACGAAACTAGAACTATACATTCTTTAAATCACTTGTCCAACATTCACTTGGAGATATATGGAACATAACAGCTTACAAAACTATCAGTAGCTGTAGTGAGAGATAAAGTATTTTAAACTCAACATAGAACTCCAGAGACTATTGAGTAACTAGTACTAGCAAAGATTACTAGTATACATGAAGCTGCCATTGTAGGTATAAACACAGATGTCAAAACAATCCATTAAAAGTACATAAATCTCTTTCCATTACAAAACTTATTGCTATGAACAGTTCTATTAAACAAAATCAAAAGAAGAGATTCAATGTTATTAGAGACCACATCAGACTGCACTAATTACAAGTCGCAACAAACTATTTCCTACAACATCAAGTTCAGGAAATGCCGAGAAAATCCCCACATTCATCGAAGGAGCATCATCTAATCAAGATTATGGTTTTATTCCATATCAAAGGATCAATTCCCCCCAGATAAAACCAAGAAATCATTAACCGGTGAAGATGTAACAGGGTATACGTCAACAACACTTGTAAATTAGCAACATTTTGGGTTATGAAGGAGCAGAATAGATGATTTTGGGTTAGAAAGGCAAAGGAGGAGAGGACAGGACATGACGGATTAAATTAGCCGTCTTTTGAAGCTTCTGGTGGTTCCTTGATAGGTTCGAACCAGCAAGCCCGCTCCTATTCCGATCCCAAGACAAATGCTGAGGCCAATTCCAACACCCACCCTCACACCAGCATTGAACCATGACAGCTCTCCATCTTCACCTTCTAAATAGTCTGCCCCTGAATAGAAGTTGTAATAGTCTTTGTTTTCTGGTTTGTAATTTGGGTAATCGAAATCCTGCAAGGATCAAAGCACGAGGGAAGCAGCATGTTTAGTGCAAAATGAAAATCAGATTGAGAAACAAATAAAGATTTTCAATGCATACGAGACTAAAATATAACTGCTTTTGGTGATCTCCCAGAGAGGAGCATAACATATGGTGAAAAAGTAGAGAAAGCGGAAGCCGGAAACAAGGGAACCCCAAGCATGAAATATGATGGGAATGCGTCAACTGTCACAGTAAATGGAAAGCAATAGGTGTCGTGAATTTGAACTAGAAACCCATCAACAAACTTTTCAAAACAAAATTAGAAGAAAGGTTATCTATAATATTCTATATTGATGCTAGGAAATAAATGTATATATGTATATGTATATATGTATGCATAGAAGAAAGGTTAGTTCTTTATTACCCAAAAAAGTTTCAGCTATAGTTGTGGCACCTGGGGGAGGCTTCATCTAATCCATACCTCATAGGGAGGGGCTGGGGAGGATAAGATGTTTTGTTCTAATAGTCTAACATATATCAAATATATAGCCCAACAGAAAATTCACAGAACTGTTACCGGGATTTACCATAAGACTTCTAATGTCCAGATATATAACCATTCGATAACAGTACAAAAGACCTTCAAGTATGATTAAGTGATACCCTGGAAGAAAGAATAGGAGCAACAACGATACAAAAGGTCATACTTATAGATATCTACTTGACAGACAAACAAGTTGATATATGCACGATTACACGAACTGCCATTAACACAGAGACACTAGAATAGATACATAGGAGAGTTGAAAAAGATCTTAAGAAGATGAAGGAAAGAGCACAAAGCAAGATATATATCCAGATATAGAGGTGATCAAGCAAATAATATAACAAGTAAAATTTACTAGAACCATTTTTTTGGGTAAACACAGTGTTAGTATGTACTCTTATAAATTCAGAAATTCATGATTATGATAACACATACCTTAACGTTTAGGACCCAATATATCTTTTGAAAGACGTAAAACTTAAGGTTGTATACACAAATTCAGTATTTCTATGTTCAAACTGACTCTCAATTTAAAAGTTCGTATTAACATATGAACAACTAGCCTACATTTTCTTATTTATATAATGAGCCAAAAAACATGTAAATTTATTTCAATAATAACGCCACGCCAACTTCTCATATTTCTGAAATCACCTTCACTCTTCTACAAATTTTCAAGATTTTTCTAAAACCCTAAAAACGTTAAAATTTTCTATTTATACCAAGAGTCTCAGAAAATTTTCCTTAAGTCTTAACGGTGTTAAACCACAAATGCATGAATATAAACAAGAATGAAGCAAAACTGCGAATACCAGTTCCCTCATTAATAAACAATGTGGGAAGTGATCAAGTATATAACCCAAAATGGCTAGTCAGGCATAATAAATAGTTTAGCAAAATAAGATTATATTACGGTATGAAAAATTGGCATGGAAGGTCTTGGTTAGAAGAAGAAGAAACAAACAAAAAAAAAAAAAATTAAAGGTTAATAATATAATATTGTATATTCTCTAACTTAGAACCATGTGCCAGCCCCATGCTTCCTGATCCATATTCCATAGGATAAGATTTGGTGTTGCAGATGAACCACACATCCCTACTGTGAATAGATCAAAGCTCATAAACTACACATCCTTAACTTAAAAGATTAAAGCTCATAATAGCATTCAAAATTTAGAAGTCAATAGCAAAGTGTGTACCTGCAATGCAAGCCCAGAGGGAACATATTTCGGGCTTTCAGTTGCCTCATATTCAGGTATGGAGTTAAGCATCCCCTTCCTCGTTTGCTTCTTGCGAAAACTAAGCTGCACGGTCTTAGTCAAGACAATTGGGGTACCTGAGAAGCAACCGGCCACATAAACTTCAATCATTGGGGAAGTTGACTCTAGGCCCATGAAATGTCTCCCCTTCAAAAACCCGGTCCCAGCAACTGTATCTGTTTCACAACTCATGCTCCATCTCTGGCCATGATTTTTCGATTGTCCCATAAATCCATTGTAATCACTCAATTCTAAAATCCCGGATAGCATTAGAACATCCTTACTAAAAACCTCAAACTTCACACTCCCTGTCAACCTTATACTATCAGTACTAACAAATGTAACTTCTTCGGATTTCTTATCTAACCTATCCCTTCTAAGAAGGGTTGTGATGCCGTCGGAGTAGATGCTAGTTCTTACACCGTTTACCTCAAGAAGGGTGTCTTGATACAGTGGGACATGGTTTAGTGTTAGGTACTCAGGAGTTGAATCATCAATCTCACATTTGGAAACTCTCACATAAAAAACTCTTAAATCAAGCCAATGTAATGATGATACCTTAATGCAGGGCTTGTAAGGAGAGTGCCCCATAACGCTGTGACCATTCTCGGCCCTACCATTTCCGTTTGCTGTCCGGTGACAATTCTCCATGGTCATCAAAGATAATTAATCCTCCTTTTTACAGAAATCCATCAGCACTAACTGAGATGATGACTTGGGGAAACCCATACAAGTAAGACTCAGCATGAGTAAAAAAAAACCTGTTAAAATTTCAACAAAATCAAAGTAATTCAATAAACCTGCTCAGAAACTGAAAGCCTCCCCCAAAATGAAGAAACAACACATTCAAGAACAAGAACAAGGGGAGAGAGAGAGAGAGAAAGAGAGCGAGGAATTCAACAGAAAAGGGAGTCCAACTATTCTTAAACATCAAACGGGAATTTACAAGAAAACTACTTTATTTTTAAAAACAAAGAAACCTACTTATATACAACTATACAAGACAAAACAATTGAGAAGAAGATAAAGTAAAAGGAGAAAAACAATTGAAACCCATCAAGAAAAAAGAGTTCTGCAGAAGAATAAAACCTTTAATATCTGTTTTGTGGGTGAAAATTGAAATGGAACTCAAAACAAACAGGTAATATACATAACCAGTGGACAAACCAGCAAGGCAAAAACCATTTTAGTGAAGGTGAGAACTGAAGTCAGAAAGGGATAAGAGGATGAAAGAAATATTACACAAGATAAATCCAAAACCAAAGAGTTGAAATCCAACAAAACTGATTTTACCCAATATAAAGTGATGAAACAACTCAATAACAAATTTAATTGAAGATAACAATTAAAAGCCAAAAAAAAGAGAAAAGAAAAAGAAAAGAAAATTTCAATAATAGAGAAACATACCAGCAGCATCATAGAGGCAAAGACAAATACTAGAAGAACAACATTTTTTCTTCTCTTTTATGTATAATTCTTAATGGCAATCAAAGATTGAAGTCCGATGTATTGCCAAGTAAAGTGTGATCAGTAGTACAATAAGGAAGAGGACAGCAGAGTGCAAAAAAACACAGATTCCACACAAAGGCCGGCAATAGATGACATATAATGAACGTCATATAAAAAAACAAAACAGGTCTCTCTCTATAACTACAACCATATATTTTCGTGGTATACACAAAGTAGTACAAACAAACACACCATAAAAATCCTCCAAACCAACTCTCTGCCTCTAGTTAGGAAAAAAATCTCTGCCTCTACTTTGCACCCTCCATAATCCAAATAATCGAATTTAAGCATCTTATGATTTCTCGAGTCGCTTTCTAACACACAAAACGACCAGAACCAAACAGAGCTTTCAATTTTACAACCCAAAGAAGTGCCATTCAGCATATATTAATCGAAATAAAAAAAATTAAAAACAAAAAAATTAGCATTCAAATTTCATGAATAATAATGGTCTCTATACAATCACGGTTTTTTTCTGGGCTTGCCTGATTTTTGATTTATTTGTTGAAAAGTGGGGGGTTGGATTGGATTATACATTTTGCATACTAAAGTTTAGTTGATGACATTTATTGGAATTTATATGCAATCCATTAGTTATGGTTATGTTACAGTAATTTTTTTCTTTTTTATTTTTTCCAAATATGCTCTTGAGCAAAATAATTTATTCTGCCTTTAAATATTTTTTCAAGTCTCACAAGATGCTTACGTTGTGCTCTAAATTCAAATCTAAAGCGTCATGCAAACAGATTAAGCACTTAAAATCTCCACACCATGTTATAGATCATTATTACATTCAGGACTTTTGAAATATATATTAATTGTTATTTACCGAAAATACATACATATATATATATATATATATATATGTTAATTACCCATTTTCTCAAATACTAGTATTCATTTTCCTTCTTATTGGGAAACTCGGCAAGACAAGGGACGCGTGAAAACAACCTGACGGAGCTATCTTCTCCACGTGATATTCACATGGTCTTAATTTATACCGTAAATAGATATGTGTAATTACGTTTATATACATAGAATGGACGGACTAACATTCCACAAACCCCACGGGTCTGGCCCATTTTTTAATGAGTGGACTTGCAGAGGGAACGTAGCCAACTGTCACGCCCCGCCTATGGAGGTTGTGCCACGCAGGCGACACGCAGACGCTGAGGAGGACGCTGTATGGCAACTGCATGGCAAGTGGAGTTTCTAGAGTCTTCCGGAGTAGTCTAGAGTTGTGTGGAAGATTCTAGATATGTGTAGTATATTCTAGAGGTGTGTGGAAGGTTCTAGAATTCTCCAGAATTGTGTGGAATAGTATGGAGGGTTCTAGAATGTTGTAGATATGTATGGAGATGTGTAGAAGGTGGAAGAAGATTCTAGAGAATCAATCTCCACCGTTGGTTAAAATGCATCCTAGCCATCCATTAGGGATGGGGATGCCTATAAATAGGAGTAGGACTTCATTTTGCAACCAACAAGTCCTAGAGTAAGTCTTGAGAGCCTTGTAGAGAGCTTGAGTGCTAGCCTTGTACAAAGCATTCTTTGAAGTAATAGAAGTGTTCTTTCCTTGCCAACTTAAGTGCCTTAGTGTGTGTGAGTGTGCAAGCCAAGTGAGGAGAGGGCGAGGGCAACTACAACACTAGTAAGCGCACGAGGGGAGTGTGTTGGCTAAGGTGTGCACGGGAGTTAGGCTAACCAAGTACTTGCGAGAGTGAAAGCAACGTCTTGGTGCCGCACGGGAGCAGCTAGAGTGGTACTGAAACTCTAAGCCCGTGACAGTTGGTATCAGAGCAGGTTCGTCAAGGGAGCTTTGTTGGAGTAGACATGGCTAGCGGAGGAGACCACCAAGTCCACATCTTAGAGCAGAGCTTGGAGGAGAAGCTTGCCACACACTTGGTCTACACGGAGACTAAGTTTAATAGGCTCGAGAGAAGGATGGCGGAGCTCTACGAGCTGATTGATGGCATCGCCAACAAGGCGCAAGAGAAGGAAAGGGACTTGCATGATCTGGTAGACGACTTGCGCGTGGAGATTGCCGAGTGCAAGAAGGAATTCTCCCAGACGCGCGAGGTCGTGGTGAAGCCAAGGAAGAAGAAGGCGCCGGAGCCCAAGGAATACGATGGGGCAAGGAATGCTCGCCAGATTGACAACTTCTTCTGGCACATGGAGCGGTACTTCGAGTGCATGGAGATCGAGGATGATGAGGAGAAGGTGCAGACAGGCACTATGTACCTCACGGACACTGCCGCTCTATGGTGGAGACAGCGCTTCACCGGTAAGGGCGCAAGAGCAGTTGATACATGGGAGGAGTTCAAGAGGCAGCTCAAGAGGCAGTTCTACCCTGAGTGCGTTGAGGACCTCGCCATGATCAACCTAAGGCGCCTGAAGCAGAAGGGCAGCATAAGGGAGTATGTGAAGGAGTACTCCAACTTGATGCTGGAGATCCCAGAGATGCCGGAGCGGCAACGTGTGTGCTTGTTCATTGATGGGCTGCAGTCTTGGGTGGCCACGGAGCTAAGGAGGAGGGAGCCTAGAGACTTGGCATCCGCAATGGCTATAGCGGAGCGCCTCGAAGACTTTAGGCGCGATGACAAGAGGGCCACGTCTCCCAGGAGGGACCACGGCAAAGGTGGGGGAGACCGGCGCTTCAAGAAACGGGGCTCGCCCAAGTCTAGTGATGATGAGCACAGCGATGAGGAGAGACGCCCACGCCATGATAAAGGCAAGGACCATGGAGAAAGGTCTAAGGCTAGTGGCAAAGGGGAGCGCCGCGATAAGGGCAAGTGGGAGCCGAAGTGCTACTTGTGCGAAGGGCCGCACATATTGCGACACTGCCCCAACAAGAAGACCATGAGCGCCCTTGTGAAGGATAAGGGCAAGGGCAGGGTGGACGATGCGGGCAGCGATGAAGATAGGTGCATGGGGGCTATGCAGATGCTGAGTAGCATGGCGCATGACACCAAGAAGAAGGGCAAGGCAAAGAAGGTAGCTGGGGTGCGCTATGTGGATGCGCAGGTTGGTGGCAAAGCCGTGCAAGCGTTGGTAGACACGGGTGCTACACACAACTTCATTACCCCGGAGGAGGCGCAACGACTTGGCTTGGAGATGCGCAAGACGGAGGGCTGGATCAAGGCCGTCAACTCCGAGGAGGCACGCGTGAGTAGAGTGTGCAAGGAGGTGGAGCTATGCATGCAAGGATGGAAGGGCAAGGCTGACTTCCAAGTTGCGGAGATGGACGACCACGACATGGTGCTGGGGCTGGAGTTCATGGACAGGAACAACGCCGCGCCACTACCATGCCTTGGTGCGTTGATGATACTTGGAGGCGAGGAAGGCAAGGCCGCATGTATGGTGTCGCTCGTGGGCAGGAAGGAGAGTCCAGAGGTGGCAGTCAACACGATGGAGCTCGTGAGGACTTCACATCTCCCGAAGGGCGCTCGTACGTTTGGGCCAAGGACATATGCGCAAGTGCTGATGACCTGCGAGAGGCTGGGTCAGCTGAAGAAACCGTGACGAGGGCGTCACGGAAATGGGTGGGGGAGAATGTCACGCCCCGCCTATGGAGGTTGTGCCACGCAGGCGACACGCAGACGCTGAGGAGGACGCTGTATGGCAACTGCATGGCAAGTGGAGTTTCTAGAGTCTTCCGGAGTAGTCTAGAGTTGTGTGGAAGATTCTAGATATGTGTAGTATATTCTAGAGGTGTGTGGAAGGTTCTAGAATTCTCCAGAATTGTGTGGAATAGTATGGAGGGTTCTAGAATGTTGTAGATATGTATGGAGATGTGTAGAAGGTGGAAGAAGATTCTAGAGAATCAATCTCCACCGTTGGTTAAAATGCATCCTAGCCATCCATTAGGGATGGGGATGCCTATAAATAGGAGTAGGACTTCATTTTGCAACCAACAAGTCCTAGAGTAAGTCTTGAGAGCCTTGTAGAGAGCTTGAGTGCTAGCCTTGTACAAAGCATTCTTTGAAGTAATAGAAGTGTTCTTTCCTTGCCAACTTAAGTGCCTTAGTGTGTGTGAGTGTGCAAGCCAGGTGAGGAGAGGGCGAGGGCAACTACAACACTAGTAAGCGCACGAGGGGAGTGTGTTGGCTAAGGTGTGCACGGGAGTTAGGCTAACCAAGTACTTGCGAGAGTGAAAGCAACGTCTTGGTGCCGCACGGGAGCAGCTAGAGTGGTACTGAAACTCTAAGCCCGTGACACAACGCCGAAGTTGACCCGCCCCCTTCGGAAACATGTACTATCTTTTAAGTGTCGGGTTGAACTTCCCATGCACACAAAAGTCCTTAAATATGTAATCTTGAGCTTACCTGTTCCTTTCACTATAGAAATCGTTTTGTTCGATTTATAATTCTCAGAACAATTTTATGAGAACTGAAAATAAAAAATTGTATAAAAAAATTTACTTAGTTTAATTTTCTGAAAACTATATTTTTAAAACTAAGTTATAAAAATGTCTGTTTTCAGATAACTGTTTTTTATTATTCTTTGAAAACTGTTTTCTAAATTCTTAAGAACTGTTTTCAAAGTTTCAAACTAAACAAGCCCCTATCATCCATGCCACAACAAATGGAGAGTTACAACAAATGAAGAGTTTCTATAAATGTCTAGTGGGGTACCATATGTAAGTACCCCGAGGGTAGAGCTTAAACCCGTCAAAAAAGTATACAATACTCCAAGAGTATTTACTATGAGATACCCTCAACCAATGCACTGTAATAATTTTTTTGAAAAATCGAGAGTTTTCATTAACTGCATTAGCCAAGTGTAAATACGCCGGAGTACTATATACTTTCTCAAGCCGGTTATGTCACTTTTCAAAACCATTTCAACAAAAAAAATTTAAATAATCCTGATATAATGATGGCATGGTATCACGCACTTAATTATATACACATAAATAAGAATGCATCAGTTTTGATGGTCCTATTATTGTGCGTCATTGTTTAACTAGAGTTCAATGACAACAGGTAGAGTTTGATTGGGCCAACCGAAACCATTATGGTCCAATCAAACTTGGATACAATCACTTCGCATTAGCAAAAGAAAACCCCTCCACGCAAACCAGCATATACGACCACGACAATGATGTTCAGAATTTGACTGATCGACGTTGAATCACAACAAATATTCCAATGACAATTTTCCATGTCTTTGCCAAATCAACACTCAACCACAGCATTTTACCATATAACCTTTGAAATGGCCATGCACCAAGAAAATGGCACCTTTGCGAATGATACGTACCAGCATAAAATTCAAAATATTGAAAATAAAAGAACATCCTTGTTTGGTAACACCAGTCACATAGGGTAGTCGGCATAACAACACCAATGCAGAAAAAAATAATAATAATAATAATAAATAAAATAAACATGACAACTTCAATATGCTGATTTAAAAAAACCCAGAATCCAAATACTTTTATCACCTTCTCCTGTTCTACAGTAGCATCAAAAAAATTTACCATCTGATGCATCATTTTCAGTACTAAGATGTTAAAATTAATCAAGCACTTTATCAAGGAAGAGTATCTGGATTCCCATCCCTTGGCTTTCGGAAAGAGCAGTTAAGAAGCCGAGACGATAGAGAGGAAGCATATGCTCCCAACTCAATTGGAAGGCGATAAAGAAAAGATAGAATAACTTCTCGAATAATCTAATTTCAATGGCCAGAAACGAGAAAATTAATAACATAAATCTGACAATTAGAATTCATTGGATGGTAGTACGAAATCTATTCCTAGCTACAGGTTTATGATGCATCATGTAATATAATAGTACCATAGAGATGCAGAGAGGAGGGGAAAGCAGTGGACCTGGTTATTGATTAGATGGTATAGGTTTACATTGAGGGGTACACAGAAGAATGTTTATCAAAATTTAAACAAATTAGATCTGTCAAATGATTACACAATTTTAGGGCTCTGAACTTGTACAACTAAAGGATGTATGGCACATTCTTTCCTTGCACACAGTATGTTATTGACGGAAAAAAACTTACACCAAGCAATAGCCATAAATGGAAAGAAAATAGTTAAGATTTGGTGGACTCAACAGAAGAAGTAGAGTAGAAGAGAAGTAGAGTAGAAGAGAGTGAGAAACCACTCGTCTGAAATCTGATTTGGTTTGAAGTGACTGCAATCCAGAGTCTCGATCACCGAGGAACTGCAAAGTCTAGGGATGACCACAAAGAAATATAAGATAATTAGAGGATGAAACTTTCACCAAAAAAAGATTGATAAACTCGTTAAGTAGTAAAGTATATTACATGTTAAAGAAAGGAACATCAGAATGTACCAAAAAGATCAATAACTCGAATTCATTGGGCAAAGAGAAGGGAACAAGAATGAAATAATGTCCCCAGTTGTCAAATAATACCGTTAACGGAATTAGTGGAAATGTGTTTATACCAGGTGCAGTTGAAAAATAATTACTCAAGTTTGACTGCAATTTTCTTATCTTTGATGAGATGGGATTGCTGATGATTAAGCAGTGTAAGAAGCTTAACTAACTATGTGCCAGACCTTACAACAATCAGATCACTCACACAAATCAACCACGTACAGTAACAGCCTAGCTTAGAAATAGAAAGATCCATAAGCAATTAAAGGCATGGAGAAAACTTATACAGCATCGGCAACTTTGTAAAAATGAAATGTATGAGCACATCTCCTGATTACAATAAGACAGACATTAATTTGAAGAGAATATCATAGCACGTTATACAAGATAAAAATGTGGACCTAATTGTTGGCAGAGGAAGCACACTTCACAGAATCTATGATAAAACTTCACATAAACCTATAATGCGATTTCACGTATAAAGCACTGCTTCAAGCGTGACAGTGTACCAGACCACACAACAACCAGATCACTCACAAAATTCTACCACACATTGTAATCGACCTAGCTTAGTAATAGAAAGATTCCCAAGAAACCGAAGCAGTTAAAGGCATGGAGAAAATGAGTACAGCACCAGTGACTTTGTAGAAAAAGAGATACATGATCAATATGTCTCCTGATTACAATAGGACAGGAACTGAGAAACTTAAGAAAAAAAACATAGCACGTTACACATGATAAATTCTAAGCAAGTTGCAGATTTCAATGTCTAAAACTTTCAGAACTTCGATTTTTTTTTCCTTCACAGAACGATATAGAAAAAGTCCTACGTAATTATTCCGAGTAAAAATCCAGCGAACCTTGTCACAATGGTGTTGCAAGTCCTATAAAGAAAGTAGAAGAACTAGTCAGAACACAAATCAGATACAAAACAAGGTTCATCCCCCACTAGAATCTAACAAAGTAAGCTAAAACTAAACTTTTGAATTCTAAACCCAATGACACATAAAAGCAACCAAATACCGATTACTGATAGTGACATTATATTTTATTCAAATTCAAATGCAGACTAAAAATAAACACTTAATCAATGGACACAGACAAAAACCTATGAAATTGAAAGCCATTTAATGATATATAAGATATCAATCTACTCAAATCAGCTACTCTATTCAATGCAAGCAACAATTAAAGCAAGAAAAATCAGTAAGTACCTTTTAAAAATTCAAATAACAGCAGCATATCTATATTATGTTCTAAAAAATCAACAGAACAAGGTTCATCCACTAATACGATCTCACAAAATGAACTATACTAAATGTTTGAATTCTAACCATTAAAACGTATTTAAACAACCAAATACTAATATTACGTCAAGTTTATCCAAATTCAAATGCAGACTAAAAGTCAATATTTAATTAACAGAGGCAAACCCAACAAAATTGAATTGCATTCGATAATATCGGATGACAATCTACTCAATTATGCTACTCTATTCAACCCAAATCAAGTCAAAGCGAGTAAAATTAGTAAGGAATTTTCAAAGAATCAAATAACAACAATAAACCCATATTAGGTTAAGTATGACAAATATCAACAAACCAGAGGGACTTCAACGATGTAATAATCATAACACTATCTAGAGAGAGAAATACCTTGAGAAAGCCAGCTCCAGCAGGTAGAATCAGCAGCGATGCTGGACCTGAGACGAGCCGAAGCAATGGCACTGTGAAGTGGTAGCATAGATTCAACGCTTCCCAACGCCGAAACAATCCTGCAAACACAACATACATGCATATAAATATATACATATATATATATATATATATATATATATATATATATAGCAAACAGCAGATATTAAAAAGCCATTTGAGAGAAGATTAAGGTAAATCAGGGTTGAGATCAGATTTGAGATGGTAGGGATTTACCTTGAAGCAGAACGAGAAATGGGTATGGTGGGAGAAGAGAATGGAGAGGAAGGTACGGACTTTGGAGCTAGGGTTTTGGAAATTAGGGTTTTGGATCGAGCCGTGACGGACCTAGCCCCTGCCAATACTGCTGATCTGCACGCCGAAGCCATTTAAGTCTATGGAGGTTGGAACTGGGAAACACTCTGAGCTTAAACCCTACAACACTGTGATATGCATCGTAATAGCATTTGCCCAAACGACGTCGCTAGTAACATATTAGGTAAGTCCTTCCATTTTCATTCTACAAATCCTATCAATAACTAAAAAATAGGAGGTTTGGGCTCATCATCGCAAAGAATAAAATATTTCCTTAGGTTTTTTTTTTTATAGTGATGAACCGTTCTTATGATGATCACTAATGTTTTAAGCAAGGTATAGGTGAATTACTTATATATAAGGGTATGATATGAGTATTTTGGGGGTAAAAATAAAAATAAAAAATTATGCGGCTCAAGGCCAAAGCGGCCGGATAAACTATAAGATATATAATTGGGTAAAGTGCATAAAACCTCCTTGAACTTTCAGCCAATTGCACAAAACCTCCGAATTAACAATTGCCCCTGAACTATGATAAAGTTGCAGTTTAGGACATCAGGTGAGGTTTTCGGCACCGGAAAAAGAGGATTACAATATTACCCTTTAGTATGTGTCAAACAAATCTTAACCATCCAATAGAATTGTGACAACATACCTTATCTACCTCATCCTTATCACCAAACCACCACTCATTTCAGCGCGCCAAACACGGCCTTACACACAAGGCGCTCTCTCTCTCTACGCTCTAGTTTTCCCACCGTCGACGACATTGTCGACCAAAAAGGTTTCGCCTTAGGTCTGTATGATGCTTATCAAAAAGGTTTGTTTGTGGTTCACTAGAATGAGACTTCACTGGTCTGCTCGCAGTGCCGGCGATCACGGAGTTTGAGGTTGGCTCTCACCAGTTTCGCTGCTTGTTGATTCTTAGAGCTTCTCATCGGCGTTAGCGGTAATGGAGTTTAAGGTTGGGCTTCACCGATTTTAATGGAAAAACTTTCATTTTGATTGGAGTGGCCGAAAACAGTTCCAATCTTATCCCCTTTGGCGGGCACAGTTAAGTGTGATTACCAAAAAAAAATCCATCAACACCATCCGCATCCCCACATCGGTAACCTAAAAGAGAGAATCCATCAACATCGGCGACCAAAAATAAATAATTCATCAACACCATCCCACGCCGCACAGGTGACCCAAAAAAGAATCCATCGAAGCTACCATCTTACTTTATTGGGGCCAAATTAGTAAACACTAATCCTTAATCTATACCTCCAATTTATTTGCAAGGCATTGTAGATTCACAAATTGAAGCACTGTTTGTGATCTACAAACCCTTATAAGTGAAATTTCTTTGATTTATAGTGTGAGAAATGAAGATTTTGTTGAGCTTTGTTGAAACTTTCTTTATCTTTGATTTGGTAGATAAGCTCTGTTACTTTGCCGAAGTAAGCTCTGTTACAATATTTCTCTCTGTGTACAAGTTTGGTTTGTGACGGTTGTGTGGCTGGTAGAGAACCAAAACAACGAAGGGAGTCTCGATTTTTAGGGTTTCAATAATTTGGGATTTTTTTTATTTTGATTTTATACATGGAATAGTATAAGGGTAGCTTTGTCACTTTAAAAATAGAGTATTGGCATGTGTTTATCACGCGCCTAATTGGCCGGAGAAAACAAACGGAATTTCAAGGATGGGTAATTTTTGCAAAAAAAATTGATAGTTTAGGGGGCTAACTGTAACAAAAATAGTTTAGGGGGTTTTTAGGGAGAGAGAGTAAAGCTCAGGGTTTTTTTTGCACTATACCCTGTATAATTTCATGTACTTAGTTCTATTTTCAAATGAGATAAGATATGTTTTGGGTAAATTCGTAAAAATAAAATTTTATGGATAAATTGTTTCAGCATAACTCTTGTGCATAATCACACATAAATTATTAATTTTATTAAATTTATGACACATAATAATTACAAGATTATCACTATATGTCATCTAAACAATCCTAATGGATCATTGGGGCATTTTTTAAAGATTTTTGGTACGCCTTTTGTTTTAATTCAAAACAAAATAAATATTTTGTTGTAGAGTATTTTGAATAGTAATTGAATGCATGCTTAATAATGTTTATTTGTTGCAAATTTTTTTAAAGTAAAAATATTAAATTATTTTTGATAATAAAAATGTTGCAAGTTTGAAAAATATAATTTATGGTTTATATTACACTGCGAATACATATAAAAATATCAAATTGGTGTTTAAATTTTTTGCCATAATTTACGAAACTTTTTGGCAATGCGCACAACAAAACAGTTTATACCAAACATATTTTTTTCACTGTTCATTACTATAATACCTAAAAAAAATAAAAATATAAAAACAAAACGCATACCAAATAAGCACTTAGCAAATCAAATAACCCCTTAGCAAACACATATACTTTGAATATTTGGAGGTTTAATCTCACCATGCGTTTGAGCTCTAAACTTATAAATTATGATGTTATTCTAGTGGTGTAACATTAGTTAATTAAATCAACATTGTACTAATTCATTATTTTTCTTTTCTTTTATTTTCCCACAATAAAAAAGTAGCGGTTAATTGAAACGTTGATGGTACATGGCATGAAGTTATGAATGTGACAAAAATAAAAAATAAAAAAACAAAAATAAGAATAGAAAGACATACTTCAATTTTATATAGTTAATTAATGGCGGTATGTCTCCAAGCTATTGCGGCGTTAGTAGGAATTCAGGAGGTAAGTCCTTAAAGTTTCACTTTCGAATCACACTCCTAACTTGAATGGTGTGTTGTGAGACTGATACATGTACTCTAAGAAAATAAAATAAAATAATGATAAAATCATAACATTATTCCTCATCTTAAAATATAATAAGAATGACTCATTCACAAGCAACATATAACAATCTCAATTCAGTATTTAATTTTAAATAAATTAAAGGCACATTTAATTAAATAGTTTTGATAATATTACTTGACATAATCTAAAAAGCACGTGTTCCACTTAAAATGGGACAAAAGCTTAGGTAAGAAGAAGGTTCACATCACATTTCAAATTAATATATCAAAGTTTTACATTTACAATTAATAACATTTTAAATAATTTTAAATTTTCTCTGTACAATTAATACTTAAAATTGTAAAGACATATTTTATCAGACCTTTTATTTTTTGATTTTTATATATTTTTATTATTAATTTTATCAATAAGCGAAAAAAGACAATTACTTTTATCAAACATTTTTTTTAGTCTCGCAACTCCTCAAATGGTCAAAGCGGTCTGTTTGGCATCAGAATCCACCACGCGATTTAACCTGATTAGTGAGGGGTGAGGTGACCTGTTAACTAAGTTACTCTTTGATTATCATCTTCTTCATTGAGGTGGGTTTGAGTTTGAGCTGTTGTTGATCGCTCTCGACTCGACTTGAGGAGAGAAATATTCCTCCATCAATCGCCAATGGCAGCCATCTTAGCTCGCAAGTCTCTCTCTGCGCTTCGCTCTCGTCAGCTCGTAAGTTTCTCTCTCTCTCTCTCTATATATATATATATATATATGTATATATATATATATTTATATATTTACACACATTTATGCATACGATATATAATTGGTTTTTAATTGTTGCCTAATCCATTAAACCCTAATTTGGAGATTCTGCCACCATTTAACGGATCTAAACCTTGTCGAGTCCGACAAAGCTGTCACTTTGAGTTTGAATTTGATATTTAGGGCTAATTTATTAATCTTCAGGTATTTATGATCAAATTGTAAGTCAATATGATGAATCATGTTAGAATCTTCACGACCTCAGAACTTGGTTTGGTTCCCGGACGGACTATTTTCTCTTTTTAAATTCGGACTACTTGTCATGCTTTCCATGGAGTACATTGGGTTGCCGCCATCGGTATGGGCACTCCAAGAAAATGGTGCATATCAGGGATGATAATTAACAATTTGAAAAACAAATAATTATAATCTGAAATGGAAAGAAAGGAAAAAAAAAAAAAAATGAAGACACGAACTTTGTTAGAGGTTGAGGTAGCCTGAACAACCAAGTATATGGATCAGAAAATTCTTGATGCATTTATCCCCAAAATATTATATCTGCTACTTATCAAAAAAAAAAAAAATTATGTCTGTTGCTGTTAGTACTGCTATCATTATGCCTGGTTTCATTGTTTTTTTTTTTGGATAAGTGCATGGTTCAGTGTTTTTAATTGCTGTCATCGTCTCATTGTTGTCATTTTCATTTTAATTTGTAATTTTATGAGATCTTTTTAGTACCATGTCATGTATCCACCATTGCTATTAGTTGAAAGGGCACTATTTTGACAATTTTTGGCTCGAGTGGTCTTGGACAGCAATACGAGGCATTCCCCATCTCTCTTTCCTTGGGATGCTGGATACTAAGCAGGCTCTATTTTCATTTTATTTTTCTTCCTTCGTGGGTTAATCTTTCTAGGCTTTGGCGGGACAAGCGTTGCAGAGTCAAAGCTATAATGGGACAGGGTTCATCACGCGCTCATTCGCCACCAAACAGTCATTTTCCACTGATAAAGGTTTGTGTTGTGCTCTCAGCTTTGTCCAACTGGTCTTATGCAAACAAATACATCCATAACTACACATATCTATACACAAGGGTCGCATTAGTGAGCAAATTATCATCATTGCAGTGGAATTTAGACAGTTGGCCACATAGTATTTGTTCCTTACAGGTCTAATGATAGTCAAAGCAAATATGGAATTTACGCGATTTTCAGTGCCCATCATATGACCTACAAATGAATTAACTTTAAATATATCACTAAGAACTAGTTATTGAAATTTTTTCATCATGATGAACTTTTTTATTATTGCCTGGCTTCCAAACCATTAGATAATGCTCTTCTGATATCATAATGCAAGATCCATTTTGCATTTATTTTTCAAGTTGAAACTGTGATTATACTTTACATTATATGTTTCAATGAGAGTTATATATTGTAGTTTTGTATGTTAGGAGAAGAATTTGGCCTGTCTTTAGAAGTAGTTTCTAGCTCATACTCATTGCAAAGCGTGCATTTATTCGTGTAGTAGGTGAGGGAGAGATGATACTGTAGTATGCTTCAATCACGGTGTGAGGTTCATGATTACAAGGTCTTGTTGCATCAAACATGCATTAAACATGAATTTGGGAAATTAGTAGTTTGTGAAGTTCCTGACAGCATGTGGAGTGGTGTCAAGTTTACCGGTAAGGGATGCTGAAGTCTTTATTTGTTAATAATACCTATAAAGGTCTTTGCTATTTTAATAACATGTGAATTAGTCTTTGCTAGATAGTAATAAGTTACATTTGTGAACCACTAGTTTGAAAATTGAGGGGTTTGCAATTTTGGAGGCAGCAGAATAGGATTTTGTGGGGGCATGCTATTCAATCTGATTTATGGTTCCTCTGGAAGGAAACTGAAGGGAAAAAATTTGAAAATAATTTTTGGAGATTTGCAGTTTCAATTTGGACATGGGACATGAACAACATAGCTTATTCTAGAAAAGTAGGACACGGCAGTGATGACATTTCAATGTATATTTTGGTTATCAAATATAAAAATATATTACATATTGGCAATTTTATGTAAATTTCCATGCTAATGGTTGCATCACTGGGAAGTTGTAGTCAGAAATATCATTAGATACTTTTTTTAATGTACACTTTTATTACTAAACCCTACTCATTAGTATATCAATTTTACAATTACATCCTTTACTTTCACATTAAAAAAATGTTTCTTGATTGCTCAAATTTTTATTGTTGTGTATACAATAGCATATTCCTTCTGAAGAGAGGATTGTTAAAATACATGAAATGATTGGCTCTACATTCAATCTTTCATTAGCAACGACGTTGCACTTCATGTATACAAGCCCTTGGTCACTGATGGAACCTGCTTCAACCACCCAGTGCCCACTATTCCTGCAGCATTGATGTAAATCCAAACAATGGAATATAAGCTCAAATAAATTTCAGATATAGATTCTTTATATTCAACAAAATGACCTGTTATTTTGTTATATTGGTATAATTACTAACCTCATCTTATGACCTATTTCAATCATATTTTATATCATTAATCATTATTAACACTTTAGAAGTATAAGAATCACCAAATTGCTAAGCTTTTGATACTCTATTGCATAGCCCTCATGTATGTTTTTCATTTGATGGTGATGTTTGATTGCAATTAAACATAGCCCTGGTAGGGCTAACTTCATTTGTTCGCATAAATTTATAGACGATAATTTCTTTATTATTTATTTATTTTCTTGTCTACAAACTGCAGATGATAAAGAAAGAGAGAAGCTTGCTAAGGAGATGTCCAAGGATTGGAACTCTGGTAATTCCTTATTCTGCTATTTTTTCATCTTCACATGTTGATTTATACCAAAGTTTACTCTTTATGCTGGGCATATAGTTTCTGATGACTTAGTCACTAATTACAGTTTTTGAGCAAAGCATAAATACGTTATTTCTCACTGAGATGGTTCGTGGTCTGATGCTGACACTCAAGTACTTCTTTGACAAGAAAGTTACTGTAAGTATCTTTCTGTACTTGCTATTCAACATATTATTTGCGTTGGGCTAAAATCTGAAATTATATTTTGTAATTCAGATCAACTATCCATTTGAGAAAGGTCCTCTGAGCCCTCGTTTTCGTGGAGAACATGCCCTCCGACGCTATCCAACTGGTGAGGAACGGTGCATTGCCTGTAAACTCTGTGAAGCTGTAAGATTTCAGTATTGTTATTGTCATTCAAGTCAATAATATAAATCAAAGCTTGCAAAATGGAAAAATGAGCAGGAGACCTTTGGATGATTCTGTTTTATGCCAATTGCCATTTTCTTGTTTACTAAATTAAATTTTATTATAATGACTGTTAACTGCTGATAAACACTCCTGGAATGTCGGTGTGCAATGCTGGCTGCCTTAGAGCTGTGTATATATGTTCCAGGCTAAAAGTCATATTCTCAAGTGAATTATTGGCTAGTTTTACATCTGTGCCTCGTTTTTCATATTCAACTTGGCCTGGTCCTGGCTAAAACTCAGATACTCAAGTGAATCGTAGGCTCTGGGGCAATTATTAAGAAAATAAATAAATAACAAAAAGAAAAGCAAAAAAGTGAATTACAGGCTAGTTTGAGATCCGTGCCTTGTGTTCATATTCAACCTGCTTGGACCTGATGCAAAACATGGAAAATTGTTTGTGCTCAAATTTGTACTACTGTGTATGCATGTGAGCCCTCATCTAATAAGAACTTGAGAACCTGAAAACCAGTTACATAGTATATAATGTATGGTACTTCTGTCATGCGACTCATGCTATAGAAGCTAATAGATGGCTTTACACAAACAACGGATCCATTTAACCAAACCCAAATAGTTGGGATTGAGTCGAGAATGTTGTTATTAAATGAAGTAAACTCAATACAATCACATACTAATAGGACTCACGATCAAGTTGAGATAGTTTATTAATAGCAATTTTGTTGTAGTGCCGTCTTCTCTTTTTCCTTTTCTTGTTTTGCCCTTTTTTGATAGATAAAACACATTTATTTGTTCCAATTGGGGTTCGAAACCCTTGCTCCTTTTTGGGAGATGCGTAAGATATCAGCCAAGCTAACACTCTGTGATTAACATCATAATAGTTTAGGGCCTAATTAACTTACCTTCTGTAGATGGCAGTCTATAAAGCATTCATGCTTTTTTAAGGGGGACGTGTGTGTCCGTGCCAAATAATGACACTCTTTGGATACTCGTGGATACGTGTGTGATAATGTATTCAAAACTTGAAAATAATTTTCTTTTTTCCTGAACTGGTATCCAATACTTCTTAGCTCTCTGGTAATTCCACAGCTGATACTTCCACGTTATTACAGGACACATATTTAACAAGTCTTGAATCTTAAAATATAGTTTTTTATTAATATCACGACCGATTTGCATGATTGTTCTCAAAACCTTCCATCGGTGGACATATTTCAATAACCTTCGGGTTGTCATTTTTTATGTAATAGAGAGAAATGTAAGAATTGACAGCATTCCAGCCTTCACTTACTACCTAACTCGGACAATCTTGGCATATCCTGACATGTTTCCATATCCTTGGGGAATTTTTTCTTCTTTCCTTTTTATTTTTTATTTTCTATATATTCTAGAAACCAAATTCAATAAATCCATTAAGGTAAAAACTTTGAGAATCATCTACACTATAGGTAGCAAGCCTTGGTGAGGCGTGCTTTTATCTCATGAAATGTTTGTTGTGCGACAGATATGCCCAGCTCAAGCAATCACAATTGAGGCCGAGGAGCGAGAAGATGGAAGCCGTAGAACAACCAGGTAAAGGATCTTGCTTATTAATTTTACTCTCCCCTTTATCCAGCATCACTTTCTTATACTTATAATTGGATTTCGTAGGTATGACATTGACATGACAAAATGCATCTACTGTGGATTCTGCCAAGAGGCATGTCCTGTTGATGCCATAGTTGAAGGACCCAACTTCGAATTTGCAACAGAAACTCACGAGGTTAGTAGGCACTTCTTACTGGTTAACAATCTGCTACACCTGTCTGAAGAATTGCAACTCATGTATTCCTCATTGTTGCAGGAGCTTCTGTATGATAAAGAGAAGCTGCTCGAGAATGGAGATCGATGGGAAACTGAGATTGCAGAGAATCTCAGATCTGAAAGCCTCTATCGTTGATTTCCCTAATGATTTACTTCCCCATTTCCTGCCAACCTTGCATGAATCATCTTGACTTATAAAAGTTTGATAAATAAACAGATCCGCTCACGGGCTTGAATTTGGAATGTTGTTTGACTTTTATTTTTAAACTAATCCATCCTACATTCTGATGTATGGATCAAAACGATAACTATTTGAGGTAAGTTATTTTGTTCCTCTCTGTGCAATGAGCACTGAAGGAGTTATTTTTTATCAAAAGACTCTGGCTGTTATCTATTGTGCATACATGAGTGCTTGTGGTCATTTTTTACTCTATGGGTACTTGCCAAGGTTCTGGACACATTCTTGGCTAAAATTCATTTTCTTTTTGCTTTTCCACACAGCGAAATGTATGATTGCTTTGCTTGGCGCAACTAAGCAGTTCTCTCTTCGATCGTCTCTCACCTCTCTCGACTAACACATAAACGATATTATTAGCGATATAGGAGTCCTGCACTGAGCCTCCACTTTGTTTTAGATAGTGGAATCAACATCCAAAATTGTTTTAGATAAGGTGGATGGAGCTGAGCATCACCTGGTATGGTTTGTAAAGGTCATTCTCAGGCACTGCCAAAAGGTCCTAGAGTTGAAACAACCATATAAGTTATTAGTGAAAGAAAATCTATAGAGGCTATACTTGATACATTTAGCACGGTTGATCATACTGTATCTAACATTTTGCGACGTTGGAGCACAACTTGACCTGTGCTAGCAATGGGTCGTGATTCGTGGTGAAGATGGATGATGTGCCTACGAGTGACTTCCTAACCCAGAAGAAAGTCACGCCAGAATGTTTAGGATCACTCGTGATCCACATTGCACTTGCTTGTGATTTCATAGCAAGAATCTGGAGATTTTTTATGGGGAAATGTGGCATCAATTGTCAAAATTCATTGTCAGTGCCATTTTTATTTCATGGACAGCTGAAAATTGGAAGGGAAGAGAGAAGCAACTTAACCCCAAGGGTCCGTTTGACATGCGTTTTGTTTTAGACTAAAACAGAAACAGTGTTTTTGCTGTAGGAATGTTTTGAAAAAAAATCGGAAGCAAATTTGGGAATTATGTTTTGTTGTGGAAATGTCGGAAACAGAAACATGCACAATTATGGTTTTTGGTCGTGAACAGTTGTCAAAATAAGGAAAAATAATTTTTTGACTTTTTGGTTCTGGACCACTATTCACGAATTGTTTTAGCACTGTGTAAAATAAAATATGGCCGCACTAAATATGTTTTTGTTGCCAAAATCGATACTGTAGCAGTCCAAAAATAAAAACATAAGAAACAAAACGCATGTCAAACGGGACCTTAATGAACTGTGTCTTTCTATAGCTATGTACTGGATAAATAAATAAATGCTCCCCTTTTCTGGAATGAGTATGGGGATGGATTCATAATTCAACATAGAAGAGTACAATTTGATGAGAACTGAGAAGCAGATAGATTTTCCTTTTAATTCAAGAGAAGGGGGAAATCGAAACATATTTCGTTGAACTATTATTATTTCTTGCCTTTTCACTAAAATAAGTAGGTTTTTTTTTTTTTTTTTTTTTTTTTTTTAATAAAAGAAGTATAAGAAAATTATTCAAGCATCTTTCAAAAAAAAAAAACAAAAAGGCCATTTTTCATTGTTTTTTTAAGGGTTAGAATGTTTGTTATAGCTTAATTTTCTATGCAATAGATTCTAGCTTCAAGTGAAATAAAATGTGTGAAAATGTGAGTGTTAATTGACAAAAGGTTATAAAGAATAAAATTGCAAGACATTTGATATTTAAATTAAAATTTGTGATGAGCTAAAACTAAAACCAAAAGAAAAAAAAATTATAATCCAAAATTATAAAAAAAACAAAGTTGAAATGTGAAAACGCTTATCAAATGTAGAATTTTGTTACTCTTGAAAAAAATTCAATACTCAATTCCTTCAAGAAAAAAAGAAGGGAATTTATAAGATAAAAAAATAAAAAATAAAAAAGTAAGAAAAAAACAAGGGTAATAGGCCCAAATATTTGATGAGTTACTCACACCCAATATTTGCATTGAATTGTCTAACCGAATAATTTTTAATTGTCTATTTATACTAGATACAACTAAGTGGATAGCTCAACTTTCTTATTTGTTGCATAATTGACCAATTAAAAAAGTAAGTATAACAATTCACCGCAAATATTCTTTCCGTTTGGTTAGATAGAAATGGATAGCATGAAAATGAAAATGAAGGGACTGTGCATTCTATAAAAATTCTTATAATTTCAAATACTAAATAAATAAATAAATTTGTGTCTGATGATGTCTATTTTTATCAAAATTTTAATAAATTGATGAATTATTAAATTTAATAATATAATTATTTATATTCATTTATATTGTTTAAATTAAAATAATACTTCAACACTTCTTAAATAGGAGTAGAACTAACTATTTATTTAAGAGAAATAAAGAAACTTAAAAATACAAAATAATAAATAAATTTTAGGTTCATGGACCCGCAAGCTTTCAACCAAAAAACACAAAAGAGCCAAATATATATTATTCTATGTATATACAATAGAGATGTGTGTGTGTGTGTATATATATATATATATATATATATATATAATGGTACAATGTATATATTTAAAAAAAAAAAATTGGTCCAAATAGTATTTCAAGAAAACATGTTTAAATGGTTTTTAGAAGTCCTCTGAAATAAAAATAGTTAGAAAACTTGGCTCTAAGAATTTTCTGATTCCTTCTCTTTTTATAGTTGATTCCATTTAACCAAAGGAAGAATCATTTTCCATATTTGATTAGAACCCAAAAGCTCAATTCGGCCCGAGCCATCTTATCTTCGTCTTTGCCCTTCCAAAACCCTAGACACAGAGAGAGCGGGGGTTGAGAGAGCGAGAGATGGCTGAAAAGGCCGTATTAGGATTCTTGGAGAAGGAGGAGGAAATCCCAGATTCGGGTCAGTTCGCGACCGAGCGCGGAATTGATCACGACGACATCGTTAACGTTATCAAGAGTCTCCGTGGTTTCGGATTCGTCGATGCTCAGGTTCACCTTCCTTTTTGTCATAACCATTACTTATACACACGTACATACTGTACATATAAATACATTCTGTAGTGGCAATGAAATGTTTGCTCCACACAAAACTACTGAAGAGAGCAAGATATAACCTTGTACTTGAGTGCATTCAACCCATTTACCGACTTTTTGTACAACAGAACTCCAGCAAATTTGAAGACAATCTTTAATCTACGAAACAACTTTTGTATAAGTTGTAGAAACAGCAAATCTCAGGAAAAAGAAAATTTTGAGAGGAAATTACTTTCCATAAGCACCTCATTTTCCCATAAAATTTTCGTACAAAAAAACACAGGAAAATTTTGATTTCTTAAGAAAGTTTTATAAACTTACAAACGGAGCGTAAGCAATTGGGTGCTGTATAACATGCAGTGCAGATAATTATAACTACAATTAGTATATAGAAAATTTAAGCAACCCAAATAAAGTTGCACACAAGCAAATTTTGTTCATGAGGAGCTGAAGCCACTGTAGAAAGAGAACAAAAAAAATACTCTCTGTAGGGAGTTCGAATAAAAGATATAGCCTCTGGTATCTACAAGATTATTATAGACTGACTAAAGAAATTCTTGCAAATTTGCAAGTAGTACTCAACTAAATATTTATCCTATCAAGTGCCTATGTCTAATGTGGCAATCCTATGTGAATGTCGCTTTTGAGTGGTGTTAGCTACTATGGATGTCAATTTAACCTGCTCAAATGGAATCCCAATATGTCCCTACCGAAACGGGTTAGTCTTCTTATTTTCATGATAATTTTAAATATTAGCTACAAAGTTTTAGATAATTCATATTTATCATTGTTAAATCCTCGTTTATAGTGTTTTCCGAAAATGTAGTAAATATATAAGCAATATTGATTTTTTCTAAAGAGGTATAATGGTGGGTGACCCGAACCTGTCCCGACTTTGATGTTAGGTAGAGCAGTGTTTGTTTGGAAATTGATTTTTCTTTGCAAGGTGGGTTTGGATAGGATCATAGGAGGGGTGACACACCCCGAACTCGCCTCATTGACATCCCTAGTGACTTTTGGTCAACCAGTTCTCTTACTTTCCTCTCATCAAGTCCTTCATCCTCAGTGGATTATCAATCAAAACTAAAATACCCTCTCTCTCTTCCTTCTTATATGTCTTCCCTATAACTCAAGAAAACAGATCAAGGAAGCTCTAGCATAGATATCAAACGTTTTCTCAAAAATTGATAAACCTCACAAAACCATGAATCATAACTGATCCAATTTCATTTGCTTCTTCTTGAGATCACACTGGTTAATTCCTCCTAATGGGCTATTTTGTTCAAGGGTGACGTATGTGAAGAACTGTTTGACTGTGGGGACGTGTTTGGATGGAAAAGGGTTGTAGGTGGGGAGGATTGTCGGAACAAGAAGTAGAGGGTGAAGAAATGGCCAAATTTGGAAACCAGAGACAACAGTGAACAGAAGTGTGCCGGGAAGGTGATTTTGGAGGCGAAGGAAAATTAAAGAATTGGTGTTTTTGCATCTGTTTTGAGCGTGACCCATATCAGCTTGTGAAGTATGACCCACAGTATGCAGGAGGGCAATTTCATCCTCCAGTAAATTACTCTATTTATTCTAGACAACTATTAGGTGTTTTAATGAATTAGTAATTAGCTTTAAATGGTCACTGTCCAGCTTATAGATTTCTATGTTTTTGTGATTTTTGGGTCACTAAATAACAATTCCGTTTATATTTGGTCACTAATATCCAATTTTCAAGCAAATGTATTAATATTGCCCAATTTGCCAGATATACAGCCAAATTTGGATAAATAAATTTGAATCTCCACATATGCTTCTGACCTAGAGTTCTGTAAAATTTATAGGGATTCGATCCATTCGCAAATTCATCCAATTTGATTCATGGTCTATTGGAACCTAAATTGTGATTAGTTAAACGAGAATGGTGGAACATACTGGATTAATAGTAAAGTCACATTGCATTCTCTCATCCTTATTTTTTCCCCTTTTGAATGTATTTTCTATAAAAAGTACTCCAAGATATGGCCAAAGTAGGGATGAGAAAGTCACTCAAGGGATTTTAGTTTTTTTGAGTAGGATCACATTACTTTTTTATGTTTTCAGCCAGATTTCTCTTTCTTTCTTTCTTCTCTTCTTCTAATTCTTTTATTTTATTTTATTTTTTTAATATTGGCAAGCTTCGCCTTTCTTAGTTCTATATTAATTGTATATGTATGCATATATGTGCTCGCACTCATGTGTGTGTGATGAGTAAAACACATGCACCCATGTCCAGACCAAGACATGAATCCTACACCTCCCTTTCGGTGGTGGCAGGTGATACTACTCAAACTAGCTGTTGTTGGTATTACCTCTAACCATCAAAATAATGGAAAGAGAATTGTGAACATGCGAACACAGAGCAACTTGCCTTTTTTGATGAATTCCTCTTGGAACACTTTGCCTATCTTATTTGAGGCTGCCATTCCATCAACCATTAACCTGCCAAAAAAAAAAAAGAAAAGAAACCAAGTCAATTTAATACTTTATTCAATCAGATCAGTATTGACAATGGAGCCAATATAATAATCCATGCAAAATGCAGGCTATAAAAATTAGCAAATTTAACAACAATACAGCAAAATATAAATGAAAAATTAGCTGTTGGAGCAGCTAAGAAACCTGATGGCAGTTGTTGTCCATCAGCCAACTTCTTTTTGTATTAATCTTAATTGGGATTTACATGAAAAAGAAGTTCATAACCCTTAATAATTATTAAGAGAATAATTCAAAGCAGGAAAAACCAATTTTGAGTTGTAGATAATTTTAATTTAAGGCAGAAAAAAGAATATTGTGTCATATTATATCATACTCGCTTGTAATTGCACAACAATCCTTTGGAATTGTATCTTCTCTTGAATGAACTATTGGTTTTATAATTTTTATTCCTTGAAATTGCTAAGTAATCTGTAGATTGCATTTGCTATGCGGAAATGTGCAGGACATTAAGCGGGAAAAATGGGTACTTACTGAGGAAGGGAGAACGTATGCTGCTGCAGGATCACCTGAAGTGCAGTTTTTCTTGGCTATACCAGCAGAGGGTATCCCACCAGTAGAATTGCAGGTTTGCATCCTTTAGATCTAGATTTTTGAGTGGTGTTGGAATTCTGTGCAATGGATGAAATAACAAATTTACTCTCTTGACCCAATTTTAAGACCCAATATATAGTAAAGCTGCATTAGCGTGATCGATATTGGGTTTAATATGGCATTACGTTTTTAAAATGCTTGCTTTTATTGTAAATTTGTTTATTGGATCTGCTTCTTCTAGGTATGATCTGTTGCAATTATTAGTTTTGGTATCATGAGATTAAATGTCAAATTCAAATTATTGTAATATAAGGCAACCAATCTAATTTTTTTGAATTGCGGCATCCACTTAATAATTTTAGCAACCAAACAATACCTGAAAGTCTGGTGGAGATATTGTGCTCTTCCATAAAATTTGTGTTCAGTTTATCTCTTGAATTATGATTTATGATTGTAGAAGATATATTTGCGAGTAACAGTTAGTTTGTCCAAATATGTGTTGATGAAATGATCTTTGTGGATGCAGAGAAATCTCGATCCTTCAATTTTCAAAATAGGCCGCTCACAGGCCGTAAAGAATCAATGGGTGGAGATGGGTAAGCAACGTGTGAGCAGGAAGGTAAATCCAATGGAAAATCTCAGATTATCTATTAGAGTTACCATATTGTACCAAGGAATAAGGAATTCTTAAATAGAATTTTGAAATTTACATTGTTGGTACCTGCTTGTTCATGTTATGATATGTTGCAATTTTGACTTCATTTCTTTTTGTAATTTAAAAATGTAAAATCGCATTTTTAGTGAAGGTTTGTATCTTATATGCCACCAAAAAAATGGCTAGCCTAGTGCACGAGGCTTCCGCTACTACGGTGTCTAGAAAGGGTTTGATGTACGCAGCCTTGCTGCCGCATGCAGAGAGGCTATTTCCTGTGTTGAACCGGTGACCACTAGGTCACAATGGAGCAACTTTACTGTTGCGCCAAGGTCCACCCCGTTTGTATCTTATACACTCCAACGTTTCCTAAAATGCCTAATCTGAACAAGGCTCTCATATTAAGAATATTAGTGAAGTAAATATTGATCATTTAGTTAAATATATCTCAAATATGGACATACCTAAGGTTAAAATAAGTGAATTATATATAAGAGAATTTGAATTAAGACCAGCATATGCTATCAAAATTTTGGAACAATCAGTAGAAGTCACTAGTGATTATCAAACCTTTCAATTATTGACGGCATGGCACCACCCGGAGTGGAGCATGCAGCTTAATTTGACTGAACACTGGAAACTTACCTGGCCAGACATGCAGCTTAATTATTGACGGCATGGCTTTTTCTTGATTCTATGGGTGGTGGTGCATGGTTGTTCTTAGTCGGTGGAGTGATTTGTATCAGCCTGCTAACTAGCTATGTGGAGGTATCCTCCGTGACCAGCTTCTTAGGGGGACTATGGCCTTCCAGGCCATGAAATTTTGAGGCAATAACACGTCTGTAATGCCCTTAGATGTTCTGGGCTGCATGTGCGCTTCAATGATGTATTCAATGAGTCCATAGCCTTAGTCAATAGGCCCGGATACTCTTGAAATTTCATCATGATGTAGATCATGCAATTTTTGGTCTTCAACTAGGAATTCCTAGTATGCAAGAGTAATCTGCTCGTGTTTGAGAGTTTTGAGTAACTACTGCAGTGGGAAATTTTTTTAATGCCTTCCTATATTACAAGTATAACTATACTATAAAAAAGCTCAAAACCATTTGGTTCCAATTTTTATGGAACCGTTGGGACCTGTTTGGTTCCAAAATACGCACCCTTACTGGATGCAGGTGCTTAGATGTGATGTGGATGGTATTTGGTATTTCTATTTTTTTTTGTTGCTTTTTATATGTATTTTATGGTTAAACTTTATTTCATCTATCATGTTTCTTATTGATTCTTGTCTTTGTTAATAATTAAATTAAGGTTCATTTGACAGCAATCTAATTCTGACCCATTTCTTTGTAGTCCTTTGCATAGAGTGGAAATGTTTGGTCACATTGACTTCAATCACTTTGTCTATTTTGCCTTAGTAAGAGAGATGGTTCTCTTGAATTCATTAATGTGGTTAAATACCTGATGATGCATGTTCATATGACCGTGAGCTTGATATGGATGTGGGCTTTCCACTTATGGATTATGTCTATTATACTGGTAATATATTTTATTCTTCTGATGCTGGTTACTTGCTGTAGGTTCCACATGTAGAAGACAGAGTTAAAGATCTGCTTATAGGGGTACAAGATGGGGAGGTGCACAATATCTTCAATTGATGTTAACGCACACTAGTATTATCTTTGACAATTGAAATGTTGAATTTTTTCTTGTTTTGAGAGCTCAGGTTCTCTGATAGTTTTGATCTCTTTTCCGTGAATAAAATAAAACAATTTAGTTTCAACAGTTTCAGTAATAGTGTTTTTTTAACTTGATTTTTTTGTCACTTCTCTTTCTATACAAGAACCCTGCCCCGGAGCTTTTAATACATTATTACCATTTACTAGTACAAATGCAAAGTTGTGCTTATTATTTAGTATGATATAGTATATGTTTTTTAAAAAAGAACCATGTTTATATAGTAGAATAGCTATGCTAGTATTGGTATTGTTATGAAAACCATCTCCGATCATGTCATGTCAGCTAGAATTGGTATTTATATGAAGACCATCTCCGATCATGTCATGTCAAGCTCTCTATATTTAAAGCTACTGTTGTAGCTAGCTTTTTAACCATCTCCTATATGCACATGTTTCATATCACATGAGATTTTTAACAAATAAATTCTTTTCCCATTCAATTTTGAAAATAACTTTATTCCTACTGTATATGTATTTTACTCATTCGAGTTGGTTGTTCTGTTGAAATATGATGATTTCAGGTCATCAACCCAGAAGATGTTGACGCTCTCAAAAGAAGAAAGCTTATTACTCCTCAGTAATTTTCTTCTATTTGTTTGTTTTTATATCTTATTTATTAGCTTATCAGGATTGTTTCTTTCTTTTGTTAGATGCTGAAACTTTTTGGATAGAAGTAGTCATTCTTCATATTGGAGTTTCTACTCACCAAACAAGAGATGTTTTCCTGCGTTATGCTTACTATGTATACTTGTTTTCTGTTTGTTTTGTTGATACTTCTTTATTTTATTTTAAGGATATGGAAGGGCTACTCAATAAGAAAAGGTGCCAATTATGCTCCAGAAAGGAAAAAAGTTGCTACTGATTTGACTCGAGATTATCTGCAAAGGTAATTCAGATATTTGGATGTATATTTCTTCCTTGGAGAGACAGCTTTTCAGACCTTTAAAATTGATTGGTCTGCTAAGGATGTAACTCTTCGCATAATAATCATTTTCAGCTTCAACCTATCAGTCAGGTTTTATAATATACATATAAAATTTTAATTTAAATGCAAGATTATACTAGTTTTTGTCATTTTATCTTGTCATATTGCTCTAGTAAACAATCTTACGCTGTCAAGGGTACAATCTTACGCTTGATGTGTAAAAAAACTTTAATGATTATGGATTACTGATCTGCATTTTGGCTATCATCTAAGTTCTAACCATACATTTTTTTTTGTTGCACTTTTTGTGTACCAATGGAATTGTGAGCGTTAGCTTGAGAGTTCATGCATTGGGTTATTTACTTGAGTGATATGTATCCGCGTGTCTCACTGAAGGAAGGGAGTAGAGTAAGGGGGCAGTTGGTTGTCTGGAAAGTAGAGCATAGGTGTCAGTTGTCCTTTTATTTCAAATATATTTAACATGAAATTATTTGTTTACTTGTCTGGCTGACAGTCCTTGTCGCTCTTTTTTTTTTTTTTTTTGGGTTCAAAGGGGTGATTGGAAGGAATTGGAGTTCAAAGAGTATAACTTCAGTGCTAAAGGTCAGCCTGTCGAAGGCGGCCATCTCCATCCATTGCTCAAGGTAAGGATATCATTTTATATCTTTATTTTTGTTATTTTTTCTTCCCGAGTTTGATTGTTGTTGGACTTTACACTATAGCAAATGTTTGCAATTGACGGAGAATCCAAATAGTTATGGGACCAGACAATAGAATGAAATAGAACAAGAATTTTGTTTGTTGAAAAGAAACCATAGATATTGGGTTTAACAGTTTAAGATGGTTTAATTTTGCAATGTTTTTCAGTTTCTATGTTTTATGGATGAATGTGGGCTTTACATTGGCCTTACAATAGGATATTTAAGGTCTTTCCATCCACAAATTTATGCAAGCGACCACTGGATATATATTTTTTATATTCAATGAAAGCTTGGAAATTGAAATTGATATGATTTGCGATGCAAGAGCAGTATTTGTTTAAAAAGTTCTACCTCACAAGGCACTTGGTGCTTAAGACACATGGTTGCCACTTGACCGTTTCTCACGTCACGTATGCATGAAAATGTCGTCAATAGGGTCATTCAGACAATATTTGTTGGTCAAATGATACCTAATCATTTGGGGAAAATGTTATTAAATTGTCCACTTCCACTGACTTCATCAACGAACAAGTCTTGGGCTTGCAAGTGGTAGCCCACCTTTGGAAATTGTGAAATCATATTTATTTGATTTAGCTGCCCCATATGCTAATTCCTTGGTCTACAAGAATAATTGTAGTCACCCATTATATCAGCAATTGTCTAGTTATTACAGTCAAATGAATATGGCTGTAATTGGAGCCTTTGGTCATTGCGTGAGAAGAAAGAATTCAAAGTACAGTTTTACATCATCAACAAACCATCTAATGTATAGCTGTTTGGTGCTTGCGGTTTAAGAATGGTTTGCCCAGTTTTTTGGTTATAAATATCCATAGTTGGGCGTAATTGAATTTTGGGTGTAAGACACTTTGTCTTGTATCTCTTTACTTTCATAGTGAAATATTTGTTATGTCTTCTCCCGTGACCGTAGGCATAGCCGAACCACGTAAATCCTTGTCTCATTTGTATGTGTGCCTATTTTATTTTCTTGTCATATTTTTCTCTTGTTCTCATAAACTCCTATTCGATCCTGCTAAATCAAATGAATTTGATTTCACAATATCCAAAGGCGGGCTACCACTTTCAAGCCCAAGACTTGTTCTCCACGGTTGATGAAGCTGGTGCAAGTGGACAATTAATTTTGAGTCACATAATTTAACAGAAAAGGATATGAATATTGACCTGATAGGCTGGTATCTAGCTTACATAGATGATAACTGTTGCATTATTTGCGTCGAAAGTAATAGCAAAAAGAACAACATTAACTCTTGGTCAGAGACTCTTATCACCTGCAATTTATTGCATTATGTATGACCATAAAACTTAGGTGAAGTTTCAATCTTGTTATTACATTTGTTCAACTGTTCATAAGATTTTTGCCTCTGAACATCTCTTCATTTCAGGTACGACAACAACTGCAAATGATTTTTCTTCAGATGGGGTAAGAGTGATGATTTTTCTGTTTTACACATTTTTAAGTGTGTGTTTGTGTGCGTATGTCTGCATATTGATGTACAAAGGTTTAAAGTTTGCAACATGAGTCCATAACACCAACAGCTGTTAGCTTGAGTGGTATCTCCTTCCACTCCAAAGGGATAGGTGATGGATTCAAATGCCTTTTGGGACACTGGTCCCTGTGTTATACCTTTGTAAAAAAGAAAAGAAAAAGAACTTTGCACCACAATCATCCATGTTTACGTTTTCATGTGTCTTATATTTGCGTTGGTCTTGCTATTTTAGTACTTATATTTCTATATTATGTTATACAAGCTCATTTTCAATTTTAGTCAACTACAGTTAGTTTGTGAAGTCATGTACTTTGTTTATATTTTTTCCAGACACTTTAGATGTTCTATTAAAAATACACACGCACATGCATGCATACACTGTATCAATAGGTTTAAAGTATTTTATGTTTGTGTGGCTTAATTAGATACATAAAAAGCCAGTAAATTGCCTAGAAATTTTACTTGAGATGTTGCAAAATGGACAATCTTGAGAGCATATTGAGAATTAACCAAATAATAGAAGCAAATGGTGATAAATAAATGGTGAATTTAAGAATACTCTGCACCAGGGACTGAGCCAGGATTAGCTGGGGCCTTAGCTGCCACCATCCCTGCTCTGCACCATAAAGTTACATGATCTGTCAGAGTATCTCTATTTTAAGATTGACATTGTCGTAAATTGGTTGCTTACTGTATGCAGATTTGAGGAGATGCCAACAAACAATTTTGCTGAAAGCAGGTAGCTGGTCTGCTCCCATTATTCTTATACGTGTTGCGTAAATCAGTCAATTGTAGCTTCTGATAACAGATTTGAATCACTTGTAAGTTTATTTAGTAGTCCCCAAATACCTACAAAATTAAGGCATATGTGCACCAAATGCTTATACTTACTGAAATTAATTATTAATCCTGGAATTTGACAACCAATGAAGTACGTGTGCCAGTAATTTTTCATCATCAATTAGGCAGTATTCCTTGCATAACAACTCTTTCTATTAGAATTTCTTCTTTTTTGTGTTTTTTTCTTTTTCTTTTTCTTTACCACAACTCGCTAAACAATGAGATGCATCAAACACCTCTGAAGAAGTTAGTATATGACTAAAAATGGTTTGCTAGAGATGAATTGAACTTGGTGATCCCTTTTTCTTCGGATAAATTACCCGGACCTCCCTTGAGGTTTGTCCAAATTACTCACGGATGAAACTATTTGAGAAAACACTTTGACACCCCCTGTTAGAGTGTTGCGACCTTGTGGGCGGTTGCAAGAGGCATTGCCAGTAGACTTGTCAATGGATTAGATTCCGATCTGAATCCGTTCCGATTAATCGAATATGGATTGAACAAGAATTCCAATAACTCGATTACGATCTGAATCCGATAACCCGTTAGTCTAACAAATCGGATATGAATTATGTTAATCCTACCGATAATAATTATATATATAATAATATATTATATTATATATATATCAACACTCCTATCATATTTGTATTAGAATTTAGAGGTAACCAAAAAAAAAAAAAAGGTAATCATAATGTTATATGTATAATAGTGTGGGGTTTTTATTTTTTATTTTTTAAAGTACAATAGTGTGGTGTTCTTATCAACATACTAATAAATCACCTAGTATACATACTAATAATGTCGTAATATTTATTCATTAATAAAGAGTAAATGATCTATTCTTTTTTCTTTTTTTCTTGCCCTTCCATATTTTATTGATCTTTTGTTTTCTATCATTTTTTTTCTTCTAATCATTGTATTTTATTCTCTTTTGACATTAATTTCTTCTTCTTCTTATTATTATTATTATTATTATTATTATTATAAAAAACTACACCTTTACCGGATTGGATTATTGAATCGGATATTCGTTTATTAACAAATAGATTATGGATTCATTTACAAAAAAAACCATCGGATTATCGGATCAAATCAAATCGAGTAAAAGGTTTATCAGATCTGGATTGGATTAGGCTAGATTTGGCCCAAATCTAATCCGTTGACGGGTCTAAGTGGCAGACTACCATATTGGGCGAGTTACAGGTGCACAATCCCACATTGCCTGGGTATAGAAAGGGTAAGTACTATATATGTAGGATTTGTATACTCCAATTGGTATGAGGTCTTTTGGGGTAAAATCCAAGAGCAAAACTTTGCGAGGTAAGGCCTAAAGCGGACAATATTATACCATGTGGTAGAGTGAGTCATTACAAATGGTATCAGAGACTCACCCAACCGGAAGTGTGGCCAACAAAGACGTTGGGCCCCCAGGGGGTGATTGTGGTGACCTTGTGGGCGGGTGCAAGAGGCATTGGCAGGCTACCACACTGAGCAAGTTACGGATGCGCACTACCACATCACCTGGGTGTGGAAAGGGGAAGTGCTATATATGTAGGATTTGTACACTCCAATTGGTATGAGACCTTTTTGAGTAAAATTCAAGAGCAAAATCGTGCCGGCTCGGGCCCAAAATGGACAATATCATACCATGCGGTGGAGTGAGGAGTTAATACAATCAGTTTATTTAGTGGCATCTTTTGAATTGCTTACTTGTTTGCTGATGTCATCATTAAAAAGCTCAATTACCTTTGTACCATTCTAACCCTAAAGATGCTAAAGTGATTATTAAATTTTTTTTTTTTCAAATGGACAACCAGTTTCTCTCTCTCTGTCTGTCTTACCTGAAACCAAAGTAATTTCTCTTGCACACTCTCATTCCACTATTGGCCTCCTCTCTCTTCAAAGCCTTTGGCCCCAAACTAGTCGAATCAGGTACGGAGCATGCATTCATTGTTCAGTTGGTTGGATGATATATAAAGACACATTTGTGGCAGGAAATATAGCATTCATAAAGATTAGAGTATTGGGAAATTTCAATAGCAATACTAACATCGCAGTGAATGAGTGATTTCTTGATTCAAAAGTCTTGGTAGTGATCAAGAGGGCTTCTATGGAGATGCAAGTTTCTTGCAAATGCCTCGGCTGACCAGTGTGAGAATTTCTCGTCCAATAGCAAATTCCTCTACCCCTTCAACTAATTTGCAAACAAAGAATCTGGGGAATCAAATTCAAAATAACATAACTTCACTGGTCATTTTTTTTTTTTTATTTGGTTTAATTGAATAACTTTACCAATCAGCAAATGACTGTATAATTTTTCTCAACACATTTCTACTTGAAATTGCAGGGCAATATCTTCCACAATAACAGAAAAATCTATTCATTCAGAAGAAAACGGATATACTAAATTAGTAGTACCCAATTGAAAGAGTGCTCAAATCCTTGTGCAATCTAATGGACCCATTGCTTTCTGTTTGATCAATGACCTGCCTAGAATTATTGGATTCTCATTCACAAAAGAGCTTATTGCATAGTGGGCTGATTAACTCAAAAGATCACCATAAGGTATTTACGTACTCCCTCGGGGACTCTCACCCGACACCAAACAAACCCATAAGACTTATATCTGGTGTTTCTTCAATTTTTTTTTGTTGATCTTAGTATTAGAGAGAGAGAGGAGAAAAGCAGAGTGAGAGACCACAGTATCTCTTTGCTTGACACAAAAAAAAGGGCAAGGGTACTCTTGTCCAATCAAAATTGGTTGAAATGGTTATTTGGTATAATAATAGGGTCATTTAAGTTGTTTTACTTCATTTAAGGCTAGTTCGGTATTCAGAAAGTATTTTTCTGATAGACTTAACCCTTAACTGATGTGGGGGGTGGTCAGTGTGATTATGCCAATCCTCAAGGAGGTTGACCACACTTTTTCAAATAGTTTCAGCTGTGAGTAATTTGGACAAACCTCAGGGGAGGTCAGGGTAATTTACCTTTTTCTTTTAAAGAATGTTTTTTCCTTGAGTTTTCTTTGATCATTTTTGGTCCAGTATTTTGAATGGTTATAAAATTATACTATTATTGCAGGAAGCAATAAATGGTCCTAAAAGTTTAGTTTGACTTTATTTTGATGGCCATTGCAGCTTCTGGAATTTTGATGCACTGTTCCAGCCACAACAACACCCTGCTCGTGACTCTCATGATACATTCTTCCTGCAAGGTTAGTTTGGCTTGATTTTCACATTAAGCTGGTTTCCTTCTGATGGTCATGTGATTACTTACTGTAGTTCCTTCGACAACAAAGATGCTGCCTGAAGATTATGTTGAGCGGGTGAAGTCTGTCCACGAGTCTGGTGGCTATGGTTCCAGAGGGTATGCTACTTTTCTTATGTTCTTCAACTCCACTGTTCTACCCCGACGAGTGTTTTTAATAAGATCAGTTTCTTGTAGTTATGGATATGATTGGAAAAGAGAAGATGCAAACAAAAACGTTCTACGAACTCATACAACTGCTGTTTCCTCGAGGATGCTGTACTTGCTTGCACAGGTTTATTTGTGTTATCCTGATACCCTTTTATATTTCCTCATCTGGTAATGCAGCACATTTTTCTTTTACAGGTTCTTGAGAGTTGGGATAAGTTGATGTCTCAAGTTCAACTATCTTTAAGCTTACCCAGTGCACATGTTTATAAGGCGATTGCATGCAGCAGTAGGGATTAATCCCTACTCAAAGTGGGTTGGGGACACCCTGTATATATATATATATTACACCAATATGGTGCTTGATGTGGAATCTATGTCATGTGGTGCAGTATATGGCATGGATTGTGTGATTTATGAGTTTAGCTTGGCTCAACTGTCAAATAATTTAACCCTTTCTAAGTTCTTGAATATGTATATGTAGTAGATGGCTGGTTGCTTTTTATAAATAGTAAGTGCAAACAAAGACTGTCCATTTTACAATTCTGTTTTTCAATCTCAAGTTACCCATTGACAGGTTTAAAAAAAAAAAAAAAAAAACTTCCAAGTTACCCTGAATAAGGTTTGAAACTTGAGCTTAAGACATGTCCCAAACTGAAAAGTTAGGTTTAACTTATGTGTTAATCCTTTTTCGTAACAGTTCAGTATTCTTTTTTACCAAATGCACTGCCAATATGAAGTCTCTCTGTGTGTGTGTGTATTGAGGGTTTGTTTTCATCACGCTTTCATGGTATTAATTGAGTTGCTGTTTTTCTCAGAAACCTTTTGCTCCCAAAAGGTACTACTCTATAGATCGCGTCTTCAGAAATGAAGCTGTAGATCGCACTCATCTGGCAGAGTTTCACCAGATAGAAGGTATCTAACAATCAATGAAAGAATGAATGTATTATTACTTTTCCGTCAGGATTTACATTTACGTTGTCATTGTGGCATCAAATCTTCATTGAACTTGGTGACTATAGCATTATAGCTAGAAAAACTGAAATATGCTGAGCCTAGACTGATTACCGCGCAATTTCTTGATGTGTCCCAAAAGGTCCAAATGAAGTTGGGGTTGGGTTACACTCTGCACATAATCATTCTCCCATGATGAGCTATTTTATTCAGGCGCATAGTGAATATGCATAACACTCCGAACAAAAATAAATTTAATAATTTTCTCAATATGAATTATTTTATTGAGACGCTTGGTGGGCATGCATAATGCTTTAAAGGCACCAAAATAAGACCCTTATTCCACTTTGCACGGGATGGAATATTAAGGTTAGTTTAGCTGGATGCTTATTTGGATTGACCCATTTTCACCAAATCACCGACAGTGTACACTGAAATAGTTGACCTGATTGGCTAATTTCCTTTGTTATTTGAATTCTCTATTCTTCTTCATATTTGATATCTTGTTTTATGTTTAAAAAAAAAACAATTATCATGAACGGGCCATTTTGTGGAAATGAGAAGCTATCAAAGCAAGTGACAAAGTAATTGAGAATAGCAACATTTCATGACCCAAAATTATTCTGGTATATTGACCTTGACATTTGGAACAATTAGATAACGAATTTGTAGTTATAATGTCATGTAAATAGAGGAAAAAATCAACTTACATGGGACAATAAGGACCTTCTAATTTATTTCTTGTGCTTTTTGGTGAATTCTTAACCTGTCCGGACATCTGTATTTTGTTTTTAGGACTGGTATGTGATCGAGGGCTTACTCTTGGTGACCTGAAAGGAGTTCTGAGTGATTTTTTTTCCCGTCTCGGTAATTCGTCAATTTACTGTTGACCTTTGGTTTATATTCTTTTTCAGCTTTTGAGTAAACTTGCGACAAAGTTTTATATTAAAGTTTTATAACATATAGCTTGATAATTCTACCGTATATCCAGTTTTTCATTTTAATGAATAATATATATTACATAGAAAAATGGAAAATGATGATAAGACAATACGCAAAAGCAGTAAATATATTAGATTTATATTCTTACATTTCTTATGCTCAGGTATGTCCAAGCTACGTTTCAAGCCCGCTTACAATCCTTATACTGAACCCAGCATGGAAATTTTCGGGTAGCAAATCGTAATTCTGTTAGACAGGGTCTTGAAGCCAGCAACTAGATTTTTATTATTGTTATTTATTTTATTTTATTTTTGGCTGTAGTCAGCAACTAGATTAATCATTTTTGCATCTGGGCAGTTATCATGAAGGCTTAAAGAAGTGGGTAGAAATTGGAAATTCTGGCATGTTTAGGCCTGAGATGCTACTCCCTATGGGACTCCCAGAAGATGTTCGGGTTATTGCATGGGGCCTATCCCTCGAAAGGTAAGATAAATTGCTGTTATTATTCATTGAATTTAATATAATGATGGATCAGAATGTCATTGTTCATGTCAATTTGTAGAAGACCAATATTTTTGAATTTTGTTTTAGGGGATTACAGAGAAACACAAATTTACATATTTGTTTGACGATATTTTACTTGGTGTTAATATTTCGTTTTATGTTTTGACCAGACCAACCATGATATTGTATCATATCGATAACATCCGAGATCTCTTTGGACACAAGGTACCCATTGTTTGCTTCCATAAGAAAGCTATGAAAGTAGTTTTTTTCGATAGAAGTTCAGCAGCATTGTAACTATTAATTATAATGTTTTTCTTTGCAGGTTGATCTCAGTCTCATCAAGAAAAACCCTATATGTCGTCTTGGAATTGAATAGAAAGTGCATAGCGTCCACTTCTCATATCTATGCAAAGATGGTCCTTTTATACCTTCTCAGTTTTTTAGAACTTGAAAAAAATAGGATAACATACTTGAAGTGAGAGAAACAGATACACTTGCTGATCGGTTTTGGTCACCGATTAATGTGGCAATCATTGAGATAAATTCTATTCTTATCCAATATTGATAAAAGTCATTGTTGGACACTATTTATTGATTGTTGTTTGTAGCATAAAGTGTGATTCATGGTCACGAAACACTTAAAACTTTTTAGTTGATGTTAGCTTAATTGATTGTATTAAACTTTTCCTTCAATACAGCCAGCCACTCTGCAATTTTTCCCGTGAAATGAAATGGATTTGATATCGAGTTTACTCCTGTTGTATTAATGTATTGTAGTGTTGTCTTCAGGCCAATTTAATAATCAAAAGAGGAGGATCGCATGACAAATATATGGCATAGTGATGAATCAAGCTTATCTCACACAATGGCTAGTTGCGTTTTCTGAAGCAAGCTAGTTAATTGCATGGTTGTTAAGACTGACTAAAATGATTGAGAAGTGAAAAATAGAAGAAAATTATAAAGAACGACTTATCACTGAAGGGAATGTTACGACTATTCTTTTTTCTTATACTCAAATCTCACCCAATTTGAGGTCTATACATGAAAATCTCCTCCTTATTGTACATTCGTTTAAGGAAAGCAGGATTAAACTCACATCACAGATATATGTATGAGACAAGATACTGGATTAAATTATCATAGAATCAATATATATTATAGACACAAACACATACATCTATACTGAAACTATGGCCGAGAAACGATTCTGTGAATCAAATCTGCCTCCCGTAGGTGTTGGTCCTCGCGGAATCTAACCATCGTCATTGATGGTTGAGATGAATAGCGATTGTTTGAATCAAAGCTATCAGCATTTCATCGACGTCGGAAAAGGGCATACTCTTCTGCCAAAAAACACCAGAGGAAGAGGAAGTTGAGGTGGTATAGAGAGAGATTTTAGAGAGAATTAGATAAATCTTGAACTGAATTAAATGGTAATGAAGATTACCGTTTTGATGGTTCTCACTGGCTTGCTAATTGTTAAATAATGTGTTATTTTATAATTATATATATATATATATATATAATTTAAAAATGAGGGAGTTCAATTGAACAAAATCATAAGCATCATGAAAGAGAGTGCAACGGACTGCCGAATTGCTTCATGACTCGCCCGGTCAAGATCCAATGTTGGACAACCACCTAAAAACCAAAAATAAATAAGTAAGGACTCATCTCTTTCTATTCCCCTTCTCCGTTACTTCTAGACTTGTACCCTTTTGCCGGCAAAGAACCACGTAGAAAGAAGACTTGGACGATCGGCGTTGTCGAACCACCTATCACAGGTATATTTTGTGGTTCCGCACCTTCCCCATTTTCTTCTCTCTCTTAGGGTTTCAGTCTAGGGCTATTCTTCTATTCAACCTCATCTTGTTGCTTGTATGCATCTCTTCTTACGAATTACAATCTCACATTTCTAATATATATATATATAATTCATTTCAAGTCAAGAACACGCTCAAAACTACAACATTGATATTGTTGAAACTCACCAGATTGGAGCTATTAATTAAAAGTTATATGTTTTTGAAGTTATATGTGTAATATGTGTATGGAGAGAAATGTAACTACTTCATATGACTGCTGGATTCAAGTTCTTAATCTTGTTGACTAATCTTAATGCTCTCTGGATGTTAACACATGTACATATTTGATAATATGTTTCTTAGGTGCTTTTTGTTGATTCTAATTTGTGGGTACCTGTGGAGAGAGATACTCACCATGATGCCATAAGACATTGCTCTTGCACTGGTATCCCTTTTATATAATGTTACCTCTGTGATAGCTGTTGTTTTGAATTTCCGGATTCGGTTTGAAACCATCCCTAAACCTCCTTGAAACATGTAGGACCCCATATTTTCTATTGTGATTGCTGTTATTCTGAATGCCCAAGAAGATGTGTAGCTCATAGCCTGGTACCAAAGGGCCTCTAGCTTAATGCTATAGCATCCCCGTCCTCAAAGAGGATGAGAGGGGTTCGAGCCCGGCTTGGGCAATGTGTGTGTGATCGAACAAAAAAAAAAAAAAAAACAGTGTAGCTGGTAAATTGTTCTGGAACACTCAATAACTTTTATCATATTGCTGCAGCACAGCCATATAGGTTGTCCATTAGAAAATACTCTTCTTCTATCAACTTGTGGTGATTGAGTCCGTAATGCTTGGGATTCCGTTTTCCTTAAAATATACTGGAAGTAGAAATGATCTAGTTGTTGTCATATAATTATCTCATTAACATGATTGCTGTTGGATTTTACTGAAAATCTTAATCTAGGATTAATTGTTTCATTTCAACATGGTTCAATTTGAAATATGGTCTGCTCATGGCAAAACCTGATTCATATAACAAACCTCAAATAATTGGGATTAGGCTTAGTTGAGTTGAGTTTGGTCTGTCCATAAATTGGTCACCAAAAAGATTAAAAATAGATATTGTCTGTCACTAATATGTAATACCAAATCTGAAATATATAATGGACTTTGGTGTAAAGGCAACTCATATTGACTTGTTTTAGGTATCGATAACTCAATCCTAGTCGATAAATTCATATAAATTTTAACCATGAGTTATACCAAGAATATTACTTCTTTTTAATTTGAATATAGATGAAAATTTTAGTGAATAGAAACATCAAGAGAAAGCAAGAAAGAGGAAGTTATAGACACCTTTTCCGACTCTGTATCTGGAGTACTTCACTTTATTTCCTCCAGAGAAAGAACAAAATTTCTTATTTGATATGGGATAATTAAAACTTTTTTCTGTTGTTCTCATCGAACCAGATATTCCCTAATAGCAATTAATTAGAAGGGGGCACGCGCTTTCCCTGTCTCTTCCTATATATGCATTTTCGATTTTTTTTCTTGCTATCTCATGTAGTGCCAAGTGGCATTTCAGAGGAAGATATACACAAAAAATCATTACACGAACAAGTCAATTAATGAAATTTTTTTGAAGAGCTTTTAGATTTTTGGTTTATTGTTGCTTTAGAAAAAAATAATAACATAGCAAATTGATGGCTTCTTATATTCGTCTATCAAGGGTGAAAGGAGTGGTAAATTGGGCAAAGTACAGATGCAGTGTTGAACATAATTTACACAAATGCTAAGATTTACAAAAGATCGTATTAAAATTAACATTATGATTCCAAAATAGCCTCAAATCGGAAGCAAGTGAACTGGCTAGTGGGCCGGTGGTTCACGATCCCACCCAAAAACTTAAGCTATTAGGTGGGGTTAATACTCAACCCATATAATAAACCCATTCACTTCCCCATCCAGATCCGCACAATACCCTTGTTGTGATCGGGCCATTCTGTCTACCTGAGAGACGTAGCGGACTACTCCGGGCCGAGCACTTGGCATGACACTGGATCAAGGAATAGATCTGACTCTAATACCAACTATAACGAGCCGGGTGCTTCGCGATCCGACCCAAAAACTTAAGCTGTTAGGTGGGGCTAACACCCAACCCATATATACCTATTCACTTTCCCATCTGGATCCGATGTGGACAAGGCCCCCCTTGTAACACTAGTCCACTCCCGGGTTTTCAAAAATCACAACTAAAGATTCTTCAATTTAATATCAATCAAAGCCTTAATTGTGGAGTTGCGGAATTTCTTTCAGGTTCTCTCCTCATTTAGATAAACAAGATGAATCTTGCGACCTCACTATGTAGAAGACTGAATCTCAATGAACTAGTTACAAAGACTCCCGTCTACAACACTGCCATTGGTATGATTTTCTCATTTTCATTTACAACAGTACTTCTGGTATTACAGGGGATTATTGGTTTGTTTGGCCTAACAATGTTTCCATTATACTTAATATAGATGTATCTGGAGGAGGACTGAGTCTGATGTTCAGACGATGGGCTACCAAAAAGACCGCAGGATCCACAAAGAATGGACGAGATTCGAACCCCAAGAGTCTCGGGGTAAAAAAGTTTGGTGGAGAGGTGAGATGATGTTACTTCTTGTTTTGTTTCGACGTAAAATATTTTTAAAAATATATATATTTTTTATTTTTTGGTGTTCAGTTGTCGTAAAACATCTACCAAGAAAAAATATATTAAAATCTAACAATAATAACTTATCCAGCAATTTTCGGTAAGTTATTTTACACATCCCGCCCCACGAACTCAACCTCGGTCTAGATATTTGCCAAACACCAAAAAATATAATAAAAAATATATATTTTACTTGAAAATGGAAAATCTTCTCCGAAAAAAAATATTTTACATCGAAACAAATCGATAGTTGTCAAAAGAAGCAGAAAATAAAGGGAGAAGAAAAGATTTGTTGTTATCATATATTGCCTATTGAACCTTATTGATTCTATTTTTTGCTCATCATTCAGAGAGTAATTCCCGGGAACATCATTGTTCGTCAAAGAGGAACCCGTTTCCATCCAGGAGATTACGTTGGTATGGGAAAAGATCACACATTGTATGCTCTCAAAGAAGGTTGTGTCAAGTTTGAACGTCACAAGTTGAGCGGACGCAAGTGGGTGCATGTTGAGCCCAAGGAAGGCCATGTGCTTCACCCCGTCTACTCAAATGCTGCTGCTGCTGCAGCTCCTATGCTGAAGACTGCTTAATTATCTGGTTATCATCTGAAGTTAATTATGGGATGCAACTCTACTGTTTTTGGTTTATTTTAAAACTTCTAGGCAATTGTGATAAATTAATCTGATTTTTTGAAAGCCTCTTTTCATATGTAAAATAAGATTTGGCATGTTATCGATACTCCGAGTTCATGAGCTGCTTATTGATACTGTGAGTTCTGAAAGCCTCTTTTCATCTGTATTCCCAGAGCTTGTGTTATTGCAATTCCATTGAATATATCCAAAGAATAATCCTTGAGGCCTTTTTGGTATGTCAAGGAACATTAGCTTGTAGTTTACACTTGCACACTAATAACAGTATAGCACTGATACTTTCAACCGATGAAACAGTGACAAAAAATGTTTTTTATACTTTAATACAAGAAATTTAACTTTGTAACAAAAATATTAATATGATTGACCGTCATATGTACAGATATGAAAAATGGGAAATATGTTCAAAGCGGAATTGTAAAGATTATCATCTACTGCGGAGAAAAAAAAGGTTAGATAATCCACACTTTCAGATTAATTTAGCTGTGTTCTTTCTACTGAGCAATTTGTTGTTTGAGAATCACAGGAAGAATATTCATCTCTAGGAAAATCAACTAGTGTACTCTCCACGGAGCCATCAGTTTTAGAATCTGACAGGTGTTCATCCACAATACCAGACTCAAATCGTCGGCGCCTTTCAACTGCAGCCTGAACCCTCTGATCAAACTCTTCATCTGTGCTTGCCAACATATATCGCAGCTTAAAATTTATCCGGTTCTCCATCAGAACCTTGTGTCTCGGAACTATACGGCCATCAAGAGAATAGCTGAAAAACCTGCAAATAAATTCATGATTGACGGTGTGAGAAGTACACCAAACACCAGCTAATATTATTTTATGGCTCCGGCAGGGGAGAGAGAAGACATATGGCTTAAATCGTGTTTACCAATATCCTCATTTCTTAATGGAAAAAGAATCATAATAATCATTTGGCTAACTGACAATACTAGATTATTTAAGGCCAAAATCAAGATAATTGTATTTGTAAGATATAAGACTCTCCGTTCAATTCATATACCTTGTTCTAAACAATTCAGTGTGCCAATTTTACAATTTAGCTCGAGCATAAATGATTTTTAAGCAAGTAAAAAATATTGCCAAAACAAAAACATAGATGACCAACGTTTTTCCCAGAAATAATAATAATTTTTTTTTAGATAAATGAAGGATGTGCAAATTTCTCCATCATATTACTCACGTACCTTGGAAACTCAATAAGATCCTCCAAAGGACGGACCATGATTCTCCGCAAGTATCGATACTTGGGACGAAGGACATCTATGTTATACCGGAGTAGCATTGGAAAATCTGCAATCATCTCACCCAACACTCGAAGAGAAATGCCAAGTGACAGAAAATACTTCACACTAACATCCAGTTTATATGCTATGCTGCATCCCAAGAGTTCTGGTCCCAAAGCTATCACTTTCCCAATATCCTTCTGGGTGACACCAGCTTTTGTCAACAAGAATATAACCTGTAGAGGAACGAATTTCAGTTGGTGTATAATTTGATATTAGACATTAATTTTACTATGATTTGAGAAATAGCCTAAAATGGTTAACATCGTGCTGCAAAAAATAAAATCCATCACTGTAAGCAAATCAGAATGGACTATGGATATAAAAAAATAGTTACAAATTAAAAGGCTATGCAACATCTTGCTAGTGAGAATTGCATTCCATCAAAGGCGGTTGAATGAGTGCCAAATCTCATCATACTTGAAGGGGAAATCATCAGCGATTCAATGATTCCTTTTCGAAATGAGCGAATCTGATATGATGATATTAATCCCCTAGGACAGTAGCTATTTAAAGACACACAGACAGCACAAAAAATCAATGCAAGTTCGAAGTTTACAAACATTTCTTGCTATGCATGCAATGCATTAATTTACAAAAGAAGAGAGCTGAAGATATATATAAACAATGGTGCAGCAAAAAAAAAAAAAATGGTCAACTCCTCAATCCAGCCCATCATTTAGATATATAAAAATTAAACACACATCTCTACATACATAGAAATATATGTAATGTTCATATGTATACATATATAGCAGGTTTCATAACAGATTTGGAAGCATTTTTGGTTAATCTATAACTCACCAGCTTGGATAAAATTAGAATTACTGCCAAAAGATCCAAAAAAAACATCTACAATTTCCAAAAAAGAAGGAAAAAAAACCCAATAATCATTGTTGCTGATACTAAATATGGAAGGAAGAAAACAAGATAAAAGAACAAACCACTGGTCGGATTTTCTTGTAGAGGCTGTATGTTAGTAATGGAGGAAACTTGACAAGCATATTGCCAATGGCATCTTCTTGAACACCTATGTCCAGCAAAAATTGTACCTTCACATGTAAAGACAAAATTTTGTCAATGTTTGAAGTAGAAAGCATATGCCATCACTATCACATTTCAACTATATAATATTTCTGGTTTCTATCGAGAGTATGATATACATGAAAACAGAACAAAATATAAGAACAAGAAAATAAGAGAGGACGGGAAGAACAATCTGCGGGCAACAACAGGTCAGCTGGAGAGAGTCAAAACTGCCGGCAAAGTCCTAGTAAATTATACAAGTTGGCTCTTTAGATATTTGCTGTTATCAATAAAGTTCAAATCACAAGACAAATAGTACAAAACCAAATCTTACCTTTGGCGCAATGATGCTCTCCAAATCAACACAGAAAACGATAGGCTTAATAGTAAGAATTCTCCTCATACCATCTCGGGAAATCCCAAGGTAGTATAAATACTTAACAAGAGGTTTCCATCTTTCTTCAATGCTACAGCCCATCAGTTGTGGCTTAAATGCTAGTAATCTCCCAACATCTTCATTACCGAGGCCAAACTCTTTCAGATAAGCAACCTGTATGAATAAGAGCACAATTTCACTCTGACTATAAACCATGACAATTGAGTATTTCAACAACACAACCAACTTGAAGCAAAGCTTTGACAACATTGAGTCTAAGACCTAGAAGGTTGAACAACCTTCACCTATTAACCAAACCATGTTCCTCACCCTGAAAACAATCCCTAACCTCCACTCCCAACAAAAAGCGGGGGAAAAAAGAAGGGGGGGGGGGGGGGGGGGGGGGGCCAGTATTGCTTACTGTGGAAAAGTTGAGCAGGAAATTAGTTCAAGAGGACACCCATACCATTCAGATTTCTGTTGCTAATATTATAAAAGAGTGTATAATAAATGACAAGTGGGGGGCATAAAACTAGACTATAATTGTATACATAGTCTCATTTAAAAGAAGAATTTCTTACTACAGAAAAGTTGAGTATGAAATTAGTTCCAGATTATAGCCATAGCTTTCAAATTTCTGTTGCTATTATTATAATGCATATAAGTGATTGGTGGTGGGAACAAAATTAGAATACAAATGTATTCGGGTACTCATTTAACAGCCCACTTGTTAAAGAGCACAAAATGAGTTGGATACCTTTTGGTTCATCTCTTCCATAGAAAAGTATCCAAGCACCTTGGGATAATCAAACACCATTGTGCCAAAATCCTCATCATTCATACCCATATCCAAGTAGTATTGCACACGAGATTTCACTTCTTCCATGCTGTAAAACAACAGTTCAGGACATCGGCTCATGACACAACCCATCCAATCCCTCCTGACTCCATGGCTTTCCAGATACACAACAATTTCATCCAATTCCTCTGTACTACGCTCCAATATATTCCCTCCTGCTCTCATCAATGCGACTCCAATAAATCTCTCCTTCACATGAATTGACTTCAACCATTCCGCAGTACGTCTTATGGAATCAACATTTCCTCTTGACATGCATATGATCTTCCCAATTTGGGGATATGACAATGAATTGTGTTTCAACCACCTATACAATTCAGGAAGCTAATAAGTCATTGTTTTTCTTCATTCATTTTTTTTTTCTTCTATCAAAATGTAATGGATAAAACTCGGTTTTGTTTGTGCATAATAGATAAATTTAGAAATAAATTAAAATTTGTTGGAGAAATCCTCTCTTTGAAGTGGCATGGGTAAGACATGAGAATAATAAAAACATACCAATGAATACCAAATTGTTGACACCACATTAAATTAACAAAATCAAACTTAAAATTGTTCTGTCCCTGTACCTAATAAGTAGGTAATTCCATTTGTTTTTCCTCTTCTACAGAGCATGGTGATATTGATAATTTGAAAAGCATTTGGCATCGAAATGTTAGGGATAAAATTGGGCTTTGTTTGTGCATAGATAAATTTAGAAAAATATTTGTAAGTGTCATGGACAAGACATGAAGAGCAATAACAATGAATACCAAATTATTGACACCGCATTGAATTAACAAAATCAATCTTAGAAGTGTTTCTGTCAATGTACCTGATTAGTGGGACGACATTAGAGTTATCTATGGTGATCTTAGCACGAACATTGAATGACGATTGTGAAAATTCGGGCAATCGCTTCATCGAAGCAGCTTCAATCATCACATAATCAATGAAATCAGACAACTTCGAAACCAAATTAGTAGAGTACGTGATCCCAAACTTGCCCTTTCTCATTGCTTCCTTAAAGATCTCCACCGTCACTTTGCGCCTAATCTCAAGAGCCCTCATCAGCATCTCACCGTCATCGTCGTCTTTGCCGCCAATTACTCGCTGAAGAGGCGGCAAAGAAGTGCTCACATCGACGTCGCTTGGGGACTGTACGTAGATAGAACCTGGAAATTGAGGGGTTCGTTTTCTCGCAAGCGACATTTTTATAAGCTTCACTTTGTCCTCTTCTGGTATGGCATGTTCTTGTTGATGAAGCTGTTGTGGTTCTGAGTTTTGTTCTTGGTGGTATGAGAGGTGGCGGAGGAGGGTTGTGGATTTGGCGTTGTGGGTTCGGTTGATTTCTTGTTCGTTGTTTGTGTTCGTGGTGGTGGTGGTGGTGGTGTCTGGGTTTGAGATAGTCTGGTGGTTGTTGTGGTGGTAAGTGGCGGAGGAAGAGATGGTGAAGGGGCGGTGGCGGAGGGTGGTGGAGAGCTGGAGGAAGACGGTGGTTGAATTGGGGTTACGGGGATTTTGGAAGTGGGGGTTGGGATTGAGGGAGAGGTGAGAGTAGTGAGGGTGTTGTGGGTATGATAACATCTTCAACACACACAAATGGATAGAGTTGCTCGATGAGGACACGATCTGAACACAACTACAATGGCAGTTTTTCTGTCTATAGATATATAATTATGCATTTGTAATAATAGTTTTATATTGTTCAAATATTTTTTATTAAGATCTTTTTTATATTTTATTTATTTTTAAATTTTACGCCTTCAGCAATGTTACTCAAAATTTTAGCTCAGAATGATATTCAAACTGGTTATCAATGTCTAAGCGTTTCACGCAGGAATGAGATTTCATTTCAAATCATTTGGGTCTATTTGATTTGTAAGTACGAAAATAATTGTCAAAACTCCGCAAGTTAACAATCTTGTATAGTTTTTTGAAAAAAAAAATTATAATTAAATTTTGATAAAACAATTTTTAAAGAATTGAACTAAGTAAAATTTTTATATAATTTTTAATTTTTTGAAAATAAAAAATTATTTTCATAACCACAAATCAAGGCAGACTCAGATTTTTATTGTCTTTTTTCAGAAATCTCATTCTCAACATTAGTTAGTTCCACATAAAGGTTGGGTCTCGAACAATATTTATATCTCATAAGACCAAAACAATATCAACTACTAGTACTATCAGCTTGGCACCAAACAAGGATTTTCTTAATTGTGCTAGTGTGTGCGTGTGAGAGAGAGAGAGAGAGAGCAGTGCATCTGCCATATTTTTATGAAAGGCTTTGACATCTAGAGGTAGCTGCAATTAGCTCTCATTTCGTTTGTACTTGATTATGGCACTTTTTCAAGAACGCACATCTATCCAAATTATGGACAATTAGCACCCCCACCACCAAAATCAAACATTTATGAGTTTGCTCCCACACGAATAGTTAGGAAAAATGTGCAACAAGGGTAAAGGGAAAATATACATATGCTTGGTTGATGATGAAAACTTCCAACCATCGGCATATTATTGCCTTCTAATATACATCACTTCGGTTGAGCATAAGAAAAAATCCTCCTTGTGCCTACCCTCACATGAGAGTTCAGGTATTCAAACTCTATTCCATTGTTGAATCAACAAATGAGTGAAATCCTTGTTAATTAACCGAAAAATCTTTGAACTATCTACGCTGCCAACCAGAAATGGATTTTGGGACAAGCGTGATTGCATTTGAGGCCCTTTCCAGCCTGCACAAAACCAGTAGCTTCCATCAATTGAATGGGCGCACGTGCGCACACAGACAGAGAAAGAGAGAGAGAGAGTACTTGGAAATTTCTTCAACAGCCTTTACAACTTCTGTAGAACTGGTCTCAAGAACTTGACCTCCCAGAATGATCTCATCCAGAATAGTATGCACCTGCAAAGTCAATGCTAGCTCATTGATGGCTGAAAAGGATACAAGCACAGACAGAGAAACATGAGTGCACATATGCATCCACCACTTCATTGCATATAACAGGAGTAATCAAACTGGAGAGAAATGTTTTTTTTAAAATAAACCTCTTAATCTGAGTGGGAGAACTGTCGGTGACACAGACCAAGCAAGAACATTCAAGTTTACCAACCCAACAGCCTTGGTGTTACAACAAAAATAATAATACCACACGAACTTCAACCAGTACCCGAACAATGATACGATTACAGATGGCATAATGGGGTAAGTGGTAATACTTGGTTTAGACGTCAAAGAAACTGGTGCTTATGTAAATAATAAAGACACCAGATTTAATGTGTGAATGTTTTCACAAGGTACAAGCCGGTGTGCATTTTTAACCACCGACTTTACTTTCAGACAATTTTTCCTACCTAGCAAACTCACTGTGAGCTTGGGCCCGTTAAACTATTATAGGTTTTGTCCCTAATGAAAATTTGGAGTTCCATAAGAAGACAGTTATTTGTATAGCTTGGGAATTCAAGGATTAATATACGTTGAGTTCAAACCTTTTGAATCTTAATGTGCAATGATTATAGGGTAAAGGTGGTCCCCCTCAAAATCGTAAATGACGTGTGTTATATCATATATGGACTCTCCTATTTCCCTCAATATACATAGTTGTGGGTGTGGAATATACATTCGAGGGTGTGGAATATAATATCAATCCAAATTGATAATCCCGAGCCTTGGCATGTGATGATGAAAAATGAAGAAGAAACTCAAATAGAATACCAGAGAAAGATTTTACAGTCCTAATATAAATGGAACCTGCCTTTCTCCAGAATCTCCACTACATCCCATTTAATTTAAGTTCTGATTTAGTATATCCTTGAACAACAATAGCATCAAATATTACATTATTATATACTACGTAGTATATAAGATATTTAAGCACATAAGTAAACACAGTTGACTCTTGGGCACGTTGCCAAGCAAAATCCCCACATCCTAAGATTTGAAATACAAAGGAAGACACTTAAGCACAACCTGATTCACTATACATAACAAAGGCCATGTAACATAGAACATGAAATTTCCACTTTGTTCTGATCACCATTTACCAGCTTGTAAACATTGTAACATTTTGTTAAAACAAATCACACTAAGCCTACCCAATATAGAATTAACCAGAATAATCTGATTTTGCAGCAAGTGTTACGTTATTATATGCACCTTAAAAACTTGATTCAAGAAAAAATAAAAAATAAAAAAAATAAAAATAAAAAAGAGGCTAACCTTGTTAAAATTGAACACTATGTCGAGCTCACACACATTGCTGAAACACTTGTCCAATGTCTCCACAAAAACTGAAATTCAGGAGAGCTTTAATAAACAAAATATCCACTTGGCAAACCTTATGAAAAATGAAATATATATTATATGTATCCATATATTACATTATACAACAAGCATAATTTGCAATGTTATTCAGCTCAATCAAGAGATACAGATTTACTAATTTAGTGCCTTCCATTACAACGGAAACTTCTGCACGTTACACAATAAGAAATTGCTTCATGAGCATAACAGTTTCAAGTTATAAATCACATCTTCTATGGATCAGGCAAGTCAGGCCCAATTAACAAACTCAGTAAAGAATATTATCCTGCTAATGTAGAACAAAATGAATAAGCAGTGAGAAGCAATGTTAAAGAAGTTTATGAGATCTATTATTGTCAGTGTTCAAATTATACAGCTAGAAAATTCACACCCAAATATATTGGCAGATTCAAGAAAGATTTAGACCATGAGTTACATCTCTAGTGAAAATTCAGTATTATGTGTTGTCGGGTGTTAAATTATGATTTAGAATGCATCCGGTTCAACCACGGGTTAAGCACCCACCAAGACTATGAGATGCACTCCTTCGGTTAGAAGCAAATTTTCCGTGGGCAAAGGTTTATTCCTCGCATATAACATTAAATAAATTAATTTTAAGGGAAGAAAATATTTTATTTTATTTTATTTTTGGATAGGTAATACACACTCACTCACTCACTTTGTCCAATTGGGACACCCTCAACCTCCTTATTGGGAAAGTGTAAATTATTTTTTCAAGAATTCATTTAAATTAAAGGTTTGATAGGTGTCATCTAATTGTAGAATCACTTCTCTTTTTCCCGCTTATATGTAGATGTCCTGATAAATGACATGTTTTTTTCTTTAAAAAATAATTAATTAATTTTAGCTGTTTTGATGTGCCGATCTCAATACATTAACAGCTATTTCTATTTCTATTTTTTTTCCCATTAGCTTTGTACCCTTTCATATCGCTTACTACCACAAATATTCAAGGCTGCAACGGATTAAACATCTTAATGACCAGTAAATGATGATGCTTGATGTACCTTGCATGAGATCCAGCATTGCTAGCTCATTCTCAGAACTATCAAATATGAAAACAAAGTATAGTGTGGCATAAGTCTTGTATACAAGCTTAGCGTCCTGCAAGTCAGAAGAAAATATGATTATGAATTTTTCTAGCTCTTCAAATTGGGTAATAATTAAGAAGGAAACGTTGGCAAGCACATGATGTAAAATTGAAGCAGAAGTTCACCAATTTTACAATGCAACTGAAGATAACATCAAAACAGACACAAGCTCAGGATCTTAGAGGTTAATTTGAAGACCATGACTTAGATTTGGTTTACAAAAGGAATTGCATTACAGGTGTCAAACATGATTAATATATAAGGTGTAAGGAAGAAGAAAATACACTACTCTTTTTAAAAGGAAAGAACTAACATATCATTTGCTCTATCCAACATATTTTCCAGTGGTTAAAAAATCAAAGATCGCAGCAATGGCTTAAAGAAGAAATTCACAGCGTTGAGGCTGACAGTATAGCTGAGGATTTTTTTTTTAATTTATAACCCAATACTGAATCCTGAGAAGTCAAGATGGAGCAATCAGTCTTGCTGATAGGAAAAAAAAGTCAGCTATAACAAAGACAGCTTATAAATAACAAGCGGAGCTATCTCAAATTAAAAGTTCGGAGAAGCAGACAGCACAATCAAAAATGTACTAAGCCAACTAACAACGTTCAGCAACAGGAATTATGTTACAACTTCAGCATATCAAATGGCTGTATGTTTAGTTAGAGCGTGTGATATGTAAATTATATCTTAAAATAAATTATATGTAAACTGAGGCTCAAACCCCTAACCTCCCTTTGAAAATCTATCTTATATCTAGCTCAATGGTTCACGTTTACTTTCCACTGCCGTCCACCGTCTCATCTAATCAATTGATCAAACAGGAGAAAAAAAGAGTAAGAAAAACACGTACTGGTCCAAATATTGAATCGGCCTTAATGAAGTTGCTCACATTCTCGGGTCTGCTGCATAGGACTGTGTCAAAGCACAAATTACATCCAAGCACAAACAAGAAATATTTATTTCAAAATGAGAAAACTCTTCTCTTCAGTGAATCAATAGTTGAGAGCTATACAATACTCCTCAATCAAACATATGAATAATACGATAATATCTAATTCATATTAATCACCACAATTTACCAGGATAAGTGGCCAAATGAATGTAAAATAAGAACATAGCCAATATAGGCTCTCTAAATAGGGCATATTTTGTTATACAATATATATATATATATATATATATATATATATTGTATAACAAAATATGCCCTATTTAGAGAGCCAATTGTTAAGCATGAAACGAAATTTAATATCAAAGATCATAGGCAACTCAACCGTGTAGCTGAAAGATATACAAATTTTGATTCTGAAAACGGAACAATGGAACTGTGAATTATCTTTTAAAAACATAAGGAGTTGAAAAGGGAATTGTGTGGGTGTAAGAGAGAGATTAAACCTCCATAAATGCTTCGAATCAGCTCTTGCTGCCTCTCCACGGTCTAACCTTACAATTTAAATCACAATTGATAAACATCTCAAACTTGATATATTAATTAAAATATATATATATATATATGAATATTGAAAGCACGCTTGATCAACACCACAAAATTGATGAAGAATTCAAGAAACTGTGAATCCATCACGATCACAGCTAAAATGCATGAAAATATAAGAAAATTAAATGTTGAAATCCTAGATCTCTCAACATGCGAACGCTGAGAGAACCACCACTCAACGAACTCCAGATGCCCCAAAACAGTAAAGAATTAATAAATTGTAGTAACTTTCATAGGTTTTTGGGAACCAAGAGGAGGGTTAAGTGAGATAATGACCTGATAATCGTAGAACTTGACGAGACGAGGCTTGCCTTGGTCATTGATCACTATCACCGCTCGAATCATGTCGACAGTGTGGAAGCGAAACCAGCCGATAAAAGTGGTTACGGCGCGTGCGATCTACGCGCCACGTCGCTCCTCCGAAAGTGACTCACTGCGTTTGGATGGAGAGAGAGAGAGAGAGGGGAGAGAAACGTTGAATATATGTTCCCTGTTTGGCATAATTTTTAAAACACTTTCCCCACCGTTTTTATTATTGTTTTTTTTTAAAATAAAAAATAAAAATAGAGTTTTGGTGACCAAATCTAAATAAAATTACTTTAAAATAATTTTAAAGTTCATAAAAGATAAATAATCACCAATTTTAAAACTTACTAATAAGGGACCATTTATTGATTTATTACATAAATATTCTTATTTTAATATATATTTTTTTAATTGAATAAATTTATTCTCAACATTAAACACTTTTGTTATTGGACAAATAAAGGATAAAATGAAGATGAGAAGAGAAGGGAATGGTGGTGTATTTGGATAGTGTTGTGATTTTTAATCTTTTATTATACAAACAAGATATGTGTGTGTGTGTATATATATATATAATTTGATCAAACTTAAAAGTATGTAAATTTATATAAATTATAATTATGGATATAATATTCTTAATTTTGTGCATAGCATGTTTTTTTTTTATCATGGTGGAGAGCCGTGAAAAAAATAATAATAAAGAAATTCTAAATTTAAGGTATAAGGTTATCAAAGAAATCCTATTTTTTTAATTGTTTAGTTGCAAACTAAAAAGGAAAAAATATAACAAGAAAGAGAGTGGAGAATGAATCAACAATTTTGTCATTTAAAACTTATTTTTATAATATTTTATAAACAAGTAAGTATTATTTAACCAAATTACCCTCAAATGGTCACTTATTATTAATTAAGTTTAAAAATTGATCATTATTCATCTTTTTCTTGACTTAAATGTCACTTTTTAACAATTTTGTTTACATTTAGTCACTAATATGGAATTTTTCCTTTTTTTTTAAGCCTTTTTAAGAAACAAACGAGGAACAAATCAATTTTTATAAACCTATTTTTAAAAGCATTGAATGAAATTAGAAATCATTTATTTCAAACTCTCAAACATAGTTTCTTAGTTTTTTTTTTTTTAAAAAAAAAAGAAATGGATCAAATAACATATTTAAAGGCACTGGTTCGATATTTCTAAATTAGTGGTACAACACCGCTGAGTAATTGGAACCCAACTCGAATCAATTCTAACTTTTCTCGGACTTTGTAATCATTTTTACAATTAGGACTGACATTTGATTAAAAAATTTCAACTCAAACTTAATTAGGTAGTGTTGAATTGAGGTGCTAGCAACTCAAACTCAAATTTTAAAATTTTTATTATATATATATATATATATATATATATATATATATATATATTAACTTCATATATATATATATTTATTTTAAATACATTATATATAATATTCAAATTACAATCACTTTTTTTTTTCAACTTACTTTGTTTAAATCTTAATTTATTATATGTTGACACTTAAGAGAATTAATTTTAATAAGAATTTATTTGTAATTTATTATAAATTTACAATAAGTTTTTAAAACTTTGTGTTGATGAGTAATTTAATATGAAACTAACTTGAGATCACTTTTTTTTTTTTTTTGTGAGCATTAGCCAAATAGGCAACCCAAATTAACCTAATATTTGCGAGAGTTTGTATTATGTGTGGGTGTGTGTGTGTGTGAGAGAGAGAGAGAGAGGAGGTAGTGAGTAAGCAAGTGTTTATATTATAATTTTAAGGGTAATTTGGTAAATTTTAGAAAGTATTTAAGTCTAATTTGGTTTCCATGTATGTCATGAAAAGTGAAATTTGACATATTTATAATTACTTTTGCCTAAAATATTTTTTTATGGGGTTATTTTTTAGTGTTTATATTTTAGTAATTAACCCTTGCTAAGGTGTTTTTTTATTAAATTAACCAAAAAATATAAAATACAATATATATGGGCAGGCATGTATTACTACCCAAAAACTTTTGAGTCAAAAGACAAGTATTTGATCCATTGTTGTTGGTGTCAAAATTAAACCTAGTCCTTAATATGGTGTCATGCTAAACACTCGTCCATGGATTTTCTTTAAAGAGGTAGGGTGGTCAAATCGTGTTGCGAGGTTGGTGAGGATAATGTTAAAGAAGATTGTCTCACGTTAAATCGAATGTATGAACGGATATCCAACATTGCCCAATATAAAATGCATGAAACTAAAAATAAATGATCAAAGAGAGAAAATAAAATAATCCATTTTAACTAATAAAAAAATTGGAGGGACCAAACATGAAAGTTACTATAACTTATTTTCTTTTATTTCTTTGTTAAAAAACTAAAAAAATTTATTGGCAAATTTGACTTTTAAAAATGCAATTAGCCTGATCTAAGTGTCCGAGGCTACTTATGCATTAAGGCCTCGTTAAAAGCTTTGCTTTTATTTTCATGTAAAAAGAAAAACAAAAACTATCACTTTTATTTATTGGGATACAGTTGAAAAGTTATCACCTAGGAGCATTTTCAATGGTTGTTTATATATTTTTGTGTAAATATGATGTGTCAGTAGATTTATACAAAAAAAAAATTAGACTAATTAGTTTTAGTTCCAACCATTGTTTTATATATTTGTGTGTAAAAATATATGTACCAATAACAACAAGTATCGTGTCCAATACCCCACATAACTTTTACAAACCTATTTAATCGTTAATTCATTAATGAAATGAGAAAAAGAGAGGAGGAAAAATATATATTGATATGGTTGTGTAAAAAAATTGTTCAAATTTAACAAAATGATCTTTTAACATATTAATGGAGATGTTTTAACTCTTTAAAAAAAATAAAATAAACACTACTTAAAAGTTAAAACATCTTTCAAACCCAAAAACTCAAGATCACATTAAAAGCCAATTAAAATATTCACTAACCATGAAGAGCGATTTAGGGGTGGACTCTGTAAGCTTGAGCTCACCAAAAAATAAATTATTATTTTTTACTATAGGTAATTTTGGCAAAGTCCAAAAAATATATATATATTACTAATATTACTAAATCAGATGGTAAAATTGACCGTCCACAAGTTCCAATGCATAACTTACATGAACTGCTCTCAAAACGCTATGGTCTAAAAAGGAGAAGACAAAAAAAAAAAAGAAAAAAAAAAGCTAAGATTCACTACCACTCAGTGATTATACTCCAAAATTAAACAAGCTCTCACATTTATATAGGATGATCAAAGGGCTCGTTTTGCATAGCTATTACTTATACTTTTATAAAGAAAAGAAAGAGAATCAGAAGCAATTACTTCTATTTAACTTATGTATTAGTGTTTGAAAATTATATTTTAAAAGAGTTTTTAATATTGGAAAAGTTCTTTTGCCTGTTTGGCAAAACATTTGTTAAAGTTTTTTACTATCTAAATAACTATTTTATCCTAAAATCGATGGGGTGAATGTATATTTAAAAAAAACTATTTAACAACATAAAGTAATTATATTATTTTACATAACACTATTTCTTAAACACCCTGATAACTCATTCAACATAATTTAATTATCAAAAATGTATAAGAACAATAACTTGTTTTAAAAAAGTCATATATTAATTTCATCTCATAGCTAATACAACCAAATGAAATTTTAACAAAGTATTTATCTAAGTCCCATATCAATTTTATTCTCAATAGCATTCATTTATCTCATTAAAGAAGGGTTGCTATAGAAAAAATAACTCTAAGAATTGAGATATAAAAATAAAATACACATTTAATGAAAAATTAAGTAGCATAATAAAAAAAATTTGAGTTGCAGAACAACCAAGTGCATTGTGATGTCATTATTCTATTTAGTGTATTTTACCTATAGATTGTTTTTATTTATTTTTATTATTTATTTTTATTTATTTTTTATTCCCAACTTTGTTTTTGTTTATGAACACGCTGGTTGAATCCATTCTTGTCTTCATATGGGAGGAAAAAAAAAACACAATTATTATTTATCTACTTCAGCATGGAAAAACGAACATATGCTAAACCATAGTATATATACTAAAATTTAGATCCACCCAATATATCTTTGACCGAATAAAAAATAAAAATAAAAAAAGGGAAAGAAAAAGAAAAAGAAGGAAGAAGAAGAAGAATGGGCTGGGATAACTCTAAAGAATACTCAAATGGATTCATTGCGATGTGGAGGTTAAATGATGGTGGATCTCATGTAACCATGTTAAAAAGCTTTCTGAATTCTCAAAGTCTCAACCAACACAATGGACTAATCTGGAGGATGAGAAAAAGGAGAGAGGAACCTGTTCCTCTTTTTTAAAGGACACAGGATGCGATTAGGTTTCTTTACATATATAGGGATACTTATGGAATACTTTGTTTTTTGTTCACAAATATAGAAGGCATGATTGGTATTTTAAAAGTTTCATTAAATTCCTTAACAGCTTTATGTGTCTTTAAATAAAAGCATTTAGAAAAAATTGGAGAACGATTTTCACTCAAAAACTCCTTTAAAAAATTATCCAAACACTTCGCTAAATTGTTTCCAACTCCAAAAAAAAAAACTAAAAACGTTTCAAAACCAATTCAAACGGACCCAAAGTCTAACCAAACACGGTGAGAGAGTCTCCTACGTAAATATATCAATACTAAAGACGCTATTGTTCTAATAAAAAAATAAAATTAATTAACAACGGATGATCCAAAGTCGAAAGGCGATTGCGATAGCAAGGAGCGTTAGTTGTTAGGGGTATGGGCCCACAAGAAAAGGAGGAAGATTAAGAAAGGCCACGTCAGGGTGGCTAACGTGATTTCGTCAAGCACACAGGGATACAACTGTAATTAAGCCTACCGGATATTTTTAAGACCTCGTGGTGGTCCTCAACCTAATCCAACTAACCCAATTAAAATTCTATTATTTTTTAAAACTTTCCACGTGATTGTAGGTCCCACTTTAAAACATCTACAGTCACACTTCTAATCCTAGTCAAGTCCAACCACGTATTGTTTGGTTACGAGTTCATTTGGATTCGGGTATTTGTCTCACTAAAATTAGGATGGAAAGTGAAAGGAATAAAAATGGATTGTTACGTGGTACTATCTAATGATTTATGTTTTTGAAACTTATCCACTCGTTGCAGTTAGTATCAGAGTTAAATTCAATCTTTGATTCGGTATCATGCCAAGTGCTCGGTCCAGAAAGCGTCTGGGTGACCCACTCGGATAGGCAGGGTGGCACGACCGCAACAAGAGCGTTGCAATCAAATTCGAATGGAAAAGAATGTTATAAGAGGTATCTGTCAGGCATCAAAATCGGATGAAAAGTAAAAAATGTGTAAATAAGTGAATATGAAATACTATCTTAACAATTTAAGTTTTTGAATAAATAGACAAACGATCACTTATTACGTATTATTGGATTAAATTAACAATTTTGAAATTAATAATAAAAAAAAAAGTTAGACATTTCTTTTAAAATGAAGGGAATATATTTTTACAAAGAAATAAAAAGTCTTGGTCACACCGATAAAGTAATGCGACAACATCAGGGGGCTTGTCCTAATTCGAAATGTACCATGTTTGAAGGCCTCGAATGGAAAAAGTTGTTCCCACAACCAAACGGGAATGAAATTGCTTGGAAGCTTCACCCAACCCTGGTTAGCCCAAAAAGGACAAGTGCGCAATGCGCACACGGATCAACTTAACCAACCCTAGACGAACCCGGCACAAACAACTGCTATAAAACCAGGTTAAGGGAGCCTCTAGTTTCTCGTGCTCTCTTTGAGGTGGGTTCGATTCAGTCCCCCTCTCTACTCAATTTCCCATCTCTGTCCTGTTTATAGGGTTTTCTTAAAAAACTCTCTAAAATTCTTAATCATCATCCATGGCGGCTGCAGATATAGAGTTCAGATGCTTCGTCGGTGGGCTCGCATGGGCCACCACCGACCAGTCACTTGAGGAGGCTTTCTCTCAGTATGGAGAAATACTCGAATCGAAGGTCCGTTTTGCCGGGTCGCAGAGATCGGATCCGAACCGATTCGGCTTTGTCGACCGCTGATCTGTTCTCTGTTGTTACTCTCTGGTTTTTGTGTTGATCTGTTCTCTCTGTGTTAACTGTCTCTATATGTTACTTTTATTCATCTCCCTGAAATGGTACGTTCATCTTCCTCTTTATTCAAAGACGAAGATCGATCGATTTTGGGTTTTAGTTATATATATATATATATTAATTTTATGTATTGTCTATGTGTGTTTGTTATTTGTCTTTCAGATCTGATTGTAATTTGCTGTTTTTTGAATTTGTAGATCATTAATGATCGCGAGACAGGCAGATCGAGAGGGTTTGGATTCGTGACGTTCAAAGATGAGCAGTCAATGAGGGATGCAATCGAAGGGATGAACGGGCAGAATCTGGACGGCCGCAACATCACGGTCAACGAGGCTCAATCCCGTGGAAGCGGCGGCGGAGGCGGCGGATTCCGCAGCGGCGGAGGTGGCCGTCGTGGTGGCGGCGGCGGTGGATATGGCGGCGGCGGTGGATATGGCGGAGGCGGCGGTGGTTATGGCGGTGGCGGTGGTGGATACGGTGGTGGCGGACGTGACCGTGGTGGATACGGTGACGGTGGGTCCCGTTACTCTAGGGGCGGTGGTGGGTCAGATGGTAATTGGAGGAACTAGGGCTTAGAATTTAGATAGTGTGGGTGGTGTGGTGTTTCTTGTGGGGTTGGGTTGTAGAGTTTGGGTGTTATGGTTCTTCTATTTGGTTTGTGCTACTGTGTTTTTTTGACCGCTGGTTCTGCCATGTTGATCGGTATTGTGTGTGTTCTAAAATGAATCGAGTAGATCGAAGATTTCGAAGATTTATATTACAATTATTTGTGTTAGATTTTGATTTTAGCACTCCCACTTGTTTGGCGAATTATTTACAGCTTAGCTTAAAACTGGCTTAAAACTGGATTTGATTTAAGTATCAATTCAAATTACGCCCATCCTCCATTTTCACCCTTAAACGAACTCATCACGCAGGAAGAATTAAGAGGACTGTTAATTTTGGCAATAAATTATTTGAGTTGAAGAGGAATATTTTTTCTATCCTTATTTTTCCTCAAGTCAAGAGGATTAAGATTATTTTGTGTCGGGGTGGTGGGCTCCGTGCATGACATAGACATTGAAATATACTTATTTTTTTCAATAATAAAATAATTTAGTGTTATATCTACATTAAATAAACTTTAATGATTTTTTAGTTAATTGAAAAAAAAAAAAAATAGATTTTTTTGTTAATTATAAAAAAAAAAAAAAAAGTAATTTAGGAGGAAAGGTGGTAATACTTGTAGTTTAAATGAAGTAATTTAGGAGGAAAGATGGTAATACTTGTAGTTTAAATGAAGTTTAACTAAATTAAGAAAGTTAATGTGTAAGGTTACCAAATCCTGTAAATATTTTCATGATTTGTTTATATTATTATATTTCTTGTGAAGTCCCTGATTGCGAAATCCGTCCATTCCAAAGAATAGAGAGAATGGAGATAGAAATGAAGTTTGACGTCTTTAATAATTTAAATTTAAATAAATATAAAATAAATTTTAAATTTGTTTGTGTACTATAATCAAATATTTAATAATTATATAATAATAATTTTTTTATAAAAAATAAAAGAAAAAGAAGAATTATTTTAATAAGATAATATATATTTATAACTATTAATCGGGTTAAATTTACATCCTAAATGGAAATCTCTCACTTTTTGACATGGTAAATGTTACGTCCTGGAGTGCTGTTAGCGTGTATGTAGAAAAATGAAGTCTAGAGTTTCGTGATGAGAAAATTATGAAAATTATGAAGTTTAGAGTTTCGTCATGAGAAAATTATGAGAGCTTCCTTGAAGGTTTAGAAGTCTACTAGTGCCCATTATGATTTCTTAGATATAGGGCATGTCTACTATTGTCAGAGTGTTTATTTGCCCTTCAACATTGCTAGAGGGTGGATGGCGCCTGCGCTAAAGGGTGCGTACATGCGCGCACGCTTGTGAGGGACACCAAGGGCAGACCGTGTGCATGGTGAGCGTGCTCGTGGGTGTGTGCGTGTGTGTGAGCGCTTGCGAGGGATGCCAAGGGTGGGTAGAGAGTGCATGACACGCGCGCTTGTGGGCGTGTTGTGAGTGCACCCAAGTGATGTGTGCCATGTCCACAAGGGCGCACGTGCGTGCACCAACAAGCCCTAAGCCTTGTGGCATGGTTCAGTAAACCATGGACCTTGGATTGTGCAAACTTGCCTTGAGGAAAGTTGTGGCTTGGATGGACCGAAGTGTGGGCATGGCTCAATGCTATGCCCTAACAGAGCAAGGCGTGGCAGAACTCATAGGCATGGGTTGGCTTGGTTTATATCAGTGGGCTTGGCACGTGCTAAATTCACAAGGTTGACTCATATGTTGCTTAAAGCATTATTACAAGTCATGAACGAATGGCATAGTTTAGTGAGAGACATTGGCAAAAGACAGTTGGTGTAGACGAGGCTCAAGGGTGGCTCAAGGGACTTGGACATAGTTCATGGTTACAAAAAATGGTTTGTTGGGCTCAGTCAATTGGTGGCGGTTATTAGCACCTCCCACTCATGTGCATATATTAGGGGGAGTGGGGGTGTGCTGAGCAACCTCCTATGCACGTGGCACAATTCTAAGGCGACAACACACAAGTGGTTGAGATCCATTATGCTGATATATAGAGATATTCATATATGAGACAGTTGTTGGGCAATCACTATAGACGTGGCATGTGCTGGGCATGCCAGCGAAGTAGCAATTCAACTGCATATGTAGTGTTGGCACACTCAGAGGGTGTTAGCACGACCCTTGATGGATGGGGGTGTCATCCACCACTTTAGTGGGCTGTTGTGGACAGTTTTGAGAGTTCGCTTATATATAGTTAATGTGGGTTCTGTAGAAGACAGAGGGAGTCAGAGAGAAGGATAGTGAGATACAGAGAAGAGTGTTGTGGGAGACTCTTGTATGGTTCTGCGTTCTTGAATGCTTATGCAGGTTGATACCTTTTCCTTGTATTGTTTCTGTTAATAGTAAAGGTTTGAAACCTTGGAGCTTCTATAAATTTGTAGGTGTGCGTTACTTATATTATTGCATCTATAATTTGTGTCAGAGTGCTTTACTTGCTGTGTGCTCTAGACAACAAGCGTGAGTTAGCTAAGCTAAATCAGAAATTAGTGAAAAGTTGTTTTTATTTTTGGTTTAGTGCCATCACAAGCTAGGAGATTCATATTCAAAATTGACTAATCCATACTGTTTCATTTTTCTTACCTTCCTAATGAAATTTTCATTATCTTCCCCAACTACGGAAAAAAACTTATGGCCACTTATATATCTATATACCACGAAATTTACTAGTTAGTTACCATAGAAAGTTGGAGGAACTTTGAATTGGGGCTGATTATGAGCAAGGTGCCAATATTTGTGAGCACTCTATATTTATCCTGTAGCAGCAATACTACACAACTCTTAAACTTCCTTTTAAAATAAAATAAAATATAAATATAAATATAAATAAATTATAATAGTTTATTATTTATTTTATTCGAAAACAAAGCAGCAGAAATTGCCCACAATTTCTTTGTTTTTTATTTTTTTGATAGGTAAATTTACTCATAACCTCCTTGAACATGAAGCAGCAACTTGGATTTTGTGATATTGTATTATCTTCACTTGATTTTGGGAGCCTCAAAGGAAATTTTCAAAACAAGAATGCTTTAGATCTCAAGAACTTCTGATTTCCAGTGACACCTCTCCCTAAAACGAATACATCTAAATAAGATGATATTTTTGTTTCTTTTGGAATTAAGGACTACATTCGTTTAAGTTTAAACACTAAACTCAAATTTCTTCAACCCTAATCACAAAATATTAATTCCATTCTACCAAACATAGCATTAGGTTAATCAAATCCATCTGCTGTAACCTCCGGAAAAAACTATACCTAGTGTGGGATCTAAACGCTGTCATTGTGAGACATGATTGGCAGTCACTTGAAATATTAATATAAGAAAATTCAGTTGACCAACATTCAATTGAGTTTTTTTTTTTTTTTTTTTAAATAAATAAATAAAAGTAGTTCTTTTTTGTCTTCAATTTTAGAATTGTTTTGGACGGAAGGTAAGAGAAGAAAAGGGACAGATATGGAAAAAAATAGAGTTCTTTTCCTTTCACTAATTCAATCTTTTATTATTATTTTTAGGGTACATTAACTTTCCTATATATATATAAATATATTTATTTAATTATAATTATACAAGGATGCTATGAGCCGGAGTCTGCTGGAGAAATTAAAGAGAGTGAAGAGTTTGAAGGAAACAACAGAACCTCACACATGTGGATGGAAAGAAAGAAATTTGAATTACTCCCCTTAACTCCTACTGTACTTCTTAGGAAGTAACTAGTAAAATACTGTAGATGATTGTTTGTGATTATTTGAGGAAATGGTCCACACTTGTCCTCCAAGAGGGAAAACAAGCTACACAAGGAACTCTCTCTTGAGAGATTAAGAGAGAGATGGCAGTTGTTCAGTTACCCTGGGTAGCTCGAGCTCATGAGCTAAATCTGTTTTGTTAGTGGTTTAATGTGTGTTTAACGGCTAATTACTACTTCTATTTACACTAGTTTTTATTTGGTCAAAGACCTTTGGTCACTAGGCTAGGTCTTTCACTTATCTGATGGACCAAGGGCCTTACCTCTTGACAGTGGGACACAGGTAGGTGGCCCGAGTTACCTCGGGCCTCTAATTAAGATTGGGCAGTGCCAAATATGATTAGGGGCAATCCTATCAGAATTGGCCAGGTGTACCTCATTAGCAAAGATTGCGACATGGGGCATGACATGGCAGATGGCTATCTACAATATGTCAATAACCAAAGCCATTGATTTTTTTTTTAAAACTCATTTAAAACAAAAAAAAAAATGAATGTTCACCTTTCTCTACTTCCTATTTCTCAGTCTAAGGGAAAGAGAATATTATCTTATTTCTCTTTTAGATGGATCCTGCCATCTTTCCCTTCTCTTACTTTCCTAATTGACATTTACATTTTCTTCCCCAACCATCTAAACAACTTATGGACCTATGGTTGGCAGTTGGCGCGCGCGCACACACAAATCGTTCTAGCCATGGCCCAATTAATATAAATGCGTGATTATGCAACTCTTCTGGATTGGGCTTTGGGGTTTGACTACGAAATTTACTAGTGCCAATAGGATTTTGCAAGAGCTTTGAGGTTGGGCTGATTTGCGAGTGCTCTATGGTCCATACTAGGCCGCAAATTTCATATCTATCAACAACTCTTTAACTTTAAAATAAAATATAAATGAAAAAGAAATTATAATAGTTGTCCACAATTTCTTTTTTTCTTTTTTTTTGATAGGTGAATTTACTCACATACCCTGTTTGAACATGAAGCATCAACGTGGATTTTGTTTTTCATTTTTTTTTTTTTTTTTGATCACTTGACTTTGCAAGTCTCATAAGAATTTTTCAGAACAAGAATTACTGATTTCCAGTGCCACCACTCCCAAAACCGAAAATAGCTAAATCAGATTATGTGGAATTGAGGACTAAATTAGTTTAAACAGTAAACTCAATTTTCTTATATCCCAATTGCAAAATATTAAAGTAGTAAATTCTATAAAATAATATAAAAAAATTCCCATAGTTTGGCTTCTGTTGAACTTATTGGCTGTTGATATTAAATATGATAATAAAATGACTAGAAAACAAGAAGGCTGCTTAAAATATTGTTGTCTAGCTTACAAATTGATAACATCAAACAAAAGGCTTCGTTTGTTTCGGTTAAAACATTATAAAAAAAAAAATGCATTTAGTATTTTAAA